ATATTATATATGTACCATTGAATTTAGAGCACGAGAAGAAAAAATATTAGCGTCTTCACGTGCACATTCGTACATGCATACATGTGCAACGATGCTGCCTTGTGTGTTGTGCACCACTGCCCTACGACCTCTCAGGACTCAGGAAAAAAACGAGAAAACCCCTGCCTTTGCCTTTAACATTAAAGACGTTTCCTACATTGACTTTACTATTTTCTAACACCCAATCTCTTCTTGTACTTTTTTTTGACATCATCTTATAACGTGTACAAACTTTTATTTTTGCAACCGTTACACGATTTTTAATTTTTTTTATTCTTTATGAAAATGTTAGGGAATTTGTATCAGTCTTGAATATCGTATTTCAAAAAGCCAATAAAGATCACATCCTTGAAGATATATTTGAAAAAAAAACAAGAGTGTGCCACGACAAAAACAAAGAATCCTCATGACATACAAATGTTTAAGAATCCAGTGCGAATGCTCGGTTGAAGTATGAATGTATGAGGTCACATTCTATACTTTAAAGTTTTGGAAAATCTTCGACAAAAGATTAATGTATCACTTTGCAGTCGAGGAAATTTTAGCCAAAATGAAAAGTTTTTTGTGTTCCTGAATTATCAGGAATAATAAAACGCTATTTCTTGTTTGAAATAAAACTTTTTTATGACTGAAGGATCGTGATATATACATAAGAAAAAGAGAAAAAAAGCTTTCAATTTTATTTTGTTATTTATCGAAAACATTTCTCTGGTTCGAATCTATTACACAAAAAGATTTCGGTTAATATGTATCTCATGCCTATTTCAAAATTACAATTGTATACGGCTATTTTTATATGCAAATGAAATTTTGTTTTTCAACCCTCCGGGTGAAAAACATTTTTCTAACCTTTCAGTGACATAAAAACCACGTTTTACGCACAAAAGGTTAAAAATAGTATATTTTGCACCTAGAGAGTGAAAAACTGGAAAGTTTTAGAGCACATGTAATTTATCAGCGAGGCGAAGCCGAGGTTGATAATCACGTGCTCTGAAACTTTCTTTTTTCGCTACATAGGTGCAAATACAATTTTTTGTGAATCCCCCGGCCTAAAGTAACATTTTTATTTCGCTTAGCGGGAGTAAATGTTACTTTAGGTTGGGGTGGCACAAAAATATCGTATTCAACTCGCTGCGTTCTAGCGAAAGCAACTCCTGGATGAGTCATCTTCTTCACGCACTTTTTATACTATTTTAAACTTTTGATTTAATTAATTTTTAATTAATGTGCTTCAAATTTTGATGTAATAAACTAGCAACGTATAGACTAGAAAAATATCATACAAAAAAATTAATAAATAAATTGTGTTTAAGTAGTGAGTTATTATAAAGTCTCAACTATGGGAAATCAAAAAAATAGAACCCAATTTTGTAAATAAACAATATTGTAAGTTACCCTGGATCTGTACATTTTCAATAAATATAGGTATGCTGCATTAGAAAAAAAAATTAAGTAATGCAGTGAAACGCAATGCAGTGACGTTATCGTAAAAATGATATTTTATCGTAATCTCATGTTGTACGCAAGGGAACATTGATAAGGCCGGTGTACATGTCAATGCATTTTCATGAGGGCAAAGATAGGAAGGTAGGGACGAACAATCGGTCGATGGGTCAGAGCTTGGAATAATGGCAATATTATATTAACGATGAACTCGCTTCGACGAGGCCGAGGGCAATGTTTCGAGGCAGGGTGATGACGCGTGGATAAAGGGGGGGGGCAGAGTAAACTGGAGCGCGGAACTCTCCGCAACATATCCATGATACGCTTTGGCATGTACGAATACACGTAAACGACATTTGCACTCGAAACCCGATTAGCCGAGCGATTTTTCGATAATTAACTCGAAAAAAACAGCGCCCAAATGACATGCTGTTGCTGGGATCGCATAGAGAATCAAACAAATATCCGCCAGATATACTGCAACGCTCATCGTTCCAGAGCGTTTGGCTATTGCATCCAGGCTTCAATCCAATTACGCGGTCGAAAACACCAGCATCGCTCGTTCTTTTTTCTTCGTACTTTCAAAGAGCCTAACGGCACACGTGTATAGGTGCGTACACGCATACGATCAGAGTTAACGAACGGCCATTTAGACGACGACGGGCTTGTACGTACGCCTCGTTCGTTGTTCGATTATATACGCCTCGAGGCCAGTTGCGTATCGAACGATACGCAACATGTATATTTATGGTACGTGTGCGTGTGTCATCGATGCTCAAATAAACTCGATAATCTTGGCAATCAAAGACACTAATAACAATATTTATCTGTTCACATATAAATGGGCTCGAGCGTTATTGAAAAAAGATATTATTCGCCGTTATTTTTTCCATCCGGAATAGCGTACACGTGAGATTAGATATTATATCGCAGCTTGCCAACTTTTTGCTTCATTATAATGACTTTGACGCAGATGGCGTCATTAAAAAAAAAAAAAAAAGGAAAAGAAGAAGATAAATAACAAAAAAAGTAATAGTCATTGGACACGTGCGTTGGCATCGTGGTAGCCGATCGTCGAAATCGACCATCAGGAAAAGCACGCCTCGATGCCTGAGCTTTAATTAAAAAGCCCCGATGGGCAGTAGCCTGTATTACAAAAGGGACACTCGCTGATTCAAAGCGCGACGTGTCCACGTGCGCACACGTGTTCAAATTGATGCGGCGTCGGTAATAATAAGCGAGCTGATAATGCGCTCTCGCGCGTAAGCCGAGCGCGATAAATCTGTAAGGAGCTGTCTGGTGAGTCGGGTCGAAAGTGCAATTACGCAGGACGGCCGAGGGCGCGAACCTCGCCGATTGCCCTCCGAGGAAATTATCGCCGCGTATATATTGCCAGGATGCGAGCTCGAGAATATATAGAAGCGGACAAAGCAGCGAGTAGCCAAGCTGGCACGAGATAAATTCAGAACGAGCGTGATTTTCCAAACGAGACGCTGCTCTCTGCGGCCTAATCATATAGCTAGCCAGGCGCTCGTGCAACCTCTCGCTGCGATCGCACACGTTGTAATTATAATCAATCTCGTTGCTTTGAGCAGAGACACCGGAACGTAGCATCTCGATCCGTCATTAGCTACACGACCAGTCGCAACTAGACAAATATATCTCGCTGTTGCGTGTATTACAACTCAACTCTATGTACATATATGTACGTAGAATAAAACCCCCGCTGCACCTGTGCATCAGCCACATCTTGACAAATCAGTCACGCAACAACAACGAACAACAAGTGTAGTTACGCGTGAAAGCGAAGCGGGCCTTTAAGCAATATATACTTAAAAGATTCGGTGTAAGGGGCTTTTCCGTAAAGATGAGGATTTTAGGCTGGCTTTACGAGCGGACGCAGGCGCGCAGGAGCCCGTATTACGTGAGCGGTGAGCCTCCCTACTATGAGCGGTGTGCGTGTGACTTTTCGTATATTTATAACATATGTGTATGTGTGTGTGTGTATGATGGGCGCTCGCGTGTTCCGAAGGTCGCACTGCTTCTTTGCGGCTCCTCGCGCGAATCCATGTGGCACGACCTTACGCGTGCTACCTAATGATAGTACGACACGGGCTTCAAACTTTTCTAATCGTTAATAGAAAAATCGTTATTCCCGAGCGTGTTCTCCCTGTCTCTCTTTGCTATATCAAACTCGATTCCTGTTCATTTTTCGCCATTCCCCATCAAACGGAATATTGAATTTTTGCTAAAGCCTCCGCCAGGTTACAGCTTCGAAAGCGGAACAAGTAAACGAAAATAAAAGCCGTGTGCAAGCGTTGCGTACATTAATACGCGCGATGCGCATGCAGAGGAAATATCGATAAGCGAGTTAGGCTTGGGCAATGTTTCATTTGTCTACATGTCATAACATTACCAGATAGCCGATAAGCCGCGCGCGAAACAACGCTTAAAACTCAACCTATAAAGCTCGTTGCAGCACGTGCTACTGAATTACACACAAACGTAGTATGCACGCACATCGCTGCATATCGCGTACACTTTTCCTTTGCATATTCTCGATTATTTTGGTTAACGATAAAAAAAACTCGACTCGATGATCAACGTCGACAGATCCAACTGCTGTCCTGCCCCACCTGATGTACGAACTTTTTGAGATACGAAAACAAAAGTAGTAATCTCAGCGGAGCTTCAACTCTTTACACTCGTGTTATTTGTAAGAGAAAAACAATGCTTCGACCCACGAGCGCAAAGCAACGTGCAAAGTTTCTTAATTCTCCTATGTATGAGTAAAAAATAGAGTCACTTATTTTTTTATTCCTAGCCATTAAAGACAAAATATATCTAATCGATTGTAAATTCGCAGTGAATTCGTAGTGAAAATTTGTTCAACGGGATATTTTATAACCAAGTAGGCATAGTCCCGATGTAACAATAAAGCACACAGTAACAAGCTCACAATAACCGCATAACAAGCATGAATTTAATCGTAGTAGTCATAGTAGTAGTAGCAGTAGTAGTAGTAGTAGTAGTAGTAGTAGTAGTAGTAGCAGTAAGAGCAGTAGTAATAGTAGTAGTAGTAGGACTACGAGTTACGCAGCTATCATGGATGCACCTGCATTTTTGCACATGAAATATAGGCCGTACGGGACTGGTTTCCCCAAAAATAAAATATCTAATCTTACAAGAAAACAAAGCGTAATAAGAAAAACGGAGTCAAAGAATCGCGGCACTCGTGCTTTCGGAGCTTTTGACCAAGTAGAGCGTGACTCGTGCTGCGGTAGTAACTGCAGCAACAATTTGCCTCCGCGGTCTGCATTGGACAGTCACGTATAGTTACAGGGGAGGCAAGAATAGAGAAAGAGAGAGAGAGAGAGAAAAAGAGTAGGAAAAAGGAGCTGAGTAGAAAACTGTAAAATTCGTAACAGCTGCAAGTGGACACGGACGTATATAGGCTCGTTCTCTGTCTCTTTTTCTTGATAAGTGCGTTAATGCGTGTGCAGAGTCTGCTTACTCACCTTCTTGACCTGAAAATGTTCGGAGCGCAGCGTTTCGACGATCTCTTGCTCGGGTCTGTTAACCTGTTGAGCGACGGAGGATCGAAAGCCGTCGAGGACTCCCTTGAACGTGAACTTCTTCATGTTGTTTGGCTAGGCTGCCAGTTTCTTGGCGCTCTAGGTCGTGTCGATAGTCGTTAAGAAGCCGCGGCCCGTCGCATCAATCCCGAATCGTTACAAAACAACAACGGCGACGAATTGACAGCAGCAAGTTGTTCGCGCTCGTCACGTGTGTTGCAACTTTTTGAAACGGCTGCTTGCAAAAACGGTGCTCTATAGACACAACAAGCTGCTGCTACTGCGAACTCTATGTGTGTCTGCGATATAAACGAGCGAGCGAGAGGCGCCTGTACACAGCACGACGTACGCGCATTCGCGTCCGAGCACCAGAGATTCAACGACTATACCACTATCGATGTAGTAGAAACGACGACACCAGTTTCATTTCTACCTCTCTCTCTCTCTCTTTTAGATTTTTTATTTTCTGTTTTGTTTTCTCGTCTTTTTTTGTCGGTGTCGATGCGCGCGCTTGTGCGTATGTGTGTGTGTGCGTGTCTGTGTGTCTGTGTGTACGTGTGCGTTGTGATTATGTACACGGACGTTTGACGTATGCGAATGTACACGTACGAGGGCACGCGCACACACTGATGTCGAGCACTGGTATCGAATGCGTAGGCGCCGATATGTTATAGAGATTATAATACAACAACGAGCAAAAGCCTACGGCGAATCGAGAACGGAGAAAGCTAGACGTATCTCGGTGTACGATAGAGCTTATAACTAGCTGCTATTGTATTTATTGTATGTACACACGAATAAGCACAAACAGCTCGCTATATTTTAAGGGAGCTGAAAAAAAGTCAAGCCTGAGAGAAGGTAGGATGGGTAGGTACTGGTTGGAACAAGCTGCGCGAGGCCAAATTGTAACGCGAAGACGCGCACGGTCGACACTGCTGGTCTTGATATTTTCCTTTTCTTTTTTCCTCCTTTTTTTGATCGCACTACGAGTCACTATTCACACGTCTTGAGGCTCTTGAAGCGGGACGAGTGTTTCAAATACGGAAAATGAACGATACGGCGCACTCGGATCGTCCGTATGCGACACGCTCGAAGCTCGACGCGAGTTGTTTTTGCAAAATAGCTGCGGGCCCAGGGACGAGTTCACTTGATTCTCGATCATACGAAGGAGCAGGCGAGTATTCGGCTCGTCGTCAGCAGCGGCCCGTGAGCTGTCATCGACTGCTACACTCGTATATAATATGCTGCTGCAGTAGACTTTTCGCACTGGTCGTGTGTCGTCTGCTAGCAAACACTTTCGTGTACGTCAGTGGCACGCGTATTTGCGCGTACTTGGTGTCACGAAGGCTGCGAGAGCTGCTTATAGCCTGAACCTGCTGCGGCGATGTACAATCGTCGGCCAATAAAATCGCGATGGACGAGCTTGGTAGGCCTGCCTCGCCGGACTCGGCTACCACTGCAGCATGATCAGTAGCACGAGAGCAGTAGCATTGGTATACAAGTGGCGGCAGCGTTGACAAAGTCGCCCGAGTGAAGCTCCTGCGCGCTTACGCGATGATTCCTCAAGCAACACCACAACTCAACAGCAGCGATTGAAATTCCAAATGCGATCCTCGACTGATCCACATCTTAGCAAAGATCTGGCACTGCTGCTACTGCTCTCTGCCTACTTCTGCTACTGCTGCGCTGATGCACGTGCGGCGCTGCGGACAGAGCCAGTCAACCTCGTCTCTCCATGTGTGTGTGTGTTTGTGTGTACTCACTAATCGCTCGTATATAAGGAAATAGAATATGTATTGCGCACACGTTAGTCGTTGCTAGTAGATGTATTGTACACGGTACACAGGCGCAATGAGCGACATATTGGTGCATATATATGTGTCAGTTATATCGGCGCGCTGCAGATGTTGTAGCGCGGACTCGTAGCAGCTTGCAATTCGCTCGATGCAGGCTGCATTGCTGCTGCTGCCATAAAGTCACTGTGCGTTCAGCGGCGAGCCAAGAAACTTTTACGAACTTTGTATACGCGCTGCTTTTTTTACACATAAATAAAATATATGTTGTGTGTACATTGGCCAGTGACAGCAATGACTTGAAACGAGTGCCGAGCTTGTATTGTGCGCCTGCGGCAGAGCGTAAGGTGTATCGGAGTATGGCATGTGCATGATATAAGGTAGCCAAGGTATAGGACGTAGGTAGCGAGCGTCTGCTCATCGGCCGCTGCGCAACTCAGCCTCTAGCTGTCGAGCTCGCGACTCGCAAGTGGACTAGTCAGGAGCAGCCTGTAGTTGTTGCTCAGCGGCAACGACGAATGCAATGGCTAATGGCAAAAGATAGATCGGATTCGATAGGCGCCTCGACGACTTTCTACTTTTAAAAGGGAAACGCGAGGGCTCGTTTTACCCAAGACTGCGAGGTAATATATGCAGGTGTACGGGGAGGAAAGTCCTGAGCGTTTCGAAGAGAGCCGACTGCGTATTTGCGCGCGCATCCCTGCATATAAAATATAGAGCTCTCGCGGGCTTTTGCAAGCCTCGGCGAGAGACGTCATAGGCTCGGCGGAGCAGCCACCGCCGAGTCACCGCCAGCAAGTTAGCGACTCTAGTGCCGCAGAGCCCCCTAAGCGTAGGTCAAAACTGCACAAGCGCGACTAGCGGCAACATTGGACCCAGGCAGGATTGGCTTCGATGACGTCTCGGTGCTTGTGTGTCGGACGATTGCGCCAAGGGGCAGAGCTGCAAGCTCTCTCTCTCTCTCTCTCGCTCACTCACTTTCTGTAGCTCGCGTACTTATACTCACAAAGCAGCGAGTGCAAGCATCGTTATATACACGTGCACATATCTGCACCTGTGCAGTTAGCATTATAGTATTCCCGCGCGAGCCAGTGCAGCGTTGTTTAATCGCTCTAGCAGATCAATAACTGGGCAATGCACACGCGCGCGCGCGCGACTACTACTTCTGCTGCTGCTGCTGCGATCACAACTCGAATCTAGGCAGCTCGACTTGACACGATGCAGTCTATTACTACGTTTTGACGCACGACCGCACGCGCATACTTACTACTTGCTATACAGCAGCAACAGCAGCTAAGCTTTCAATTGCGTGACGGCCAACCTTTGCATCCTTTGCATAAAAGACTCGGCCCTGCCGCGTACAATAAAGCAGCAGCGAGCCACCAGCTGCTTCTATACTTTTCCAACGTCCTGCTGTCTCTCGTCGCAATGTCGTTTGAATTTAGCTTATACCTTACGTATTATATTAGCAGCTGCACTCGAGCCTCTTATTCCAAACTCATAAATGAAAGCTCAATCAACCCCCTCTCTCGGTGCAGCTAACTACTTTTGCGAAACCGACACTGTCTCTCCCGGATTACTGTATTTTTTTTCCATCAAATCCATCTACGAGTTTTGCGAAATTTTCACATTTCATTGCCTTTCATTAAACCTTTTGAGACTGATGGTAACATTTTTTAATACGAACCTACTAAATTCATTACATCAATCAATCACATCGAACTCGTAATAATTAATATTTAATAAATATAACTATTATCGTGATGAATATCATACAATTGATTTCAAATTCGCTGTCAACCTTTTTTTTTTTTTTTTTCATTTAATTTAGCTTGTGGTTTGGGCGATGCAGATTGCATTAAACCGGCTCACCATGTGTCGTAATTTCTCTGTATCAACTTGATTAAAACTTTATCAAATGCTCCAAAATTGTACACAAGCTCGATAAAATCAAGGATTTTGTGAAAACAATATTTTGAATGATGGAATCATTTCGAGCTAAAACCACCTCGTGATATAGTAACGAGTGATATTGAAAATTTAGTACACAATAGACCGAAGTAATCAACTTGAGATTGTCCACATAGGTCAAAATAAATTCTGTATTAGTAGCGACAGCTGTCAAGGTTCAAGTTCTGTAAGCCTAACAATAAAATAGCCTTCGAAAATAAAATTTTAAAATCAACATTTTGGATTCACAGGAAATTTTGAATAAAGATTAAACACGTTAAGTGAACTCAGCCGAGAACTGAGCCGATGCTTTTTTCCACTCGTTGAGCGAACGTGATACGCATAAATGATAATTTACATTTTACCAATCCGTATTACGCATCTTGTACGGGCGGGTGAGAATAGTTGTGCAATAGTTGTGCAATAATAGAACAAGTTTCAATTTAAAATTTACAAACTGAATTTACAAAAGCTTTGCAATAAATACATCATTGCAACGACAATGAAATATTTCAACTTTATTTAGGCAGCTATTCACCGATATACAAGAATTTCAATTAGAAAATAAGCATGATGATACATACCAACACACGTTATTTCATTTACTAGAGTTTATCAGTGCCCAAATGCTTTAGAATCTCGCGATCAAATTTCTCACTTCAATAAATTATTCTTTGCTGAACCATCGCTAACTCTATACAAACATACTTCAAAAACAGGTACTACTAATTGCATACCCCAACTCAGAACGAAGAGCTGTGTTCGTGTTAGGCTCTTCCAATCACATTATTCCTTGCAATTGAAAATTTTGGTAAAAATGATAGTTCACTCGTAACTTCATTAAATTCTTTAATGCCCTCATTTTTTCATGATAATTTTTATTGTAAATAATAAGTACAACATTAAACATCGCTGACAACTTCGATACGACTACGTTTCATTAATGCCATGACGCTATCATTAATTTTTTTTTGTTCGGCAGCCATCCATCGTTTCCTCTCAGCTTCTTCTTCTTTAGGCCCCCCGCGTTCCCTATAAAATTAAATGATTTGTTAATTTCGCTGAATATTAAGTATTAAACTCAAGTTTTCGCGCAGTATTATGAACAAATTTTATTCAAATCGTGTTTAAAACGAGTTGTATAAAACATCAACAATATTTACTTTACAAATTCAATAAATTAAATTAAACTTGATGCATTTTCAAGACATTATGAGTCTGTAAAAAGAAATTGGCTCGATTTTGAAAATAATTACTCTTTGGTGTTTATGATCGAACAACTGTTATTTAGATATGTTTAATAAAATATGCACACCATGCCTCTGCACAAGCCCTGTCCTTTGGAAAAATGGGTCTGTCATCCAAGTGTTTCAGATTTTTACATTTCAATGTTATATTTTTTCTGTACATCTTGATAGATTTGACGACTGGATTTCCAGTCATTGTTAATACTCGGAGGTTCTTCATATCAGCTACGATCTAGAATTATCTCAATTTTACACGTTTCGATTAGAAACTTCATAGGTTTTTCATTTATAATAAAAAAAAAAATTAATATCGTGACTCACGTCCAATATTTCGGTTGTCTCTATTTTGTTGTGCGATATATCTAAAATAGAAATGCTATCTAGAACTCGCAAATGCTCAAGATCTTCAGTATTGCTCAAATAATTGTGCGATATGTTAAGAGTATTTAGATTCTTTAGTTGATCTACAAAAATAATTTTAATTGATGCAATTGTAGGAAAAAGCTGAATACTTATTTTCTATGATTTACCAACCTAAATTTTCTATCTTATTTATAAAATTGTGAGAAAGATTCAATTGGTCCAATTCTGTTAAATGCTCTAGATTCTCGATTTTTTTAATCAAATTATTGTGCAAAAAAAGGCATCTAAGATTAGTTTGGTTTTCTAGATTAGCGATTTCCAATATTCCATTATTTTCTAACCAGAGACATTTTAAGCCAGTGTAATTTTCCAAATTTTCAATGAAAGAGAAACCTGAGAATTTCATGAAACTCTGTAGTAATACAATATTTTCAAATATATTGGGTGTCTCAAACCTTTGTAGTGTAAATATAAAACATCATTAAGATATGGAGTCTCATAGAATTTCATCTCCTTACAGAGTTTTTTAATTAGTGCTTCTGTCATCCTGAAATATTTAAAATAATGTAAATAATTGAATAAAAATTTATCGAATATTTTTTTTACCTAACGCCATGTTTTTTGATATTAAAATCATAGACTTTTCCCTTGATTGGTTCTCGTTTTGGACGGTCGAGGTATTTTTCGATTTCATCGCTCAAATATTTAAAATGTTCCTCAGCCGTATTCTCAGATAATTTTTCATCGATGTTGGAACTTTTATTACTGTTTGCAATAATTTTATGTTCCTTCCCCTTTGCAGAATCTTCTGATTCGCTCAATTTATCTTCTGAAAGAATACTAGAAACAATGATTTTGTTTCAGATAAAAATCAAGTAGATAATTTCTAAAAAAAACTATACCATGTTTTTCGATTAAATTATCGCCGGCAACTTCACTGGCAGTTTCATGATCATTCTCGGGTTCCCTCGTGTCGGGATTGGATAATTCAGCTTCTAAGTTTTCATTGTTTGAATTTTGTGGTTCAACTTGATCGTCGGCTATGAAGGTGACTTTGTCATCAAAACTCTGATGGGCATCAGTGATCGATTTGAAAACATCATCGTTGCATGATCCATCAGTCATTCGTTTTTTTTCAGTATGATCTTCGTAGCCAATCTGCTTGACATCGTCGGTCGCGGTGTTTTGTGGCAAAGTCGATTCCATGATTGAGCAATTGTCAAACTGGAGCTCCATACTCAACTTTTTAATATTTAATATATATTCACAACAAGCAAAGAGCTTTCAGTTTTTTTTTTGCAAAAAATTGAATCGTTCCAAACCTTCGATTGGTGTCTTATTTTTGCGCTCGGCCTAAAAACCGTTCAAATTACGACGTTGTAATGGCATTCGTCGAATGTTGGCTTACCTCTTTAAGACTCCCGTACTTTTCCATCAACTTCACACTCTCCAGATTCATAATATCATCCATAATACTGTTAAGGGTCTCGAGTAAAGTTTTGCCATCTTTGAGTGTAAATTGCTCGCGATTACTAGTAGCCGGTGCAATGGTTTCCTCGTCGTCGGATTTGTCTTGTTCTTCTTCGCCTTCGTAATCGTTTTTATTAAGCTTCGAGGAATCTTCGTCCATACCACCTTCGACTTTTGACTTTATTCTACTTATGTCAAGCAGTCGACTAGCACAACATGGAATAAAAAATTCAGCTCTGAGTTTGGCTAGTAATTCATTATAAACCAAAAGTTGAGTCAATATCAGAAAGATGTTGTATTCTCCATGGCAACGTCTAAATGGAACCCCGTATAATGTACGGTCAATAATGCAAAGCAAACAGCGATAATAACTGATCAATATACTAACATGCAATACAATACTTTATACAATTATAAAACTCGTTTTTATGTTTTCTTATAATCAGCTTTTCAAACCGATGATTTTTTGTAGCATTCATGTTGCAAAAGGTAGATGTGACAAACGCAGTACTAATAATGTCAATTATTCCATGTGAATCAGTTAAATTAGTGGATTGGTAGGCATGAAATAGAATGATTACTCAGTTAAAAACATTTCAAGCTAAATGTTTTATTTTTTTTTGTTAATTTTGTTTTTTCTTTAAAATCACTAGCGTAGGGATTTCACGAGAAAAAAAATTATCAATTTATTAAAATATATAATTTATTTACTATTTATATTATAAAAGCTTCCCGAATCCCGATCAGCAAGTAACTCAGTTTCGACCCAAAGAAAAAAATATTCCTAGATTTTTCGAGAGTAAATTAAATTGCAGCAGCATCAGGGTTCATGCGAGAATTGCAATCGAATGAGAGTTAGCTGCAAATTTAGCCCGACACTCGCGGCATCTGTTTGCTAATAATGCACATCATACCAGACTCAATCAACAATCAGCATTCAGCACTGCTGCACCTTAACCTAAACTTTCGTACATACCTATGCTATCATATATGCATGTAGAAATTATACATCGCTGTTTTAAATCTGGTGCTAACTACTTATCTCGCTTGTATGCAGGCACATACATTAAAACGTTTAGCGATGTTTTTCTTTCTTTATTAATTCAATTGCCTTTACATTTTTTACGCTATCATATTTTGTGACCATTAAGATTTATGAGTAAAGTGAATTAAAAATCACGGGTATATTAAATTTATTTTGCATAATAATAATAATAATAATAATAATAATAATAATAATAATAATAATGTAATTTGGTTTATATTACTGTTATAATAAATATCTATTTATCATGAAATTAAATTTCTGTTTTCTTGTAGCATGGATTTTATGGTCAAAAGATTGATGAAAATGTCTCTGACATTCCGAAATTTAGCATTTTACCAAGCCAATCATGTTAATATTTCAAGATTTTGGAACTCACCATTATTTTATAAAGGTAATTAATAGATTTAAATATTGTTTTTATGATGCATTTCTTCATTGATATAATAAATATTCATTTTTATTTAGATAAAGTTCGACAATGTGAATTTTCCAATGCAAAAGATGATCTAATGTTAATAACTTTACAGCAAGGACTTAGTCCTTGCAAGCTACTTACTTATATTGATTGCAATAAACATCAGATAAAACGTGAGCATGTTTTAGCAGCACTATCATCTTTGCAAAACTTTTACAGAAACAGGTGCCAACCAAATACAAATTTGCACGAATTGATAGATTTTACTAAATTATGTTCTTATTTAAAGCCACAAATTAAATATTTAAGTGCTACTGAAATCATCAAAGCACTCAATATTTTGAAATTATTGAATGTACCAGGATCAAATATTTTTGTGATTACTTTGTTCCAACATTTAGAATTAACTAATGAAGAACTTTCATTTCAAGATATGTATAAAGTATCTGTTCTGATTGATACATTTATACCTGTAAATATAAGCAAGCCATTGGTCTTGACCATGAAAGAAAAGTTCATCACTAAAATTTTACAAATTAATAAGAATGACATAAATTCTCTAATATTTGCTCTTTGTTTTACAACCAAAAATATGAAAGATGAAACTACTATTCAGTTTTTATTGAACGCCATTGATGATTACTTGCAAAAAATTGAATATCATAATGCCTTGGATATTTTAAAGCTGCTGTGTTATATTAAAGATATTCCCTATAAATTTAAAAATTTGATAGAACAACTTCAACAAAAAATAGCTGATAACATTGATCAATTAAAACCAGTTCAAATAACCCAAATAATCAGAGGAATGGCTTTTCAAATAACTTCCAAGTAGGTTAATTTATATTATTTATCATTAATTTTAATAATAATATTTTTATCATTTTTTTTCTCATTATCTCAATCAGGCATGAAGAATTTTATAATGAAACTTTTATTGATGATCTCATTCAAAAATTAATTTGTGAAAATGGAGAATCTATACAAGAAGATATTACTATTTTAACTTGTTTAAATTCAATAAAACATGTGCAAATGGACTTACTAGATTATATATCTGCAAAATGCTATGAAAATCCAAGTTTATTGGGTTTAGACTCAGACTTATTGGAACCGCTAGTAACTGGACTAGCTATGGCAGATTATAAGCCAGTATTTTGGGATGCAATGATAGATCCAATAATGAATAATGGAATTCCTGACATGAAGCATTTAAAACTATGTGATTACTCCTTGAATTTAGCTTGTTTGGAATGTTTTGATAGAAAGTTATATCACAAAATTTTCACTGAAAAAAGAATAATTTCTAACGACCATTTAAAAATACTTTTGAGATTATTTCAAGTGGTAAAGTCACTTTATCCTTCTTATGATGGACCTTGGCCTTCAAAAATTATTATGGAATCTTTCAAAAATTTACCTCAAAGTAATTACCCAAATTCCCCGCTCTTATCTGCTTTAGAAGAAGTACTTGGAGATGAAACATACATTATATCAAATGTCAAGACTAACTTAGAACATTGTATTGGTAAGATATGAATCTCAAATTAATGAAAACTAAAAAAAATAACTATAACTTTGTTTTACACTTTTTAGATCATGTTATTGTTATAAACAAGGATGGTTATCCAATCAATATTTATCCACATGAAAAAATAGAAATGAATAAAGATCCAACTAAATTTATATACTTAGAAGATCTTAAAATTCCTTCTGGAAGTCAAGTGTAAGATTTCAATGTATTAGTCTGTTTGAAATATAAAAAATGAATATTAAAATAACTTGCATTATCCACAGGTTTCTAATTCTGTATGTTCAGCCAGATTCTTATGCAAGAAATACTCACAGAATGTTAGGCCCTTACTCATTATTTATTAGAACTTTAGAAAGTATGTCTTACACTGTGATTCCTATAAATGGAGGTTGGTGGAAAACTATATCAAATACAGAAAAGACTAGGTACATGATGCAGGCCATTAAACTTAAATTTTCAAATGATTCCAAGAGTACTACAGTGTAGTAATTATAATAATCTCCCCAGCAATTTTTTACCACAAAAATATTTTTGTACATATCTTTTATGTTATCAAATTTTATGTAAATACTGAGAGTATTATATAAGAAAAATGTTAAATTTTTACAAATTGTTATTCTGTATGTATTTTGAGAACCATTTTTGAGTGAAGTTTATAAATTGAGTGACTAATGAACTTTTTTAATCATACAAGAATTGTAAATAATATTTTGATGAAACAATATATTTTATATATCAAAAAAAGTTTAAAAATTTCAACTGAGATAAAAAATTTTGATGGTAATCCACTGCATTAGCTTCATATAAATTTATTCTTATGAAAATATACAATATGTCAACAATAAAATATAAACATTTATATCTTACAACGTTTTTACAATTTGATTACAATTTTGATATAATTACTTTCAATGATGATTTAAAATAAAAATTTATGATAAAGATATGATGGACTTGAACATGATGCAATAAAAGACAATATAAATTCTAGAAATAAAAAAATATAAATTGACATTTTTTGCTCTTCAAATTTTTTAGCAATTATATTTTTCAGCACCACTTGCTTACAATTTAGTCATAGATTTTATCACTTACAATCATTGATTTAAACCAAAAATCTTGAGAGCATTAAAGGCTGTAGCAAGTGCAACTTCTTCAGGAGTTTTGTGCATAAATGCAGCAACCATTTCCACTATAGCTGGTAATGCACAGGGTTCATTTCTTTGAAAAGTACAATAACGTTGCAAAAATGTTGTAGAACGTTCCGTTAGTGCATCTTTTACATGAGTAGGCAGTTTGCTAGCTCTTGTATTAGGATACATAAAAGGTGCATCAGTTTCAATGAGAATTTTATCTAAAGATATTTGACCACCTTCTAACAATTGTCTCACACCACTATCAGATTTGTCTTTACACACATAACCAGTTATGCCTAAATAATAGCCATGATTTAAATATATTTGAGCTTCTTCTGCAGTACCAATGAATGAATGTATGAGAACCGGAGGTATTTGATCAGTATGACGATTTAAAATTTCTAAAACATCAGCTTGCGCTCCTCGTTCATGAATAACTAAGGGTTTATTCAAAGTACATGCAAGCTCAACTTGTTTTTCAAATACAGACCGTTGGATTATTGGTTCTGAAAAATCCTCTACAAATCAATTAATTAATAATAGCTATAGAGATCACATAAATATATAAATATTATTCAAATACATACTATTATAATCCAACCCACATTCTCCAATAGCAACACATTCAGGATTTTTAGCAATAGTCTCTAATTCTTCTAATGTTTCTGGATCCTGCCAAGATTTGGCATCATGTGGATGCACTCCTGCAGTGGAGTACAGATTTCCAGGATAAATTCTGGTCAAGCGTAATGCCTCTTTACTTGACCTGATACTAGCACCAGTAACCATAATTTTTTGTACACCAGCATCTTTGGCTCTTTGTACAACACTATCTAAATCTCTGCTATACTTTTTATTCGTAAGATTAGCACCAACATCTACTAATACATAATTTTCATAACATTCAGTCATGCTGGGTGTTGAATCAGTAATATTTGAACCACTTGCATCTTCAGACATTGTGAATCTTCTATAAATAAATGCACCAATAAGTAAATATACAAGTGAATTGAAGTAAAATTATTTATTTCATAAAAACAGTTAGTTAAAAAAAAAATATTTTATAATGTTGGAAATTTAAATATTTCATGTATTAATTAAATTAAGATAAAAAGAATAACTTGATATTGAAACTGCAGTGAGCATGAAAAATAAAGCCATCAATGTACAATCAACATGAAACTAGCAGTGGAAACTAAAAATGATCAGTTTACGCCAAAGTAATTGATCAAATTTTCAGCAGTACAGTTTTGACAATTTTGAAATTGAAGTTTTATCCAGGGTTTTATCCACTATAAAAAGTTAATAATACCTTACAAATTTGGCGAGCTAACGTAACCCGTATGTGTTCTCAATAATAATCGCGAAAAAAATGTACACAATAACGAAAGTGAAAGTGTAGCAAACCAAGTGGTGCAAAAAGTATTTGCGGAGGCGTCGAGGCGGTGGTGGCAGCTTAAACGGTGAGCATACAATTTGGTGATATGTAAATCTTTGATTCATTCGTTTGGTTTGTTATACTTATATGTATGCTACACATATATTATAGGCGTAAGCTACTGTCACGTGTACCAGAGGTTTAAAAAAAGCATCATTTCGGTGCTTGCTTAATAAATATAATCTGAACTTAGTTTGTCGATTTTTTCCCCGATAACCACAAGTGAGACGACGCACTTAGATGATGCAACGTTAGGCAGAAACGGAAAAGCTTCAGCCTTCGCGGAAGTAAAATAAACAGTGGAAATTCTCTAGCAGTCGACGCCTCAGTAAAACTTGGTTGCCTGCTTATATTGTTCATTCATTTAAAACGCCGGCCTCGAGTCCAGAGTTAGACATCACAGCCAACTCAAAATATCTATTTACGTATGACTTGCGCGTATAATTGAATATTAGAATATCTATTTAGAGATGAATTTTTACCAATGACTACCTGACGCATAATCCATATAGTCATATAGAGCGTAATAAAAACTGTTCAACTAAGAAATCACTTGTTTATTCTCTCCGATGATAATTAACTAGATTTAAGAAAAAATTTATGAGAAGATATATTTATTGCCATTATTCCAACTGCTTAACTATATATTTTCAGGGCTCAAAATTTGTTTCAAGAAAAATGTATGACATATAATATTCTCAGATAATTAACAAAATATTCGGGAGGAGAAATTGTTTTTTTCCTATTTTTCATTATTTATCATCAATACATAAATAAAAGCTCGTGCATTTGAAAGAATAAGGGATTTTCACTCGGACAACTAGTTATTGTTTTATATAATAAAAAAGAATGATAAGTGATAAAAATTTAAAAAGTATGGGTCAAGAATTCATTTGAATTTATGGAAAATCTTCATTTTTTTATTCCTTCTTTTAATCACGATTCACGATTGAAGGATATAAACTTCAACAACAATGTTGACTTTTGGATTTTAGATGAGCTTGAAAATATCCTACCTATAGAGACTATATTAAATGATCAACTTTATTGTATATATACTTTTCAAATCAATCGGACTTTTGTTTGTCTAAATGAAATTTAAAAAAGAATGAGAATTATCTTTTTACGAAACTATGTAACTTTATACATCTTACTCAAAAGTATACGTTAAATCCATACGACTTATAATAAAAAAAGACACTAAACACCAACGTTTAACTGTATATTGATTTTTGGAATTTTTGTTGTTAAATTTAAAAAAAACGCATCTCTGTCCAAAAATAATTATAATGATAAATAGTTCATGCATGTAAGGAATAACTTTGAATGTACATAAAAAATGAACTATTGACTTTTAGACGGTGCAGGTTCGATTTTTTTATGATCAACGTTACATTTGAAATTGATCCGTTTTTTTAAATTTAAGATGTATTTTACTCGATAAGGATCGAATAGAGCTTCGTGAAACGACATTCAAAATTCGGTATTTCTAGGATAGTTTCGCCATCCCCTCAAAGCACGAATATAATGAATCAAATGCTGCTGCCACGTTTTGACGTTTTTGGTACTACTTTACAGTTTACAGGTTGTTTGACGCGCACTTTGACATTGCATTACTGATTGGCGGTTACTGAACGATGTGTGTTTGCTAAAGTTCACTGCTACGTGTAAATTTTACGAATTTAAATTAAAATTTTTAATAATTTACTCAATATGAATAAGGTATATTTAAAATATTATCCGTTGTTTGCTTGAAGTTTAATGTATTGGTCAATATTTTCTAGAAAAAAGCTCACAAAACAAGACGACAAATTCAAGCAGAAAAATTAGCTTTTGCATCAAGTGTAGTGCAAAAAGCTAATGCACTTGAAAATCCTTTAGAGCCTTTCAAAAAATTTCATCACTATGTTACCAAGGAGAATGAAATAATTTCTTTACAAGTGAAAAGAGTGAGTGAATTACCTCAAGAAACTCTTAACTGGATTTTTGATTTGATGGAACGGAATATGAAAACTTATTATGAACAATCACAGTGGAAATGGGATGCTGCTGCAAAACAAACTGAACTCACTGAGCCTAGTGCATGGTATCTAATAGCATTTAATGAAAATAATATGCTTGGATTTTCTCACTTTCGTTTTGACTTGGACAACCAAGCAGAAGTTTTATATTGGTAAGAACTTCAATAGTATTTGGTATATAATTTTTTACATCATAATAACATTAAATGCAACTGATTTCTTCTTTTTTTCAGTTATGAGCTACAATTAGAACCCTCTGCAAGACGTAAAGGTCTTGGTCGTTTTATGATGCAATGTCTTGAAGTTATGGCTTCTAACAACCAAATGCAAAAACTTGTTCTCACAGTTCTCAAAAAGAATGTATCAGCTTGTTCATTTTTCTTTAAACTTGGGTAAGATTTAAATCAACAAAAATAATATGCCTATAATGTTTTTTAATTGATAAATTAATCATTTTATTAAATAGAGTTAGCATTACAAATTTGAAGCTAATTACTAAATATGTCCATATTTTACTCTCAATAATATCACTATGTCATGAATACTTTTCCAATGAAAATTGATTTACTTTTTTGAAAATGCATTTGAGATGAAAACTATATTTCTCAGTTTGAATTAAACATGTAATTTGGAAAATTGCTCCTAAAATTATGCTCCTAAAATTATGATCTTTCTTTTATATGGAATAATTAAACAATTTTTGTAAGCAGTGCTTAAATTCACCTTTTTACATAAAATTATATATTTATCATAAATTGAATAACATCGAAGAATAAAAAAATCAAACTTTTGCTCCAAAATCAGATATTTCTAATTAATTTATCATTGCAGCTTTAAAACAGATATTACAAATCCATCAGCATCCGAAGGATTGGATTATGCCATATTAAGTAAACAAAATCTTCAAAGAACATAAGAAAGTGAAAAATGTACTTTTACAAGAGTGGAAATGATGTTGTTAGAATTTTGTCAATACATTATAATACAAGATTTTTCATATTTTTTTAAATAAAATCCATTTTTTATGTATAAAATGATAAAATGATAATTCGTTTAAAAATTAATTAAAAATAAAACAATGTTATGAAGTTATCACAGCATTGGCAACAATGTAAAGATCGATTGCCTAAGCTTTTATTATGTCAGCTATATTATTTGTATTAGACCATGTTCAACTTAATTAGTAAAACACGTTAATTACCTTTAATTAATTCTACAATACAATTTACTTTATTCAGTACAGAACAAACGATTGTTCTAACAATTGCTTTTTTAAATTATGAAAAAGTTCTATATATACAATACTCGAGTTATATTTGTATGAACAACTTCAAAAAAAAGTTGATCAATTTAAAATTCTCCTATATCACTTTTCTTTCTAACGTTTTAAAATATACATAATAAATATTTCAGAGGACACAGACACAAAATCTTTTTGAAGCTTACACTTTAGGTTGCTTAAAAATAATCACAAGAAAGTTTTGGCCAATGTACAAGTAATCTAGGTGTTAAAAAAACAGTCCTACCACTAATAAACAATCATGCCTACTATTAATGATTAAAAATTGCTATCACACAAATCACCAAAAAATGTTCATATCACTTTCAGCTGCTTAAATAAATTTATGATTCGGTTTTATGAAATAAAAGTGAGAGAAGTTGGTGAGGACATACATTGACAATAGGGGAACGTCTCGAAGGTCCAACAGTGGTAAAAGTTAATGGAGCATCATTGATAGTCCAATCTTGCTCAGAACCTAACAATTGGCCAAGATTTATTTCGCCGGTTTCAGATACTGAAAAACGTTTTGTCAGGTTCGGCTCGCCCCAACAAAGATCCAGTCCATGTCTTTGCAATATCAGTCCTACTCCTTTTCCAGCACCGTCAGGAATAGGTACAATTCGCATATTTACAATATTCAAATCGACCGGAAGATTTAAATTCAATGGGGAAAATGTTGGTCTAAGTTCAAACTGGGCAGATTGCCGAGGATGCAAACCAATAACTGGGTGCAGTAAATCGTCTAAGCATAATTGTGCTGCAAGCGAAAGTAAACCTGCTGGGTGTTCATGACCTGGCGAAGGATATTCACAGGACTCTTGACGTTTTTCTAATAACATTGTGAACTGATGATAAGTTAGCAAAGTGTCCGTAACTCCTTGACTGAGTCCACGATTGTCATCTTGCATTAGACGCCGATCTTGCATAATCTGCATTTCATTAAATGAAAATTTTAGTGTGAATAAATTTTGAAATTAAAAAAAATGTTGCAAATTTAAGGCAGAAACTCACTTCGAATTGTCCCGAATTCATTGATGTAGCGCCTAAAGATTGACCTAAGACAATAGTCATTCTATTATAGTCGTCTTGAATATATGCGGCAGATGTTACAGGATAATAATTTCCTTGAATTGGTATTTTTGTAAATTTTTGACGCTTGATCATCTAGGAATAAAATTAACAATGGTGAAAAATAAATATTGGAAATTCAAATAATTTTTCCGGACAAACGAATTAAAAGACTTACGTTCAATCCGTTAATATCGGTGTAAAAAATATCATCAGACTTTATATCGGTATTAATTCTCATAGCTAATTCGAAATTCTGCGTTTCAGTTATATCAACTTGATTATTAATATGTAAACCAAGTCCATCGCTGCCACTTGAATTGTAAAGAGTAACGATGTGCTTCACATATGGTAAATCGGTGAAAACACGAGAAAAAATAGGCCCTTGCACAACATGAACTATTCTATTATTGCCGATTGATATTAGATCTGGTTCAGGCTTGTCTGGAAGAAATAAGTAAGCACCGCTTTTATCTTGACCAGCGCCACGAGTTCCATACTTGACGAATTCCAAACGAACCGGATAAGTCGTTCCAGATCGTCGTACAGATTTTAGTAAGCCTGTCTTGCTAAATGAGGCGGATAGCTCTGGCATTTGACTCATGGAAAATTCTTGTAACGAAGGATAAATCTGTACATTACTAAAACCAGGTACTGCTGAGAGGGGCATATTCTTATTGTAGACTGTTATGTTAGCCAGGTGCACTTCGCTATGGAACATAAAAATAATTATATTTTTCACACCTAAGCAATATTCAAAATTTTTTATATAATATACTCACGCGGGCAAATTTGTGCCATGTAATGTATGTACTATGTAGGTAGTTAAACCAATAGCAGGTACAGTGACTAGAAACGATAGTTCATATCTTGCTCCGGAAATAGCTGCAGGGCTGACCCAAACCGGAGATACTTGACAAATTATTGGTCGGCCCATTTTATCCGTAACCCGTACATAGGGGGTAGAGACGTAAACACTCATCACCTTTGTTCTCGTTCGTGGCAGTGAATTGTAGAATAAAACTTTTTTCGATGTTATGTCATGGCCTAAAGATATTACGTATTTATCTCCAGGGCTAGTATGGAATGATCTGTATAAAAATAAGTTCTATATAATTAGTATTCTTTTCTATGTTGAATAAATACATGGAGTTTAAATTGTGTTACTCAGTATTTACCTTGTTTCATCCAAAGATAAGTACAAGGCTTCTTTATCAATTTTAACACTTTGAGGACTCTTTAATAAGTGCGCTACTGTTTGCTGCAACACATGAGCTGAATTATTGAGAGCAACGATCATTTTTTGGGCATAATCAATTACAACATGGTCTCTAGCAGTGCCAGTAATTCCATCATGATGCTGAAATAACGAATGCCAAAGACGGGCTACATCCAACCTGTTGACTATGCTATCATCCATTGCATGTTCATTACCTCTCATCCAGGCAATAGTGTTAAGAAATTCAGTTGCTCTGAGAGATCCTAAGAGAACACGATCAAGTCTTTTGTGAAATGGTCGTGAAGTGTAATAGCCACTCCAGTAATTGTCATCGCGATCAGCATAAGTAAAGAAATCACCACTAAGACTAGGAAACTCTTGAATACTCTTTTCATTTCTCACAGCTTCAAAATAATCACTCAGGGTACCAAATTGGATTTTTACATTCATTTGTTGATCGTTATTCATGTAATCAAATAGTTTTTGATAGTTTGTAAATTGAGCATCCCATTCAGTTACATGAGCATAGCGAAAATCGTCACCCAATGGTACAAGAACTACATTTGTCCTATACAGTTGCGCTTTCTTGCGATATTGATCTAGAAGCATTGCAGATCTTTCCCCCACATTAGATTTGGTAATGGCTTTTGGCGCTACCTTCCAAGGACAGCTGTAGCCAAAATTAGGTAATCTATAGAAATCAAATTGACAGCATATTTTTGGATCAGGGCCACAAGAATGTGGAATATCATAACTGTAAAAAGGCATCATATGTGTAAATATTTCTGAAGAGCCTTCATTATCCCATAATTGACGCCAACGGAATTCTAAATGTCTATCTTGTGCTAATCGTTTTTTTACAGAATAATGAACTCTTTGAATCAAAGCATTTTCTACAGCACTGTTTTTAAGAAGAAAAGGTATAGTTGGAGACAAACCAAAAGGATCAATAGACCAACCGGTGCTTGGTACATAATCTAAATTTTCTTTCAACCTAAGGAACATTACACATACATTTTTTATTGACTTTTCTATACAAAAAATAAAAAAGAATAAATAGATATTAATGAAATTCATTACTCACCACTGATGTCCTACAGTTAACTGGGTTAATTGTGACATCCAATGTGAAACAGCTTCATCTGGCATGACATATCCTCCACTAACAAATTCCAACTGTCCATCATGCACTAATCGTTTTACAACATCTCGAGTTGATTGTGATTGTTCATCCCACCAAAGTTTGAAGAATGATATTTCTGCCCAAATAAATTTTCTTCTTCTATCCTCAGATAATTTTGTAACTAAATTATTCAAAATTCCCTGGGTTTGATAAGTATAGTATTTTTCAAAAGTATTCAACCACCCTGGATCATTGTGAGAATGTGGAACGACAAAAACTTGCAATTTTTTGTTGGAATTCCACTGTTTTTCATTGTATTTTATATTCCAGCCTTGTTTCCAAACACCACCATCTGGGTTATCAAATTTCAACTGTTTATAAACATCAAGCATCTGAATGTCTACTATTGGTGGTTGTTTGAAATTGACAGTACATATTGTAGGTCTATCAGGTCTTGATTTTTCTACATGGTTTATATTACGAGGTTTATCATCATAGGTATCTTCTTTTATTCGTGCAGCAGCTTGAAGGGCATTCATAGCTTTATGATGTCGATTCATGTCTTCCTCTATCTTTGCAAGTCTACTTTCAAAGTGTAACCATTGATTCTAAAAGATAAAATATAACAGGAAATGGAAATAACAGACCAATTCATTAAATCAAAAATTGAAATAGATGGTTAATAATATAAATACGTACATCTTTAACGTCAGATTTAGCATTTCGACCCTGAGGAAATAAGGTCACGTCAAGCATTAAATAAATCATAATGCAACAGGCAAAAATCATCCCTGCTCCAAGTGCGGCAAACAACTTTCGTGCCTTCATTATGTTTTGAAAATCTACACAACTTGTTACTCCTGAATGTTAAACTGTTAAACATAAAAAAAATGACACATCGATTTGAGCCTAAATATGCATTTTATACCGTTGTCATATGGCTTTTCAAATGACTATGGAAATTAATCATTAAAGGTGCAAGAATCTAAAACTAGAATAAGTTTTAAATCTTACACTTCAAAAAACTACTCAACAATACAAGTAGCTAACTAAGTTAGGTACAAAACTTACACATGTAAAATATCATTGAATTCACTTTTATTAATTGTCAGATGCGAAAATACTGTCACCTAGTCATGACTTAGAAAATTTTACACTTTGAGGAAAATTATATTTATATTAATGGAAAATTGTTCATGATATTATTGTGGGAACCAAGCCGTCAGGCCGATTACTCTGCCGCGTCATGAACTCAAGTGAATTTACTACTGCTATATATAGACATGTGTGTATGTGTACAATAATATAGTAGATAGTGTCAAAACCTGTCAAGCCTGCGCTGTTGTATGTATTAGGATAAAATATGAATTGCAGCCAAGCAGTTTTTATTGTCATCAAGAAGAAATTTGTATTTTGATGTTTTCATACTTATATATCAATCACATTATTCATTTTTTATTTTTAAAATTCGGTAAATGAGTAAAAATCATATATAGGATGTATGATCAAATAAAAAATGATTGAATTTATAAAACAACTGATATCTGTATATCTATAATCTGTAATCTAAATGAAACGATAATCTCAGTGGGATTGCTGTACTATATCCAACATCATAACTGTAGCACGATGTGCGAAATACTGCAATTTGCGTATAACGGTTACTGCAGAAAGTATCTTCACTCTTGAAGCTTGAACTTTGAGTGTAAGTTATATATATGTATATATATATATATACGTATATTATATATCTTTCTTATATGTTAAATCTTATACAAATTTATATTGTAAAGGCGTATACTGCATTTTCAGATTTGCCAACTTTAGCTGAGTTCAATTCGATTTAAAAAAAAAAGTTATTCAAGCCCCTAGAAATAGGTACATAAATCTCAAATTATTGATCACGCTTGTACTTGACATTTGACATTACAAGTTACAACAGCTGACATTATGTAAACATAACCCATCGATAATTGATCGATTCTGTAATAATGGAACCATCATAAGTTTTTGTTATTCACTACAATATTCTATTTTTTACTACTTTCGTTTCTAATTTTTTGAAAGTTTACAGATGATTTAAATGACTTTCAGTCAATTATTATCGTGAAGATATTAACTTAATTTGTAACAGATTAAGAAGTTTTTAATTTTTAGGATAATTAAATATTGCAATAAATAACGTAGGCTATTAATGGCAAAAGTTAATTTTAATACTATTGCTATATAAAAACTGTTTTTAATTACAACCAGGCTATATTCACAATGCCTGGAGAACCCCCAGCCTCTGGAGGATTCAAATCTAGTGGTAAGACCAAAAGAATATCAATTCCTCGAGCTCAAAGTGGAACTGATACTGAACAACAATCTCATCAAGGTTCACATCCACAAACAACTTCCCATCACTATGTCAGCTTCCGCACAGATGTAGAAGATACTTCTATTCCTCCTGCTGTTCGAGCAAGATTAACAGATCTATTTCAACAAATTGAAAAAGAATTTGAAATTGTGTGCACTGAAAACGCCAGTTGTAAGAAAAAAAATTATATTTATAGGCAAACATTACATACTTCATTTGATTTTTCAATCGTTAACTTGTTTTATTTAGTACACGAGAAAATAGAAACATTAAATGAGAGAATTGAAAGAGATTGTTATGGATCTGGAGAACGAAGTCTGCCTCAAGTTGATTTTCAAGTAGATTTTACTGATAATAAAAACCTGTCCAAACAAAAATGTAAGTACATTATGTTAACATAAAATCACTGTTACTTTATACTTACAGTGTTAATCTTATTTCAGCAATTGCTGGTAGCTCTGCATACAGAGTAAAAGCTTCCCAGAAATTGAAAGCTCAAACAAGTAAAATTGTTTCGAGTTTTAAAAATATTTCTATGAATTGTAATATGCTAAAAGAGTACAGAGGCCATAGAGATGGTATATGGGAAGTATCAGTTGGTAGATCAGGTCAACCAATTGTTGGCACTGCTTCTGCTGATCATACAGCTAGGGTATGGGCAATGGATAGCTGTCGCTGCTTGCTTCAATATACAGGACATAATGGTTCAGTAAATTCAATAAGATTTCACCCTACAATAGATTTGGCACTGACTGCAAGTGGTGATTGTACAGCTCATGTGTGGCAAGCTGCCGTTAATTGGGAATCACAAAAAAGATCATCTTTGGAAGATGTTGCTAGTTCTGGAGGTGAAAGAGGAACTACTGGAAATATTGGAGACAGTGGGATGGTTGAAGATGATTCGGTACCTACACTAAGAACTCCTATAAAAGAACTAATTGGCCATACTGGTGTTGTAATAGCAGCAGATTGGCTTTATGGAGCTGAACAAATTGTCACTGCTTCATGGGATAGAACAGCTAATCTTTATGATGCAGAGTCAGGAGAAATAATTCATACTCTTTGTGGTCATGATCAAGAATTAACTCATGTAGCAACACATTATGCCCAACGTCTGTGTGTAACATCTAGTCGAGATAGTACATTTAGGTTGTGGGATTTCAGAGAATCAAATCATTCAGTATCTGTTTTTCAAGGACACACAGAGTAATAACACTTTTTATGTCACTTACTCACCAATTATCAGACACCCTTAACTTTTTATATATTTTCTCAGAGCTGTAACAGCTGCAGTGTTCACCAAAGAAGATAAAATAGTATCAGCTTCAGATGATAGAAGTGTTAAAGTTTGGGAGTTACGCAACATACGAAGTCCATTAGCAACTATACGAGGGGATAGCTCAGTTAACAGATTAGCTGTGTCAAGCACTGGTATTGTAGCTATACCACATGACAATAGACAAATTCGATTATTTGATTTAAGTGGGCAGAGAATGGCAAGACTACCAAGAACTAACAGACAGGTATTTTAAATAATAAAATTTATTGTACATAAATAATTTAGTTTCATTAATTATAATTAACATGAAAATATAAAAAACATTAACATTTTTAAAATAATTTACAGGGTCATAGGCGCATGGTATGCTCAGTAGCTTGGGCTGAAGAAAATAGCAGCTCTTGCAATTTATTTACTTGTGGTTTTGATAGATTGGTGTTGGGTTGGAGTGTTTTACCAATTAAAGATGCTTGAGAATCAATCCGTGACCACCGTAAATTACTGACCTTGGCTTTGCCCCAGAGTCACATTGGTGGTCGCTGAATAATTATCTGGTATTGCATTGTAAACATAGTCTTGAGCTAATAGTCCAGCAATTAACCCAGCTAAAGAGCCAACTCTTCCGCTATCACAAGCAACTAGAAAATGTAAATTTATTAATTTATTAAATTTTTGACAGTATAGAAAAAAAGAAATGATAATATAGAAACTTCTTAAATTTTCAAACTTTACTTTGAATTACTAAGATATGTACACAAAATTATAATATACACATGCATATAAACAATCATTTTAAGGAAAGTGAGCTAGTGCCATTGGTATTATTACTAGTGATTATTACTTAATGGGTGATGAGAAACCAAATATTACACCTTAAAAATGATATTATGTAACATTAATTTTCAAAAATGTATGTGATAAAATATAAAAACAAGATTTTTTTGAAAAAAAAAAATTTAAATAAGAGTAGTAACTATTTCATTTTAAATTTCTATTTAAATCTACATATACACAATATTATGTTAATGAATAAGTAATAAATGTATGTAAAATATGTTACTCTGCAAAATAATTATGGAAAATACATAAAAATTGTATACAGCCAAATAACTTTATGAAATAATTCTATGAACAAATGAATCTGTCTATTACTCTAAAAAAAATAGTAATAAAATAACATTATTCCATAACTTGGAGTTATTATTTTTCATAGCATAATCTACAAATTTATTGTTCCGATAAATTGTATAAATAAGTGAAGAGAGTTGAAATAAATTATGTATAAATAAGTGGTAAATTTGAAGTGAAAAATTTCATAATCCAAAAAATTTCGAGAAAAAAATTCCATTCGTGTGACATTTCCTTCGAATTACGTGAAATTTTGTAACATTGTTTTATAAAGAACGGGACCAGGATCGGACGATCACTTTGAATTATGTGATAATTCGAATTATATGATTTCCGCTGTATTTAATTTATAGTTTTATAAATTTACCTGAATAAGCGGTAAGCAGGCAGAGAACAGAGTATCCAATTATGAGAAGATGTTGATATTCAAGCTCATCATCTTGTTTCCAAATAATACTAATAAGACTGAGGAGTTTAGCACAGCCTCCAATAACGAGAGCTTTAAGGAGATCTAAACGTCTATACTTGGCAGGCCTCGAACGAAGAATTTTCCATCGGAGTTCGGTCAATAGCACAACGCTAATGACGAAGCTCAGCAGAGATAATCCTGTGTGATTAAGCTCAAAATAAAAATTACGTTCACTTCTGAAAGACATTAGCTGACCAGATTCTTCGAACTGTTGACGCTTGTTACTCCACCGTATAAAAGATTCACTCAGCAACAAGATAATGACTAATTTCCAGTAAGCTTTAAAATTGCTGTTATACAATAAATGCCGGTAAGCCGCTTTATCCAGTAAAACCATGTCAACCAAAACTATAACTGGATCATATTCTACATATTTATCCGCAAATTCGCCGCATTCTTCCTATTTAAAGAAAAATCAAGAATATGGACATAAGTTTATCATGCATAAATAGGTAAAAATGAGTTATTCATTACACATTTGACGATTTTGAGCACAGTCGGACTGTATTGACGATAAAGCTCTTGTACTTGAGCTCCACAGCTGATACATCTATACATGTTTTTGGAAAGTTTGCTACTTCAAGTTGCTCAGCAGCATACCATTTTTCAGCCTTGTCCGTTGAGTTTTAAACCTTAAACACGTTTTATCTTAGTTGTAATTTACATTAAGCAGTGTTATTTTCAATTACATTACTGTTCAGTAAAAGAAATACTAATTTTTGATATGTATAACAATTCTAGATCGAGGCAATGTAACAATATATTTTTAGAAAAGATATTTTTTTTGTAATTATACAAGTTATAATTTGTTACGGCAACAGTGTTTATTAGTTTTCAGAAAAACTGTAAAATTTTGAATCAGCGCTTATTCATAAACAGACAGCTCCGACACGTATCATAGAAACGACATGATACATTGAAGTGATTTCGCCCCTCTCAAGTGTTTATCAGAGCGTGTGGTGAAAGGATTTCAAAAAGCAAGAATTGCTGCGGACGGAGACGAATCGTAAGCATCGAAGGATCGAGGAGCGGCGTACAAGCTCGAGTTTCATGAATAAGAAGGCATCGAGGCCAATAAAATAACGGGAAAAAAACGAGACGGCGTATCTTATAATTAACGACAATTGGAACAAGTTTTATCTATTCTGCGTCCAAGTGAGACTCGACCGTAAACAAATTTCAGTTCAGTCTTTCTCGTGATCGTAGTAACAACAATATGAGTGTCTCGAAAACGGTAGCTCTGCCAACCGGTCAGCGCATACCTATCGTTGGTTTCGGAACTTGGCAGGTCATTATTTTTTTTTTTTTTATATGAGCCTCATGTCGTAATGTTATCCAATGCCATTATATTTTCTTTTTGCTTGACTTTGCTTGCAATTTGCTTGACTTTTCGTCCTAAAATTACTAATTATTACTGTTGGTAATACTACTCTCACGTAATAAATAACTCATAATCATAAGGTGTGCTGATTGTTCTTTGATATCTCAAGGTCTTGCACTATTGAACATATTTGAAAATAACTTGTTTTATTTTATTAATAATTATTTTTAAATTATGACAGAAACTTTTTCAGATATTGTTTCTTAAACCCATATTTTTCCAACTTCCTTTGAAAAAAAATTGATTTTTACTATTTTCATAATGGATTATTATTTTCCAGGCTTCTGAACAAGAATTAGAAGCAGCTATTGATAATGCTTTAGAAGCTGGATACAGGCATATTGATGCTGCTCCAGTTTATGAAAATGAACACGTTATTGGTAAAACTCTGAAAAAATGGTTTGATTCTGGAAAAATTAAGAGAGAAGATCTTTTTATAGTAACAAAAGTAAGTAGAAACATCGTGAAATTTCAAAAAAGTAATGTAGTATGACATATATATAGATGAAAATTATTGCACTCTAGTTACCTCCATCTGGAAACAGACCAGAAGGTGTTGAAAAGTTTTTAAAAAAATCATTGAAAGATCTGCAGTTAGACTATGTTGATCTTTATCTAATTCATTGCCCATTTGCATATGCTTATGGGGATGATTTGCATCCAAAAGATGAAAATGGACTCATCATTATAGATCCAAGTACTGATCACATTGCCATTTGGTCAGAAATGGAAAAACAAGTTGCTAAAGGATTAACCAAAGCGATTGGTTTGTCTAATTTCAACAAAAAGCAAATTGATAGAATACTTAATGTAGCAAAGTTACCAGTGTCTATGCTTCAAATTGAAATGCACTTATACTTTCAACAAAAAGAAATGGTAAGTCTTAGTAACTGTTTATTAAATTAAAATATAATATTTCAAATCTAATGTTAACCTATGATTTTTGTTTATAGATAGAATACTGTAAAAATAAAAGTATTCAAATAACTGCTTATTCGCCTCTTGGCAATAGAAGTTTGGTACAACTTTTGGGCAGAAGTGAAACATTTCCTGATTTATTTAAAGACAATGTTGTGCTTCAAATAGCAAACAAACATGGGAAAAGTCCAGCCCAAATTGCATTAAAACATCTAACTCAAAAGGGAGTGATTGTAATTCCTAAGAGTACAAATCCTCATCGTATTCAGGAAAACATTCAACTTGATACTTGGAAACTAGATGCAGAAGATATTGCAACCTTAAATAATTTGGATCTGGGAGAAAAGGGTCGGTTGTGTGATTTTTCATTTTTTCCTGGATTAGAAAAACACCCTGAGTTTCCCTTTTGAAAAAGTTTTGATTATGTCAAAAACTAAGGGCAGTTTGTGAATTTATTGGTCGATTTTGGATAGTAACAAATTATAAACATAACCTCAAAATGGTGCTATATCAATCAGAAAATAACAAGATTTTTAAAGATAAATGAACAAAATTTAGTGGCATAATATTTTTCTATAGATTTAAAAAGTACAAACAAACAAATTTCCAATAAAACATTTGTAATGCATTAAAAAGCTTTTAAACAAGTTTACTTACTTCTTATAAGACCTCACAGTCCTTTAGCTTAATTTAATCTTTATTGAAATTTTGTTTTATACTTACTCGCATGCAATAATTAAATTAAAACTCATTTATGAGAATTAAAAGCAGAAAATTGACAGTTTGGAACGATAGCTCGCATGTGTCATATAGTAAGTAAACAAGAGCTACACAAAACACAGAACCTATGTAGGACTGCGAAGTACATATCGCAATATGCGAATTAGCTCATAATATTGGCATTTGGTATCTTGATGCCCTATGCTATGAAATTCAATGCAATGAAAAGTGTACCGTTCTCGCACGTACTTATCCATTTGTTCGTGTCTTATCTAAATAAGTACAGGCAAACCCCGTTATTCACGGATTCCGTATTCGCGGTACTCCTGTTTGTGTTTGTTAAATTACAACCCAATCATTACTCGAAGCCTTCAGTTTAGACAAGGTATCGAAAAATCATTAGAGTGTTATAAAAAGTTTTACAAAGATCTAATGCGCAGAGCAAAACCAAAAAGTTCAACTCAATATTTTACTTCAAAATAAAAAAATATTGATCAAAACTTCAATTTTTGCTGTAAAAAAGTTTTTTACTAACATGTACATATTGACATTTCAGCCGGACGAGGAACCGAATTCCCCTTTTCCCATAAGAACAATGGTTCCGTATTCGCGAATTCGGTATTCATAGTACTTTTTTGGAACCGAACCCCCGCCAATACCGGGATTGGCCTGTATTTACTATATGAGTATACGATGTATAATATACATTTTTAAACGCGATAAAAAGTTAAGGTTCACAGGACCCAGCTTGTTATTCCGATGATCCTGAAAAAGTTCATAGTGTTCAATTCTAATTTATGATTTAGTCTCTTTTTTGATTCGTCTTTTAATCTAGTTCAATTTTAAATAATACAGTGAGTGTGCGTTATTTTGGACACACACAATGACCCTGCACTTGGGACTCAGTTAAATTTTTTTATTTTTGAGGAAGCATAATAAATCAACTATACGTGTCTAGAAGTGCATGAGGAATTTTTTGTCGATCTTCAACTTGAATAAAATATTTTTGAATAAAAATTGTTTAGGATTATTACAGGTGGTCGAAAACTGGAAGGACAATTTTATCGCATAGCCCATTTTTCGACCAGGTCAGAATTATAAATTGAAAAAATCATGGAAAAAATCATATGATGTTTTGGCATGATTAATCATATGATTTATCATATGATTTTTCCCAGCAAGGGAAGTAAACTCTTATTTTAATATAAAAACCATTGAAGAGGAAGTGCCGAAATATAATTTAAAGTCTGAATTTATTAAAGTCATTGAAAATAAAGAAACTACTTTTGAAAATAGCTAAAAAAATTCACATTTAGAACACAACAATTTGAATAATTTAAAAGAGTTTGAAGTGAATTATAAAAGTAGTAGGCATGAAAATTCAGTTACAACTATGCTTGTTAATCATCAAAAAATTCAGGCAGTTTGATGATTCAATAGTTCGGCGGTTTTATAATTCACTTCAAACTCTTTTAAATTATTCAAATTGTTGTGCTCTAAATGTACATTTTTTAAGCTATTTTCAAAAGTAGTATCTTTATTTTCAATGACATTAATAAATTCAGACTTTAAATTATACTTTGGCACTTCCTTCTAATGGTTTTAAATAAGGGTTTGCCTCCTATGCTGGGAAAAATCATACGATTAATAATGCCAAAACATCATATGATTTTTCCCATGATTTTTTTCAGCGACAAAACAGATTTAATAATTTACAAAAGTTCTATGAATTTTCTCTGAAAGTATAATATTTATATAATTGAAAAACTATTTTATTGTGTCGAAATTTCATGTAATATACATTTCTGTTTGAAATTTTTATTTAGATTTTTACGTAAAATCAAAACTTGAAAATAATTTTTATTTAGGTTGTCGGGTCGAAGATTCAGTTAGATTTCCAGGTGGATTGTGGACCTGAAATTTGAGCGATGGTTTTTCAATCAGGGTTAAAAATCTCTAATAAAATCTCTTAAAATTTTGACCTTAATTATTTGAAGAATAAACATGACAGATAATTATAATCCGATTCGATTTTACGTTAGAAAAACTATATTCAACATCATCCAATTTAATGAATTTTTTTATCAAAAAAATATGACCAATGCAAGGAACACTAGATAGTCAATGCAGATAACGAACAACGTTGAATAGAGCATCAGATAGCAATTAAATGAAAAAAGTTGACTACATAATTACAAAAAGAAATCATGCCGATCATCGCAATCGCTGCAAAAATCAGCATTCAAAGACTATTTGAAGTGTACAAGAAGAAGGCAATGTTTTCCGTTATGTTGATCAAACTTACTAGGTCTCTTAATGCTGAAAGATCTCATCAGGGAGGGCCAAGCTAAAAGTACTACACACATTATCACCGCTGTCATCACAGTATTATATTCGTATGAGACATTGAGCCTTGGAGAGAGAGATAGATAGAGAGAGAGAAAAGAATAGCACATAATACGAGCCACCGCCAGTGTACAAGTTTGCCCGCTGCTGCATAATGGATATGTAGCGGCAAACATAATAAATTACCATTTAGAAGGGCCAAAAATAGCACGTGGCCACATTATTATTTAGGTAAATATCCATGACGTGAATTAGCTACGCACCGGAATGAGTGAAAGTGAGCCTCTTATGGCTAGGCTAGGCTAAAATAACCGAGGGTCCCGAGAAGAGTGCAGATACGCGCAATAGCAGGATATTAGCTCGATCACACGGGCCAGTCGTCAGTCGCCGTCACTCGAACTCGTCTATTATATGGTATATATATTACGAATTGGTAGCGGAGGTCTTGCCCCAGTAGCGGCCGGCTATTACCGGATTAGTTGCTGCCGAGTATGTGTTTGTATGTATGTGTGTGCGCACGAATCGCGCAATGCTGACCCAGACCTAGACCCCTGTGGCTTTTCGATTAGTCCACGCTCCGTTGAACTCAGCTATAATGCAGAGATCACAGGCTCGACGAGCAGCATGAGCTACCTCTTGGCGCACAGAAGGCGATGATCGCTCGAGCGCACCTATGTACGAAGCAGAGTGGTTGCAAAGTTGCTATAGCGAAACGTCGTCGTCGAGCACGTCACTGCCGCCACTCGTGCCGCCGCCGCCGTCGTCGTCGTCGTCGCTTAGGGCATATCAATTACAGCGCTGTTATTGAGCTGGGGGCCAAGCCAGCGCCCAAAGATGCGGTCGGCAGATAATGAATACACTGGCATAAGAGCATACGATGCGATCCGCAACAAAAGCCCAGGGGCCCGCCGCTTGCACACGGCAATACGCATTATAATCGAGCTCCAGCCAGGCGCGCTAAACGCAACGCGATAGCCATCAACGCGGCGCGCCACATTTATTCCCGATCTAGCATATTATACATGTACCTACGAGCGCGTACTTATGCTTTTGCTCATTGTCTACGTTATTAACGTGCACATGTAACTGCTCCCAAAGAGAGAGAACGCGAGATTCCACCGGCGATGAGCACACCGCTTACCGATCCGGCCTCAGTCGACATGAGCCAGAGCCACGCGCAGCCTCGGCGAGGCTCCAGTGATTTCAGTATAGAGCGCATCCTCGCCAAGGATGATCAGTCGCCTGCCAGCTCGACTCCGCCAACTCGAGCTTTCGACGCCGTAACGACTTCCAAGCTCACGGCCGACGCCTCGGCTTTGCGCTGCTTGCAACACTTTTCCCACCTTCAATCGCTGTCAGTCTCCAAAGTTCGCATCAACGAGTCTCGAGAAACTCAACAAATCTCCTCTCAAATACTCATCCACAGGTACGTTTTTGATAATTCTATTGCTTCTTTTTCTCCAGTCATAAAGCTCAATTTTACTTATAATGAGGGTTTTTTTAATCAACTAATTTTTAACAGTGTTAGTTATTAAATTGTTTGAGAAATCGACCATTATTTTTCGAGTGCATATTTGACAACATTCAAGTTCAGGATGCAGCGCATTATTTTCAAATCTACGTAAGATTTTATTTTTGTTCAAAAATCAATTGAAAAACCTGCGTTGGCAGCATTTATTAAGCTTCTAGTTCGCTATAAATTTCATAAATACATTTTTTCGAAATTTTTTTCAAATACATGCTTTGCCGCTTAAAATGATTCTCTTTTTATGTTGACATTTTTAATATGAAAAATGTGTGTGTGTGTGTGTGTGTGTGTGTATGTGTGGGTGGGTGTTTATATGTATGTGACAATTTATATTTTACAGTATCGATCCTTCAAAAAAAAAGGAAGAACAAAATTTAAAAAATGTTACTAGTGAAGAACTAACTTGGTTAAGGTGTACAAGATATCGTCCCCCTAAATTACCGAGAAAATCTAGTGCCAATAAAAGGCTCAAAAGAAAACCTGGATCCCATCCGCGAATACCATTTACAACGTATCAACTGGAAACACTGGAAAACAAGTATAAAACAAGTGCCTATTTATCAAGAAAAGACGTAGTGCATTTATCTGAGTTATTAAATCTTCCGCAAAGTCGAGTGAGTAATATTCTTCCTACATGTTATATTAAGCCAATAAGCGAAGCAGGGATAAAAAAATGAAAATTAATAGTTTTGATTATTATCCAAGTTTTATTTATTTCAATAAAACGTTAATTATTATCACAGAAAAATATACGTTACACCATTTTATTGATAACAAAATCTTTCATGTATCTGTGCATAACAGCTGCAGTTTGTGAAAAATTGCAAAGTTTTTGTCAGTAAACAACTTTACAAAAATATATATATAAGATATGATTGATTTATTGTACAATTTTGAACATATGATCATCAATCTTTAAATCAATTTTTTTTTAGATAAAAATTTGGTTTCAAAATCGACGTGCTCGAGAGAGAAGAGAATTTCAAATCACTGAGTCCCTGCAATCAACGTGACAGCTGTTATTGTCCAACGCAATATTTAAGATGATGATTCTTTCAATATTTGTCTATGTTATTTCAATGCCCAAATAAACATTGATTTGATATAAACGTTTTAGACAGAAATAAGCATGTTACAATTTATATCTATAAGCGGTAATTGAAGTTTTAAAATTAATGATTTGTACAGCAGTTCTTTATTATTGTAATATAAGAATACTTTATTCTTCAATTCTTGCCCTGTACAGCTGGAGTTGGGAGCTCAAAAGTATGTATAAAGTTGCTATTCAATTCTTAAATACAAGACTAACTTCAATTATTGCTCTACACTTACGAGTAACTTTAAAAATTCTTCGCTAGATGTGCGTTTCAGCTTTGTATTGTGAACAATATAGTAACAATTAAATTTAGTAATACATTAAAACTGATGCAAACATCATAAACTTTCAAGCAAAGAATGTCAGACTGGGATGATACTCTCGCGACCAGCACCTACACCAACCCATTTAACTGTAAAAATGTAAATTATATATAATTTATAAATGAATTTTTCATAAGTGTTGATAATATATACATATATGTGTGTTAAATTAAAAAAATTCCGTGTTTGATTTAGAATGCAGCCTTTGAAAATTGAAAGTAAAAATTTTTAATTACCAGGTATATCCAAGTGCTCTTTCAAAATTTGTACATATTTTTGAGCAGTGACAGGCAGCTTGTCAAACGACCGTACGCCCTCGGTGCTGGTTTGCCAGCCTTCAAATTCTTTGTAAATTGGTTCAACTTTGGCTAAATCCGTTGTACTACTTGGGAAATAATCAATCTCTTTTCCATTTAAACGATAGCCAGTGCAAACTTTGATAACTGGGAGAGTGTCCAATATATCGAGTTTAGTCAAACAAATGGCGGTATAGCTGTAATGATAAATAGTTACGTCCTGTATTTCAATTTTTTATAAATTTCGATCTAATGTCTTTCAATATTTTGCATTATTATTATAGATAAATTAGTTTTTTGAGGTACTTACCCATTAACAATAGCGGTGTATTTAAGCAGAGCCAAGTCGAGCCAACCGCAACGTCTTTTTCGTTTAGTAGTTACACCAAACTCGAAACCTCGTTTTTGGAGCATTTCACCCGTAGCATCGAGCAGTTCCGTGGGGAACGGTCCATCGCCAACGCGTGTAGTGTAAGCTTTGACAACGGCAACGATTTGACCGATAACGTGGGGTGGCAATCCAAGGCCAGTGCATACGCCACCGATACTACAATTTGAGCTCGTAACGTAAGGATACGTTCCAAAATCGATGTCCAGCAATGCTGCATTAGCACCTTCAACGAGAACTTTTTTACCTTCTTTGATAGCTTTATACAAGTAGTGAACAGTTTCTCGAACTAGCGGTCTGATGCGTTCTGCATATCTGGTAAAATTATAAATATTTTAACATTTTTGACATGAAAATTCTTTGATGTTTTAATAGAAGAAGATACTTAAAGATGATTCTAAAACCTATAAACTTAACATCAAAAAATTATTTATTTAGATAATGTTCAATTTTTAGTTTGTTTAATATTTGTGGAAGTATATGGTTCTGTCTCCCGATTCATCGCTAAAACGTGTCCTATCCTGGTGATACAGGTGCTCGGAGATGAAAAAAATTAAAATCAAATGAACTAATTGTCTTCAAATGACTGTGCTTTACGCACCCAGAATATAAAAATAACATAGTTTAACATCTTTTAAATATGATGATAGCACAATCATGCACAATGTCCCCCCCGTTGCATATCCTAAAGTCAGAATCATTGCTTTGTTCGCGTCATACAGCTTTTCATTAATATGGCCGATTCTCAGTGAGATCGAATGGCCATCAAAAATTTTTTCTGCAAATTTGGGGCATTTTATGACCGCTTTTCAAGGGCCCAAAGTAGTCCAAAAATTGTCCAAATTTTCAGAAAAAATGCATTCAAAAGTGTTCTGAGCACTTTTGAGGCTTTTGAAATACAATGCATACATAAAAAAAAACTGAAAATCTAATCGAATTTGATCCGGATTTCCGTTTCTTAAATTATTTAAAAATTTTCCTTACAATATCAGCTACTACCTGATAAAATGTTGTGACCGCCTTCGAAGTATAACGTACTGGAGACAACAATGAATGTCGAAAAACGTGCGAAAACCGTCGACAAAGACTGTTTTGGCGATTTTACGTATTTGAGGCCAGTTTTGGACGTTTTTTGACCCTCATCAATAATTTCAGTAAGCAAACGACGAGCAAGAAACACTAATCAGAATACATTAGAAAATTTTTTTCGAATCAATAAGATACGAATAAAAATAAATAAATTTCTGACGACGTTAACACGATTGAAATTGAAGAAAGGAAATATTTTTAAACAGAAGGAAAAATCTGTTTCTTATCGCAATTTTAAGTCAATGCAATGATGCAATGATATGCGACGGGTGCGACTATGGTTCCCTATTTATAGTTTTACCGTTTAAAATATAAGAAATTAATATTATTTATTGAAAAAAAGTTAAATAGATATTGCATTTATAATTGTTCTTTTAAAGGATAACATAGTGATGACGTTGACAATGGACAAAAATTCCAAAGTTTGTAGAGTAAATAATTCAAGTAAATTTCTTCTTCCGAGATAAGAAAGTATATTATTTCTGATTATTTATATTATCGGAGCCTTTTATAAATAAGTTACTAGGCTATGTTAACAAATACGTCAAACATTAATCGTAAGTGGAGAAAAATTGTAACGAAATGACTGCTTTCCACTCAAGCGTAATTTTAAGTAAGACTCGAGTAACTAAAAAATAAATTCAATCGTAAACTAATCAGCCGTATTCAGAGCCTTAACTTTTGCTTCATTACTGTTATGCATTTACATAAGTTAATGGAGAATATTCGAAATTATTAATTTGAAATTTTGAATTTTGGCTAAAAAATGATGAATCTAAACTTTTAAGAGGGATGGATTTCATAAAATTATTTTGCCTTACCCTTTGTAGCGATCAAGTTCAGCTTTGATGTCAACCACAAGAGCAGGGAAAATCTTTTGGTGGGACGTAACAAGTGTAGTAAACTTTTCGGCGAAGGTATCCCAGTCGCCTACTAGATCGCCAATGCGTATTCCTGTGCGAGCAGCTTTGCTAGCGTAGGCTGGACCAATACCCTTCTTCGTTGTTCCCAGCGAGCGTTTGCCCTTTTCTAATTCCTGCAGCTGATCGACTTGCTGATGGAAATCGAAGACTATGTGAGCCCGATCGGATATAATCAAACGATTTTGCCAATCTTTTAATCCTTGAGCTTCATTTTCTGCTAATTCGTCAAATAATCCCGGTAGATGAATCACTACTCCGTTTCCTATAACAATACCAAAACAACCGTTTTCATTTGATTTTAAGCTTTTGCGCTACATTTATTATCACGTCAAACTTGTATACTCGCTAGAATTAAAAAAAAACGAGACAGCTGTTGCCAATTTTTTAAAAAATATCCCAGATACGTATGCTGTTTGTGAGCATTTCATGTTATAATATTTTACAATTAAAGGAAACTTTACTTCATTAATAAGCGAACTTAAATTATATTCATAAAAAAACGCTATTCCAGCCACTTAGTTGAACCGATCATTCTAATGCTTATCGCGTATTTGTATATAAAGTGTATTATTTGTCTCTATTTTTTTGTCTCAAGCTTTGCAGTCTTCATATAAGATAAGAATAATAATACAGCATTTATGAGCTTAAATTCCTAGAGAAATCTAAGAACAACAACGGGCTTGAGGCTATATAAAAGTGCAATGAAAAGCTCGTGATACATGATAAGATGTCTGGAAAATTCACTCTGTTGTATAAAGCTTTAAATATGATGAATTCACCAGTGCCGATGTATAAGCTTAACACAATAGGATCATCATGCACGCGCATTCGCAAGCATGTAAATATCAAGTTAAAAAACAAGAGTACTTTCATTGTTGATTACAGCTATACATTATTACTTCTTCTAACGTGTTAAATTGTGAGTTGCAAAGTACATTGTGTGACAGAGTAGCGTTTACACATTACTTTAATACATTACTTTATTAAATCGATTCCCTTGTTACACGATTACGACGTTAAAATTTAAGAGTCAAAGTTTCACGAAATATTTATTAAAGTATTGTATAGCTTTCTAAATTTGCCATAAAATATGCATACAAAAATTGACACGAAATCAAAATAATTATTTCCATTCAATTGAAAAAAAAAACATACACACACACAATACTTATTTCAGGACTTAATTCACTTATTACGCATTCATGACATTAAGTTGACTGTGAATCATGTAAAATTATTACAAATACTGATTTGCTTTGAGTATTCTAAATACTTGAAGTTATTAAAGTAGAATATGCATATTTTTTTCTAGGTAAATACAATACAATTTTTAAGTCTTTATAGATGTAATCTAAAATTTATAATCAAATTCAAGAATTTCTATTGCAACTTATTGTTGCAATAGAGCTAAAATACTCTTTTTGACAATAATAAATCAAAATTTCATATCTCTTTAAAATTGTAAAAATAAAAAAATCAATCGAATATTCAATTCGACTAAAACAAACAATTTACCTATAACGGATGTACAATTGGGATTAATTATTCCACTAGGTAGAAGATGGAAGTGATATTCAGAACCTTCTACAACTACAGTATGACCGGCGTTGCTTCCTCCCTGCAAGGAAAATTATAATAACATCATGCTAGAATGACAATTGCAGTTTTAAATTTTATAAAGAGCCATCATGATGAATTGAAATTTTGTCTCTTTATGATTGACAGTAACATATTTGATATATATATATATATAATATCATTTATCCTTATAACTTTTTAATTATTAATGTAAATTGTAAACTATTAAAGCTTATGCATTGTTGTTATTTCATGTGAAAAATTAGTAAATGACGTTTATTGTAATTATTCAGTATCAGAATAAAAAAAAATTCTTACAGTAAAAAAAACATTGTAAACGTTGCTGACAGAAATTGGCATTCTAGGGGGATAAGAAAGCTGTCCCACAATTAAAATTTACAATCTAGCTCCCTGACACTCCCACTTAATATCTTTCTTAATAAAAGCTTCGTGATGCTCTATAGAATATTAAAATATGGTCACAAAATATATTCAGAATAAAATATTGATAGACAGCAGTAAAAATTTTCATCCTAAACAATGGCTTAAAATAGATCATTAAAAAATAAAAAATGTGTTTTTAAAATTGTTATGCCAATTTATACAGATAAAAACTTGATTTAATATATAGATCATGAGTAAGAGCGAAACACATCACATAAAACATTTTTAGTTGAAATAGAAAGATATAAAGAGATTTTTAAAAATTGGTCTTGACAAGAAAACAAAGTAAAATATCAACAATCAACTATAAGCATACATAAGGAAGATGGGTAGCGACTTTTTAGCAGAATTTTTAATAGCCTCTGAAAGATATAAAAATAGAAAACTTGTTCGCTCTCTTTTTCAATCAGTCTAGGCCTATATTGTAACAATGCACCAGGGTCGAAATCGCGTAATTTTGAGTAGCACAGTTATTCGAATTCACCAGTAGACAAGTTGTTTCTAATGGATACTATATATATGCTATAAATGCCCGTCAATGTAGATCAGCGAGAATTTTGAGTGGGGAAATACGTGATAGCTGTGCGAAAGTATAGGGTATGGAGAAACGATAAGAGCAGAACGAAGGAGGCATGCTGAAAATGCGTTGAATATACGGAGAAAGTTGGTAAAAAAATTGCTTACTTGACACCTGCAGACGACGTCGACCTCGGTGGCGAGCATATCAACGACTTTGCCCTTGCCCTCATCACCCCACTGTGCTCCGAGTACTACGACGACCTTGGCCTGGCTCAAGTCCAGGTGAGCGCCGGTCCTAGGTTTTTTGCAAACCTCGCTGGTAACGGGATCCGTACCGTTTCTCGTGCACGATGACATTATGCAAGGATATAGGTTTGATATCTCGGATTATTACTTGCACTGTACGACTGAGTTTTTCGATAAAGAGAGCGACAGTGGCCCTGCTGAGTGTCGACTGTTGGTTAACCTTGTCGAGCGCGTGCTACAGCAGAATAGCAGATATTGTAAGAGAAAACGGCCTCGTGGCTTGTGGGCGGCAAATGACTGTACTGTCTGCCGAGTAGCTACTTACTTTGGCAGTAGAACTTCAAGTCCACTACTGCGCTACTGCCTACTGCTATAAGCGGCAACACTACCTATACACGTTTCGTATATTCACGCGTCGTTGTGTTGTATTTGTATGGTCATGTCTGCACACATATAACCTCGCACACTTGCGTATCAACTATTATACCTATAGATCTGATTTGATTAGGTAAATAGGTATATAAAATAATCGTGTGCGCTTAGGCAACTCAGCGCAACGCTCGTTACTCGTTGGCGCTGTTTGATACCCACGGGCCACGCGGCGTTATTGCGCTTGCGGCGGCTCAAGACTCGAGTTCGACTGAAGCTTCCGCGCGCTGCATACCTATACGAAGTCAGTCCCCGCGCTCTTCTTGCCGACTTACTGCGACTTTTACACATTGTTATACGAGCTCGATGAGTAATTCGCTAATCACACCGTTCGCACCGCCTATATTTAACGATTACACATTTCCTATATCATTAGTTCCTGCTTTTAACTTATTGCAATTGCAGCCAAGTTCGCTCGACGTACTGTTTTTTTCCAGCTGCGCGATTGACAAGTGTGCAACTCCAACACTGTAAGGGACTTCAAAGTGAATGCAAATTTCGATAGATGAATAAAGAATAGCGCTGCTTCAAATTAAGAACAACAAGTTATTGGTTCAGTGCCTGATTTGGTGAAATTGGAGCGACAAACTGGTATCGAGCTGTTATGTTCCCAGTTTTACGTAAAGAACGTTTCTCTCGGCCGTCGATTTATCGTTATTCAGAGTACTTAATATCCTTGCTTTCGAGATGCTAAATTTGTTGGTTCAATAATATTTTTTTTTATCGTTAACTATGCCACGCTGCAATATAAAAGTCGTTAAATTTATTTTACGACTATGCTACATGCAGCAATTTTTCTTGCTACTTATATACAATTTTTATTCAAGGCGTTATCAGATTGTGCCTAGTATTGTGCCAATCATTTTAAAAGTTATATGTTTACCTGTATCCACTTTTTTATATGACTATAATAATTGAACGCGTTTTTTTAAAAATACTGTTTACTCTCGTTCTACTGATATTTATATTGACTACATTATCGAGCAGTAAGTCATCGGAACATTAATAACTATTAAATAATCGCATATTTCGTCATCGATCGCAAACCCTTAACGGTCACAATTATCGAGTATTACTTTGTCAACTATTTTCAATCTAATTTAGTTTTTGTTTAATCGAACATTCATGACGTAACACAATGGTACGGTATTATATTTTCTCTATTTAGCAGACATATTTCAAACAGATTTTCAGCAACTTGGATTAACTTCATATTAGCCAATTTATTATACATATAGCTCTGCTTAAACATGCGTTTTCGTAAGGCTGCATAATACGGAATGTTACGGATAAAAAATAACTTATAAATTATCCATAAAAGAGCGCCCAAAGCTGTGAAATTATAGCTACCTGCTTAGATTTTTTGGTCACTAAGAAATTTCTTAAATCCTAGAAACCTCGAAACCTCGAGGTTGGACACAAGTCGAATTATAAATATTCGTTGAAATTTAATGTTTTAAACATATCAAATGATTGTTGATAAATAAAACTCAAGTGATCGTAGACTATGAGCTTAACGAGCGAAAAACTGTCCTGTTTCACGAGCTCAATTAGAGTAAACTCGTACGTTGCAGAGGTAAAAAAGTGAAAACAAATTTTCAGTTTGAACATGAGATTTTCAAGGGTTATTAAAATATCAAAAATTCTTAAACGTACGGAAATAGTAGATTACGCAACGAGTGCGGAAAGTAGGTGTTCCCACGAGTGCGACGTTTGCCGCCCGAGCGCAGCGAGGGATACATTAAAAAATTTCATTTGAGAATAATACAAATTAATTAAGTTTATAATTGGTCACAAAAGTTTTTATTTAGAAATCTTAGAATCGTTATTACATTATTTGTTAAACGTTATATGAATTGTATTACTTATTCAATCAACTGATTCAAGGGCTTACGGGCACCTTTAAATCGAACATTTTTTTATTCAATTTTTGGAAAGAATTTTCCGTTTCCTTTCTATTGCATTTTTTAAAACTCTGATTTCTGACTGAGAAACAGCCCTTTCTGTAAGGTTTTCTCGTATACATTGCGTGTTAAATTTTTTCTACCTTTGCGTTTACTGACGATTCGTGTTTTTGATCCCTTCGTGCACGATTCAGAGAGAACCCTTTGAGCTACAGCACCTGGGTTGCTTGGGTGTATTTCTTTAGAGTACAAACGCAACCTCGGGCGAGATGATCTGACCCATATAAGTCATCTTGCACAGCTCGGGCATCATTTACTTTTCATTTTACGTTATTTTTCCTAATGTTCACCATAAAACTACTGATCGAGAGTAACTTACCATTCTGATTGTCTTGGCACGTGTCGCATTTGTGACTATTGATGTTCTGAATCGAGCACGAAGTGATCGAAAACACGACTAGCCAGAAAACGCAAAAGAAGGAAAAATTCAACACGCAAGGTATACGGGAAAGACTCACGGAAAATGCTGTACGACAATGAAAAATCAACTTTCCAGAGTTTCAAAAAAAAATGCAATGGGAAGGAAAAGAAAAATCCTTTCCAATAATTCAACAGAAAATTTTTCGATGCATGGGTGCCTATAAGCCTTTAATTAAATACCGAAAACTTCTGAATGAATTTTAATCTGAATTACATTCAGATGCAGTAGGAATCAATGGTAAATTTTCTGAATGTAAACGCATATGTAATTTTTTCAGATCGTTAAACCATTAAGGGGAGGCTCTCAAGAGACTCGATCAAAAAATCGATTTTTTTTTGCTTACTTAGCTAGCAAATGTCCCGTAGAATACACCTCCGAAACCCTTTTTAACAAAATCGATTTGGTTAAAAAGTTATTGGCAAAATACTGGAGCTGCCTTTTTACGAGCGAATGATGTATGTATGTATGTACATTCGCTTTCTAAAACTTTAAACGCGTTTTCTCGAAACCACGTTTTCTGAATCGGGCGCCAAGATATCTCAAAAAGCACTGCACTTAAAGATACACTTTTTATTTTATTTTAAAGCTAATTAAATTGTGTGGATGTTAAATCTAAAAAGTTTTTTCATTATTATTATTTTTTAGAACCCTTAAAAGAGCCAAAAAAGGGCAAAAAAAATTTTTTTAACACTGCGTGCGCGAAACACGGGTTTTCTAACCTTTAAGCGTCAGAAAACCCTAGTTTCTCGCAAGCAGAGTTAAAAAATATCGTTTGCAACTAGTCCGCGAGGAAGTTGACTCATCCAGGAGTCTTTGCACCCTCGCTACGCTCGGGTGAAAACAACTCCTGCATGAGTCAACTGCTTCGCGCACTTGTTACAAAATATACTATTTTTTCCGAAGTCCGCCATTTTATCAATTTTAAATTTTTTTTCAATAATTTAGGTTCAACCTCCAGGAAAAGTCATCTAGTTTAAGAGGAACTTCGAATTTTTGGTTTCGGGCAAAAACTGAAGGAGCTAGCTTGGCGCCCGTTGAGGTACCTTTTTTTAACACGACCTCCATCAAACGCTGCTAGGCAATAAATAATTCGATATTTCGGTTTGAAAAAATTTGTAAATATAGTTAAATACATACTTATGAGTACCAAAAAACTTGACTGCATTATTCACTTCCTTCCACGAAAAAAAAATCACGAAAAACACGTCATTTTTGAGGCGCTATATGAGAGCCTCCCTTAAATCAATGTGAAAAAACGGCCAAACTTATTTAAGCGGACTTTAAACGTTCAAATTAAAAAAAAACTTCTTTTGCAAGTTTATTAAAAATTTTTTAAGCCCAGTATCGTCAGCTATAATTATTTCGAAAAAATATAAAAAAATAAAGCGTGCGTAATTTAATGAAAACCATTAATTTGATCGTTCTGAAATATCAAGACAATAATTTGTATATTTACTGTTATAAGAATGAACTAAAATAAATAATTTTCTTTAAATCATGTATACGCCAATTTGAAAACCGTTACTACGAGAAAGAATTGTAGCACATGACACGAGACCACAAAACATGTCTGTCTTTTAATTTCTTTGAAAACAATTTTTTTTTTTTTTTGGATATAAGTATAGAACTAATTTACAATCATGAAACTTTTTTTGAACAATTGAGTATAGTTAATTAGATAAAAAATCAAGATCAAGACAATAGCAAGTTTTCATTAAAAGAAAATTGATTAGTATACAATTGATTACTATAATTAGATTTTATGAAGTATTGTTTTGTTAAAATCATAAAACATTAATTTTCAACATAAGTCTTTACTTATAAAGTATTAAGTGTAAGTTCAATCATGTATTTTGCATCATGTATCATGCATACATGTATCATGTATAGGTAAAATAATCAATAAATTATTTTTTTTAACGTAATGAAACTCGAAGATATTGAGAAAAATGTTAATACTATAACTATATCAGAATTTACTAAAGTAAAATTTTAAATAATAAATTTAAATGTTCACTCTTCAAATAAATAATCTTGAGACAAAATTTCAAAAATTACTTATATACGTATCAATTACTATAGTAGTTTATCTTAAAATTTGAAGATAGAATTTAATATATTCATTTATTGTTAAATACCTTACATTTACGATTTTACAGATTCTCAATACATATATAAAAAAAATTAAAGCAATTTTCTCATATTAGGTGGTGAAAATTAACTTGGCTTCAATAAGTTACGAAAAATTTATTCAGTTGATTCTATTGCACAATTTTTAGTATTTAAAAATATTGCGAAATGAATCATGTAGAAGTTTACAACTATTCATAGTTAAGTGTAATATGCCAAAAAAATGACTTTCAGCCTTAGTAATATACTCTCAAAAAGTGCATCGAAAAATGATAATCCTGAAAATTGTAGCCCTCTAGGTTCATCCTACATAGATATATAGGAGCTCAAAGTTGGGTTTTCATTTGTTGATGTTATTCTGTTTTTCTGAGGTGAATATGAAAAAATTGTAAAATCGTATATTTTTATGTAAAATTTCATGTAGATTTCAAATTTTTAATCACAAATCATATTTATAACCTTGAAGCCCCTTAAAAATTATTAAATAGCATAAACGTATAAAAAAGTACAGTACATACTCAGACTGAGTCATTCTTTTTCCATATCACGAAAAGTCTATAAGTGGTCTTCCTTAACCTATTGAGAACCAGAATTTAAGAAATTTCAAAAGCTCATTTTCTTTGATAAAAAAGTGAGTTCAAGTCATTCACAAAAGATTAAACTGAGGCAAAGTCTTAGACAAGTTGGGGTATGACGTCTCAAGGCGTCATCTCAGTTCTCTAAAGGTTATTACATTTATTAATAGTAATGTAGAAGCAACTTTCAACAATATTCAGGAAATATATTATTTTGAATATCATGAACTTCTCATTATATCTAATCTACACACCTTATAAAACTAGTTTACAATTGTTATAACATTTGCGATAATTACAATAAAGCGATATCTTGAAATAAAATCATGATGGATGTTAAATTCTAATTTTTGAAAGTAATTTATTGATGATGGATCTGAGAAACTTTCATTTTTTTTGGACGTCGCGTAGGATCAGCTATTTCACTGCTGCCTGAAGAATTTGTATCTGATTCATTTGAATTATCCAATGAGTCTTTTGATGCATCACAGGACTCAGAATCAAATTTTCCGGTTGCACTGACTGTCTCCAATGCACGAACTACAGTATAATACATACAATTATTATATATAAATTGATAATATAAAATAAATATAATTAAAGATAACAATTTAATAAATTTGTAAAATTGTAATTTTTTTACTACTTTATGTAAAAAGGATAGCAGAGGCAATTGATTAAATTTTCATACATGCACAAACATCCATAACTAACAGTTAAAATTATTTGTTATTTTTGAAAGTAATCTCATTAAAATGAAATGAAACATATTTAGATTAAGGTATGGCCAAGTTTTAAAAAAGTAATATTTACTCTTTGATAGAACATATTGAAATTCTGGACTTTTTGAAGATGAAAAAAAACTTTATTTTTGGATGTTTGTGTTATTTCATCATATTTTAGGGATATTGAGGCTATAAACATGATTTTTGACAGCATATTTCACAACAAATTTCACATCTATAATCATGATTTTAACTTTTTTTTATATTTACCTCAAAATAAAAAATGTATAAAAATCTTACTTTGAACCTCTGCAGTATTTTTATTTTTCAATGTACTCTTTAAGAGTACATACTTGGTTTCAATTTCTATTTTCGACATTCGACATGCAAATTATAGTTTAGCCCATATAGACAGTTTTATAATTGGATAAAAAGACACTAGGACATTTTTTTTCATTTCATTTTGACTCAATTGCTTTCGAAAATTTGCGTATAATCTCAATCGATAAAATTGAAGATGTCAAGAAAAATGTGATCAAAAATAAGTTCTTACTTTGAGCTTCAATAATATTATTTTGACGTTTCAAGTCTTCAATGTCTTGTTGGTGTGATGAGTTTTTGCGTCGCATAAATTGAATGTAGTCTGCTGCTTTTTTGAGTATTTGAGCTCTGCTGGCCACTTTTTCTCCTTGTAAAGATGGCACAGAGTCCCGTAGGCTGGAAAAGCTATCTTTAATATGATCTCGCCTTTTCCTTTCAAGAGCATTATGATGTGCTCTCTTTTCAGCCTAATAAAACATGAATGAATTAGATTATGTAAATAAAAACGTTTGTTGAAAAAAAATGAAGAATGACGGTGAAACAAGTTACTTGAGAAAAGTACTGCTGGTTGTTAGAATGTTTATGTCGTGAATCGGAGTCCTCACCCTCCTAAGTTTCATTGAAAAATAGTTAAAAATACTAAATAAAAATGTTCATTTAAACTGTGTAAATAGACTTACATAATCACTTTCGATATCTATATCTCGATCGTCGTCACTCATTGTTGACGTTTTTATAAACAAGTAAAAGTGCAACACGCAATTTATTTCTCTTTATTGGTTAGGTTAATAGTTGTAATCTTGTCGCTATAAACTTGATACAACTCATACATGTACTAAATCCATTGGCATTGGTCTGTGAATCTGTAATTTTAAATCGCTTTTGATTCCAAAATTCGCACTCTCAGTTCACAGTTTACTATAGGTGTCAACTGTCAACCAAGTACAACAGTACCACGCACAGATACCGTTGAAAGTTTACAAAATATGCAAGCAAAGAAAATAGACATATGTAGATGCACAGAGTGATAGCCGATAGGCCGAGTAAAGCTGGCTCACAGAGTACCAGAACCAACATCAAGAGGACGTGAGTGTGCGATTTAAACCCGTGATGTACCTATATCATGTGTTCTGGCAATTGAATGTAATTTTAACTTTCTATAATAAAAATCTACAAAATTGAACGTGATGAATAAGCAACTTCTATAAGGGAAAAAATATTAAATAGGAAGATCATAATAGTACTTTGTGCATCAGGTGTCGGTATGGATGTGCTTTTTCTGCAGAATGAGGGGTTAATCACATAGCCTCAAGTATACTCATATATAAACTGCATAGAGTATTTTCTAGCATTCGGGACAATTGTAACCCCGCTTATTTCCGTAAAAGCATATTCACAACCGTTGCATAAAGTTCTATTCAAGAGCCTGAAAAGTGATAATTTAATGATTTTTCGGTCAGAGTGTTATGAATGAATAAAAATCTTGAAAAGGGATTCAATGCGTGCAGTTTCGCGATGCAAGCGTAAAAATATTTGTAAAAGTGAAAAGAGTGAAATTATAAAAAAATCGATAATATGTATACATAAAGATGAATTATGATTATTCTCTCAAAATGATTACAGGCTATTAAAACTGTACGTGAAAAATATATTATTCCAAAATTATCATATTAATTATTGTTCCCATGTTTTATCGCGATTCATAAATTTGCCAGGTAGAAAAATTCGGACATCCTTTAGATTTTGGGCTTTTAACCGACATTGAAATCACCTACAAAAGTGAATTTACAATTTCCCCCATCGATAGAAGAGTATTTTATTATATTATGTTTGTTTTGCTTACGAAAAGTTTTATATGTTCCTAAGTACGAAAGTGATTATCCCAGTGAGAAATTATCGGCCGAGTGACGCGAGGTAATAAATATCAGTCAACTTGTAGTTTTTTTAATAGTAAATATTACGCGAAGAATAGAAAAGTCGCAGAGTACGTATAATTAGCAACCGAAGCGAAGCCGAGGCCGAAGAACAATACGCCTGCGAATGCTATTTTTCTTACTCAGCGGCCCGAAAATCTCTCTTCCCGCTAGGAAAGTAGTCACTTTCGAGTCGCTGCTGTGAAAAAATTGTTACGTAAAATTCACTGGCTGAGGTTGAATAGCTGTAAGGTGCTATGACGAATTTACCCTTTTACTATGTTCGAGTGCTTACAGGCTTGGATTGAACACTTGTACCCTATCTCGAAGATGGTTTGGTACTTGTTGAGCCAACGTTACTTTTGCCTATATTTATATGTTACACGTGTCTACCTTCTTTGGCCGCGTTCTACATTATGAGACAATGTTTTGACAGATTTCTAAATTTCGTATGATGTATAAACGTAGAAGAAGTTTCCCAATCGGGTATAAACATTAACTATCACTATATATTTTCGTAGCTCACTCTAATGTGTTCCATATGGATATATATACGACACCAGCTATAATAATGATTTCATGAAAGATGATATATTATGATGTATCGGAATGTAGTATGATATCTGTTAAGTGCAACTAGAATGATCAAAGTTTCACTATGCTTACAAAAAGTAGTGGAGACTGTAAAAACGATCTGTAATAAGTATAACGTGAGGCATCATCTTGCTGATTTCAACACGTTGACATCCCATTGCGCAGGATTCCAACAAATCTAATATTATCTGAAAATACCCCCAAAAATCTGACGGGACATTTTTGACTCTCAATAAACCATTTTTATGAAAAAAGTTAATCAATTTCGACGTCGAACATTATTTACTTACTATACGTGAAAAAAATTGTTAGGATTTCTTGATAATCCTCCTATGCTTTGTTTAATACCATAGGCCTTAAAGTTAGAAACCATTTCTAAAATGGTTCTCTTTTGCATATTATAAAATCGTCATAATTTTTTATATCGAAAAGTGACAACTTCAAAAAAAACCAAGAACAAAAAAGTTCTTGAAAGAAATCAAAAAAATACATGTGGATCTTTTCAAAATTTTCAAAATAATTTATCACCCACCTTCAAATGCACAAAATTGACACCACTCTTACAAAAGCCAGCAGCCATTCTTTAACTAACTTCAAGAAGCCGTTTATTATTGCCATTTTTCCTCTCTATAGTCGTTACTTTTAAAAAGGTCGCATCGATTTTTAGTGGAATAATCCACCTAAGCCTAGCTTGTACTTGTTCGCGATCCTTTACCAATAAGCAACACAATTTGGAATGTATAGCGTACTTTTTTAATTTTTACTACATTACTCTAACTTATCAAACGCACAAGTATTGTAATAGAATTTACATTTATAAAACCAGGATTTTGAATGTTATCCGATCCATCACTGTCACTCAAAAGAATTCATAAATTAAAATTGTCAACATTGTACAATGTCTTCCATCATTGACTCGTTGTACATTTGATAATATAAATGTGATTCTACAATCAGCTTACTTTGATTATTTTATTTGCTGGTAGAGAATTCAGCAAACACCAACAAAACCTTGACATTTGTAATTTTAATTTTAGTAATTGCCTTGTGAGGGGTAGTGACGGGTAGAATAAACTTCGACAATCGTTCATAACACGGAAGAAAAAATTACATTTTTCACTGATCTTCGTTTCGACTTAATATTTAATTTTGAGTTTAATATTTTCGGTAATCATAATCAAATAATAATTTATAATTTCAATTTATGTAATCAATTTCATCTTGGAAATCATATTCTAACTCGTGTTCCTCATAATCTAAAAATATTTCGTCTGATGAAAACTGATATAACTTTGCTTCAATGCCAAAAGATTTCCGTAATATTTTCTCTTCGTCGGAAGTTGATTTTCCCAAACTAAGAGAATTTTCTGTACTTGAGTTCTTTGTCTAAATTATAAATTACACAATAGTATTAAAAATCGTAATAATTAAAAAAATTTTTTTTATAAATTTAACTCGCCTGAGCGTCCTGTAATAATCGTAGTTCTTCTAAAATATCAAAATTATTCAATTCAGAATTTTTCTTATTCTGTGCTTTTTGTAAAATTTCATAATTCAAATCTACATGCTCAGGCTCAAATCCTAAATCATCATCTACGTACACTCTGGAGACATCTGCTATTGTTTCCACTCTGTAAATATTAAAATTCCACAAATTTTCAGTAAGTTATCTTAAAATATACTGTTTTGCAGTACTTACGAATTAGTAAGTTGACATGAATTAAAGTATTTGCAATTTTCTATTATACTCAATAGGTATATTGCTAGAGCATTAAAATCCATATCTTTGAAATCATTGAAATTCGTGTAGTTTACCTGTGCGAACAATGAAATTACCAATTAAATATAATTATGAAAAATTGTAAAATATAAAGTGAACACACCGAAATAGCCCCGTTTATGATAGATTTTATCTGATGCATACAATTATTATATTTATTTAAAACAGACATTGTTCTTATTTTCCATTGCTTTGCTAATGTTAATTTGATCTTTTCTTGATGTAGTAATACTTCGAGATTTCTTCGTCGATGCTTATAACCCATTGATTCTGGATTTTGTAGGTTTTTCAAAATTATTAAATAATCTTCTTCAAAAGCGGCTGACGGTGTAAATGTTTTCGACAATACATCTTTTATTTTTGATTCAACCCTTTGTAATTTTTCAAGTAAAGTTAATTGTAGCTTCCCAGTTTTCAAACGCTTAGTTATATTACTTTTGTCAATTCTGGTACTCTTTTTAGAATTCAAGGCTGAATTTCTAATTACATCAATGTATTTATAAGTATACATAAAAATAAATATCTCTATAATTAAATTAATTAAATAAAATAAGAAACAGATGAATATTTGAGAATTTACCGTTGTTTCGTTTGGGTTTCCTTCATTAAGAAATAATCGTTTCCTAATTGAACTTTTTCACTTTCAAGAACAATGTTCTCTCGCATTAATCGTTGTACAGTAGGAGAGATTACATTTTTTAAATTTTGTTGAAATTTAACGGATAAAAATAACACTTGTGCTAAAGCTTCTTTTTGTAAACTATAATTAGTTTCAATGTTGAGATTAATAGTTTTAAATATTATGATTAGTTTCTTCATTCAGACTTACTTTTCTTTATGTAAAATTGATTTTTGTTTCATACTTTCTAAAATTCTGTTTATTTCATCTTTATTGTAGGACAGCAATTGATTTTGTTTATTGTATTTATCTCTCAAATATTTTTCATTCAATTTAAAATGTTCAATGGCATTAACTTTCGCCGCTATAACATATACGTATATTAAATCATAAAATGTATTAATTTACATTTAATTTAGCTTACTAGAATTTCTAATTTTTGCTAAATGTTGTCTTCTAGTTAATTCGAAACTTTGTTCCAATCGTTTTACCGTTTTCAAATGAGCGGACTTTTCTTCGTCGATATTCTGGCATAGTTCTTCATACTTTTTTTTTCTATCGTTAATCTTCTTCCTTTCCGAAGCAATTTCCACGTTTAATTCAACAACTACATTTTCGGCCTCGTGGGCTTGGTTTTCTGAATCTTTGTTGACATTTGTACAGAATTTTTCTAAATATTCATTGCGCAGTAATAAACTGAAAGAGAATGGTAATTATGAACCTGAATTTTGCAACATTTTAAATGAAGACACATACTTGGTGTGATTAAAATTGAAAAATCTTTATAAAAAGTATTCGAAAGTTTGTTGTTTACCGTTCTATTCGATGTTGTTGATCAAGGATTTGAGATTCATACATGGCTTGATGTAAATTTGGAGTTGTGGCCCAATAGTCCATATCGGGATCATCTTCTTCTTCGGCAGGCACATTTGAAGCTCCTTTCTTGGAATTGTCCATTTGAACTAGCTGAATTTAAAATGACCAAAGTTATAGAAACTTTTTTGTGTAGGCAAGTTTATTGAAACCTTAAAAAGTGCGTAAAGCCATATGAGTCGCAATGTATAATCATAACATTTGATCGGCGATCGTATTTTGTCTTTACAAATTTGATCCTAGTCATCAGCACGCAGTACATATGTGAGTATAGGTATAATTTATTTTACAAAAGTAGGTTAAAAAGTTTTTCGATCTATTGACTTATTCAAGCTGGTCAGCTCATGGAATGTCGAATCTGAATACAAACAAGATAAGAGCATGTAGTGGGAATAAAGCGATACCGAATTATGTGTCAAGTACTACTTCAAGAGAGCTAATTTTTCATATTATTAAGCAAAATCTGAAAGATCGCAGCAACACTTTGAAACAGAATCATCGTTTGTCTTTTTCGAATTATCATTCAAGAGGCCATCGCCCAGATTAGAAGAATTATCGCTCAGGACATCGATGACCGACGGGGTCATCGCTGGTATCAATCCCAATTGGCCAAACTCGTAAATATCGTCCGATGGCACCGAATGAACCTGAGAAAGGAAAAATATTCGATTGCACGCGATCATTGAGAAAAATAATCGATGGTTCGAAGCTCACCTCAAGCAACTCCTTAGGCTCTCGATCCGAGTCATCGGAATACTCATCGAAAATATTTGCCAAGGAGTGAAGCAAATGCTCCTTGTAATCGGACAAACAGTCGGAGCAGGCATCCTCTTGATCTTGCTCGTATTGCTCGTGGCGATCGGTCGCCTGGCGCAGTTCCGTCTGTGAAAAGAAGGGGGACAAGGAAGCGAACATGAAGAAGGGCGATCGAGGGAGGATCTCGTACTTGCACTTGGCTAAGGTACCTTGGCAAGGGCTTGCTGCACGGTCCGTTTGGCTCGCTCGAGGATGTGAGCGAGTCGCGCTATTCGCTGGCAGGCCTGCTGGGCCTCTCCGCAAAGCCCCAGCCGGTCCTCTCGGCTCTTCTGGATATTCTGCTCGAGCAGGCGGCACTTGCGGAGCTCCTCGTGGCGCTCGAGGCTGGACTCGCGACGAGCCGCCTCGGACAGTCGGGCGTACTTGTCGGCTCGGAGCGAGCGGCCTATGGCTTGGCTCTTGGCCCGCTGCTCGAGGGCCAGCCTCTCGGTGCGCCGGTGCAGTCGCATGACCTTGCCGAGGGCCAGCCGCGCCTCGGCCTCGTGGAGCGAAGCGACGAGACGCAGCTCGCGCTCGTTCTCCTGGCTGTCCTGTCTGCGGGCGTCCAGCTGGCGGCAGTGGCGCAGCAGCGTCTCGAGCTGGCGGCGTAGGGCGACGTTCTCGCGCACCGTGCGCTGGGTCGCCTCGGCCAGCCGCAGACCGCTCGCCGCCCGGAAGCTGGCCGCGAGCTCGCTCAGCCGCTTCTCCAGCTCCGTTTGCATTCTGCGCTCGAACCGATCGCGAGTCTATGTATTTTCCTGTCCACGCCTCAGCGTCACTTACCGATCGACCACTTACTTGGCTTTGCCGATTATCAAGCTCTTCTCGGCTTCGTACAGGCTCTCCTTGTGGCGCAACTCCTGCTCGGCGACGCGCTTTTCTTGCTCCTCGAACTTGTTCATCAGATCTATGCGCGCCAATCTAAAGTCCTCGAGAGCGTTCAACTTGCCGGCTACGGTCCAATACACCTATTTTCATTTTGTTCTACTGCTTCCTTTTTATCGCGCTTACTAACCTGCAAGTTTGATTTCTGCACTTAAATTATTTTCCATTGTCTTAAACTCCTGTTCCATCCTTTCGATTTTCATTTTGTTAGCTTTTTGCTCGTCCTTGCGTAATTTTTCTAGGGCCAGCAGACGTTCTTGTAATTCTTCAGCTTCTTCTACTTTCCGTTGCAAAATACGCTGCAGATGCGATGTAAGATCTGCTTTATTTTCTTCTAGTTGCAATAACTTATCTTTCAGTTTTTCCGCCTCGAGTTCTAATTCTTCGTTGCGAGATCGTAATCTATCATAAGATCCTTATTTAATATATATGAATATATTTTTTTTTTTATTGCAACGAGTATTGTATTTTTAATGAAAATAGTTTTATTCATTACTTCATTTGTCGGTAATAACAATTACAATAATGCATACCTTGCCAACTGTCTATTGTTATCAAGAATTTGTTGTTCGTAAGTCACAGTGTCGAGCTCGTTCGCAACATTTCTTTTCCGTGCTTTCTTTTCTTTTTTTCCTTTGACCCCCATAATGGATTTTATTTTTTCATCATCGCGGTAATCACAATTTTTCAAATGAAACTTAAAATTTAATGGACATTGCTTAAAAGGTTATTATTCCATATACATTCAATAAAACCAAATGAAATTTGTTTCATGCACGTTTGTTGAGGTCGATATGAAAGGGTTTCCATAGAAATGATTACGACATCGCAATTCATATACCATCTAAATTTCTAACTTAAACATTTGAGCCTAGGCTGGTTTGTTCTTTTACAAATAAGCAACAAATAAACAAAAGATATGCTATTTAAAAAATTAATGATTAATATGAACGCAATTGTCCAAGTAACCTTAAAATCGATAAATTGGATGATAATGTTAAAAATACATTTTAATTATCGAGTTCCTTATAATGTCATCTGTACAATTATTTTATTTTCGTATCTTCAATAATTAATTACTGTTTATAATAGATAATAATTAATAATGACATGAAATTTTATAAACGTAAATGGTATTAAAACTCAACTATATTACAGTTTTGATGATGAAATATTGTAAATTTTCGTGCTCGTATTTATTTTACATTAACTGTTGTTTCCGTTTCGGAAAACGATTTTCATTAATTTACTGTAAATAAATAAACCAAAGCAACACCAATATTTTAATAGACAATAAATATGAAATGAGAAAATTTTATCTACAATTCTACTCTATTAAACTCTATTAAAGAAGAATTCCATACTTAAGATAAAGTATTCATTTGACTGGTCACTATTTTTTCAATTGACTTTAACATGACTTTCGTATTTCAAATTGTTAGTTACTATGAAAATAAAAAAATTTTAAAATCAACTTCGATGGATTGTTATAAAATTGTCATTTTCGCTTTGGCATCCGATTACTTCGATTCGAAGAATTTCTTCATTTTCAATACCGAAGATTCATAGTACATGAAGGAGAAAGAGAAAGAGAGAGAGAAAGAGAGAGAGAGAAGGAGAACAATCTACTTATTTTATTTGACGTCCAGATAAGCATTTGCACTTGAAAAATATCAATTTTAAATTTATTAACTTACATTCAAACGGTAAAATCCATACTTAAGTTAATACTTATTCTGAGTAAAGAAAAGAAAAATATTCGTAGAATAATGATTAAAAAAAGTTTTTCTATTATAGTTAACATAAAAACTTCTCTCTAAGTTATCTGGAAATAGAACGGTTTATTCAAAGAGTTTAAGTTTTTGGGATTGGTCTCAAAAACTTTGAAAATAATTTGTTCAAATTTGAAATAACTTAATTTACTGGTGCAGCAGCAGCAGCAGGTCTCGAGGTTAATCTTTTTAAGTAAAAAATTATGCCAAGAGCTCCGCTAAAGATTCCGATTAAATATATGTCCCAATTAGAAGGAATTATTTCTTCCCATTTACTTAATTGGTCAATTATTGTTAATTCTTGAAAATAATCAAAACCAAAAAGAAGAAATAATTTAATAAGAGCTAAAGCCACTGGTATACGCGCATCTGGACTCGCTTCAGCTGCTAAATCATAACATCGTTTCGCGAGATGACGATCTTTCGTCAAACCAAGTCCTCGTTCGTGCATATAACCAAGATTGAACATCGCTTGAGCATTGTGTTGCTGTTCAGAAGCTGACCGGTAGTGACTTGCAGCAGCTTCATAATCTACTTTTGTGCCACGGCCGTAATAATGTGCATCTCCAAGTTTCACCTATAAACATAAGGTGTTGATATTAACACTTTGGTGAACTTTTCAAAAAATTAGATCTTTTACAATATAAATTATGCAACATAAAAAAATTTAATTTTCGATGTAACTATAAATAAATTGATGTTCTCTTCGAAGATGCATGAAGTAAAAAACATTTTTCTAAGAAATCAATTGAAGTGAGTTTCTTCCAATGTGTTCTAAAAAAGTTGTTCATAAATTTTTTACTTTTGTTAATTCAATTTACCTGAGCAACAGAGTAACCCTGAGCGGCGGCTCTAGCCCACAGAGCAAGGGCGCGGACAAGTCCCTCCTCTTCATTGAATATACTTGTTTCGGTTCGATCGAGAATAAACGCAGCATTGCTCTGAGCAACTTCATAGCCCATTTCAGCCAACAGATAATACTTAACAAAGGATTCGTCTACTCGAGCATCCCGGTAATCTGCATGAGCCGCCATCAACTGGTCACTCCATTTACCTCGTTCAGCAACATTTTTCAACAATTCTACAGCTGATGGACAACTGCGCATCATTCCTGTTCCAGTGGCATGCATTTGTGCTAAATTGTAAAAGGCCAAAACATGACCAGATTGACTAGCAAGATTGAAATACTTATTAGCTAGTTTGTAGTCTCGTCGAACTCCAGTACCACCTGGTAAATACAGATATTTTTTTTTTACACTTCTAATACCCATGAAAAAATGTATCAAATAGAACATACTGAAATACATGTTCCCAAGTTGCAATTGACCATCAACCCATCCTTGTTCAGCAGCTTGACTGAAATATTGTAAAGCTTTTGCTGGATCTTTTTCAACTCCTTTACCATGTAAGTACATTAAACCTAATCCACTTTGACCTACAGGGTTTCCAAGTTCAGCAGCTTTTTTGAAATATTTTAAAGCTGTTTCATTATCTTGCTTTACTATGTCACTTCCCTCCAAGTATATCTGCATAAATTTTTTTAAATTTCATTTTCATTGTTTAAAAATTGTAAGAATTATTCAGTGTTATACAACATTAGGAAATTATTTGTTTTCTTACTTTGCCTAAAAATCCCATTGCTACAGGATTACCAGCATCTGCGGCATTTTGAAAATATTGTAATGCACGTTGGTGATCAATAGGCACACCTCTTCCACCTTGATAATGAAGTTGACCTAAACCAACTTGAGCCTGAATGTCACCTTTTTCAGCAAGAAGTTGGTAATATTCTATTAAATCCTGATCAAATATTCCAGAATTATAATTTGGATTCTCATATTCATCAAGAAGCCGAACTCTTTGGACAACTGGACCGCCACTTAGCGATACTTCATCCGCAACTCGATTGGCCACTTTTCGATAAAAATCTAAAGCCTTTTCACACGATGCTGGAGTAGTTATACCTGACCAATGACGATAACCCATAACCATTTGGGCCCGTATATCACCTCCAAGAGCTGCAATTGTATAATGCAAAAGAGATTTTGCTTGGGAAGCATTAACACCTCCCAATCCAGTTGCATACAAAAATCCCATTCCCTAAGAAGTATAAATGTCTTTATTCTCAAGTTCTCTGTGAATAAACTTAAATTATTTTGTAAAATTCAAACTAACCATATGAGCAGAAGGCAATCCAGTTTCAGATAATTCCTTTAAAGTCAAAGCAGCAGCATTTATATCTTGTCTTGAAGAGCCAACATGGTTTCCAAGCAACTGTGACCATGCAATCATTGATCGAGCTTCTTTATGACCTAATATTGCAGCTGTATTCAACAATGTATAAGCTTCAACTTTGTTAACTTTAGTGGCATTTAAAAGGCTTTTAGCTTGATTGAATAAATCTTCAGCTGGATATTAAAAAAATTAGTTCAAAACATTTGAAAAATTAAAAGAAATTTGAATAAAAGTATTTACCCTCTTGCTCTTCAGGAGTTAAAATTTTTGGTACTTCTTCAGATAGCTCGTCTTCAGTTTTGTCATCAGACCAGCCTTCTTCTTCTTCTTCTTCTTCTTCCTCCATCAAAATTATTTCTTGAGAGTTCAAATTAATAGTATCATCATCTTTCATCCGCATGGCATGAGTAACTTTCCATGCAGTGTCACTGTTTTTATCAGACTCATCACTCTCTTTGTCATTTTGTTTTGTAGGTGTCAAAACAGATTTTTCAACCGATGAAGGCAGTCGAGAACGGATGTTTTCCCTTAGAGCTGTAATTTCTCTCAAGTGTTCAAGAATTAATTCAAAATCTTCCGTTACGACCTCTTCGTCATTGCTCTCCGAAACAGGTTTAGCTTTTGCATTTGATTGGCTAACATCGTTCTCTTTAGCCGGATGAACCTCGGTATTAGAAACGGGAGCGGCGGTACCATCCTGGTCGGCTTTAACTAAGAAGAGCCACACAAGCAAAAGGCTAGTAATTACAAAATGTAGAGACTTCATTGCTACAACGAGTTGGCTACGCTCAGCAGCGCATCAAAGCGCTTTCGCAGCCGCCAGCCCGTTTTTAATAAACGTCAAAAGAAACACATAAGTACGTGGACATCGTCTAGCAGACTGGCATCATCCGTCCTATCATTAAATTACGTCAGTGTAGTGACACGTCAGTGTATCATATTTACAGCTGCTGCGAATCTACCTATATATTTAACATATAGAAAATGAAATTGAAATTAGCAATGTTTTATCGATACAAGAAAAGAAAAAAAGACTTACGGTGAGAAATCAACATCAAGTTTTTACTCTAGTTTTGATAACAATCTATTCTATATCGTACAGCCATACAGGAACATATTCATTACTTGTTTACGTTGAAATAAATAAGTCACGATGATTTGTAGCTAGTGATAGTTTCCGAAACTTATTATAATTTCAAATCAATCGATTTTTCCATAAACTAAGTTTAATAATATCTAAGTCTTTTACTTTTAATCTAACTACAAATAATAACATAGCCGCAAACCGCTGTCGACAATACACAAATATTGACGATGTCTATAGTGTATTGTGTAGAGTCCTATCATACATGTACAACGCATGTACCCACATATTTCCTTTACCTACTGAAATATTATCTATAGTACTAGGTTGCAAGCAACGCGATGATGATTCATAAATTTTCCAACATTGGCAGAACTGAATTTAAACTTAAAATTTATTGCGATCAAAAGAACCCTTCCCTGTTTTAAGACCCGACGAGAATAGGAAAAAAGCACCACTTACACATCTCAATGCGAAATTTATAAAAATTTTACCAAATTTTTATTCAAAAGTCTAATATTTTAGTACCATTAAATTAATTGGATTTTACTTGTTTTTTTTTGTGTTCAAGTTTTTAAGTGTTCAAATTTTATTTATTTACGTTTGATTCAAGAAATGACTAAAAGTTATCAATACTAAATGCAATTCAAGGTCTACTGAGTCAAACAATTTTTTAATTTATCAAGTGAAAATTTTCCCATAAGCTTCATATTTCTTCAAAAAATCCAAATTCATTTTGATTTTTGAAATTCATCAGACTTTAAATAATAAAATTTTATCTGCTTTTTAAATAACTTTATTTTCATTATTTTTAAATAACCATAATACAAAATTATAAAAATACAAAACTTATGTATTAAATATTAGCATTAAATACATTTTTTCTATAAAAATCAAGTTCTTGTATGCTTTCTTTTATGTCATCAAGAGCCCGATGACATAGATCTTTAGAGGGAGCTGAATTATAAATTTCAGGTTTCCACCGCCTGAAAATAACACAATCCATTTTTAGTTATCAAAAAATCAAAATTGATCGATAAAAAAAATATTTTAAAAATTGTAATCATACCTCACGACTTCCTTAATGGAAGAAACATCAATAATCCTATAATGCATATAATCATTAGCAGAAGACATATATTTTCTAAGAAATAGCCTGTCCATATAAACAGAGTTTCCTGCCATAGGGCACTTTCCTTTAGGTATGTACTTCATCATGAAGTGTAACAAACTGTCGCTAACTGATTTTTCATCTTCTTTACTTTTTCTTGAAAGTTCAATGAGTCCAGTCTTCAAAAAAAATTTTTTATTTGAGTTGGCATGAAAAATAAGTAAAATACAATACTTGGAAATGGTATATGCATACTTGTCTGTGAGTTTTTGTACACCATTCATCCATGTTATTCAAGAGAGAGTCCGGTTGGTATAATATTTTACAAAATTCATCGCTAACAATATTTAAATGTTCATCTGTAATCAAACAAGCTACTTCTAAAATTCGGTCTGTTTCCACATCAAGACCAGTCATCTAAAATCAAAATAATTAGATTATAATGAAAATGATTCAATTGTGAGTTTTATTATTATATACCTCCATATCAATCCATACAATCCGACTTCTGTGTTGATTTTCAGCCATTTCTTTGACAGTTTGTTTTTTATTTGCTGCAGACATTTGAAATAAGAATATAGAACCATTAAGCTAAGGTTAAGTTAGTTCGATCCTACCTACTGCTTGACAGTGCAGTAGTAGCCCCGCGATCCATCAGTTACCACTCAACATACTCACCGTAGGGCTGAGACTTGCGACTGCGAGCCCTTTTAAAGTTTCTTATGCGCAAGCGCTATCGGCACGATGTTAAGTAATATTCAAGAGACCCATTGTCAATAAAAATATTGAAGAAAATAGGTATTAATTATTTATTATTGATAATGACTTTATTGACAATGAGAACGTCTTGACGAAATGATTGTTTTAAATTTTGAACTTACTATAATATTTAATATTACTATAAAAGTTAATATTTTTACCATTAATGGAGTAATAAACTGATCTGCTGTGGCGTTCGAATTTCTTGAAACATCTATTAGCAGTTCTTATGATAGACATAATAGAAAGCAATTTGAAGTCATTAAGACACAGCTTACAGAACCATGTAAACAAACCAAAGAAAAAGTCTTGATTACGTTACACGTGTTGAAAATCAACTGATTTAACCTATGATTTAAATGAAATATGTAGTATATTATTACGTTTTGATGTAGAGTGCTTGGTAGGCACTCTTATGCCGTACTGCACTGAGCGCTTCGAAGAAGTCAAAACGGTATGCGTATATAATATAGCTATAAGACGACACTACTTTATATATATATACATACATGACTATTGTTATTAGCTGTTTATACAAAAAGAACATCAGCTGATTAAGTTTTTTTGTGTTGTAAGGTTTTTAAGGGTAGTATAAAGTAACTCTTGAAGTTTTGGAAACAATTTTTATTGACTTTTTAGTGTACAATGTACGCATGTACTTATACCCAATCTCCGTAAATGCAAACAAAAAAATTTTTTTGTTGGCGGCCACGATTTAGATAGAAATATTCAACAAATGAACAAAAGCATTTTGTTCGTGAAGATACTCACCGACGTTGGAACCTGTAAAAAAAATGTTATTTTAAATTGAAAAAATGGCATTGATGAAAAAAACAAAATTGTAAAATAGACATTTTTTGGGCAATTTTTTGCTTTAAAACAATTATTCAATGCGGCATTTTGGACATGTCGAAGTTTCAGTAACGTAAAATAAGCAGTAAACATTTCAGGATTTGTCAAGTATTTTCTTCTGTAGAATGACTACCAATTGAGGAAATGTAGTATTTGATTCAGATGCCATAGATTAACGGTTCAATAGTTGATAATACGCTTTTTTGAACATTTACGATATCTCCGCCATTTTATAATGAAAATCGAAGAAAAATTTTTTTAAGTACCTCAAGATAAAACCTCAATTATTCAAGATTAGTCCTCAAAGTCTTTAATTAAAATATCTATCGTGGCTTCCACAAAAAAACTATAACAATTCTGTATTTTTAAAAAATTTTTATTATTTCTTCTTACTAAAGTCCTATTTATAATTCTTTGTCATCAGATGTACTTAATATCCTAATTCATGGACTCATTATTCATTTTGAAAATAAGCCCGAAAATACTATTCTTTTTGTTTATGAATTTAATGTAAGGACTAATGTACACCAGGAACTCAAAATTTCTTATGGAAATTTTGAATAGTATTTTTACTTCCCTATTCATTGCTATTATGAAATCTTCGAATTTCCGTTTTTTCATTGAGAAACAGCTTTTTTTTTCTTTTCAATTTTTCAATTTTTTTTCTTCTTTTGCCTTTTTTGGCAAATTATGTTTTTAGTTTAATTATCTCAAGGGTTTTGTGCCAATGTCGCGTCCTCGATATCTAAACTGAAAGTTAGCTGGGTTCCGATTGAAATTTCTGAGATTTCTAATTGTTCCCATTTGGAAATTGGAAAAATAAAAAAAAAATTTTTTTAAATCACGTTTTTTTGGATAAAATCAAGTTTAACTTTTGACCTTATCATTTTATCGAAAATCTGAGATCAGATTCTGAAAGGGCATTCAATTGTACATTAAAATAAGTTACTCGCACATTTTGTTGACCCCATTTTCACCAAAAATACGGTGGCCGAATCAAGTGTTGAAAACATGTCCGCTTGGGACTTAATGGGTTAATATATCAACAATATTTTTATTCATGAGTCAAAAAATAAATGAAATAAATATGAAGAAATGCTTCAATTTTTTTGAATTTTAATGCCTTTTTGAATTATATATTAGTTAGAAAAAATGAAAGCACTAATTTCTCAAAGGAGACACTGGAGCCTGAATAAAATGTATTCTGCCTGAATAAATTTTCTCTTCAAACCTTACTATTGAAGAAAAAAAGCATGTAACATTTAATTGATGATTTTAATTTGTACTTCGAATTTCTGTTCTGATCTAAATTTTCGTTTTCAAAAACTTCATGCAAGTTGATCTGTATCAAAGTAAGAAATTAATGAAGTGCATCTAAGCCTATTACATCCAGCTGATTTGCCATAATACAGCAAGCTGTAGTTAAGATCGTTTAATATCTTTTACTTTAATACGAAAAATTTATTATTATATCTGGTCTTACTATTTTTTAAATACGCGCTGCAAGTTTGCGCGCGTTTTTTCTTAGAAGGTTGGTAATTAGTGACTATAAATCGATGACAAATTAAAGTGCAGGACGTCATCATGCTGCACACGTTTGTAATTCTCATTGAGAGTTTCACTTGAAAAATTTTCAAGTTTTCCACTTTCCAATTATCGTACTATCAGAAATTATAAGTAGCATGCAAGTCTGTTCGAAAATTTGTGGAGTGATTTTCACCCTGTCGGTTCACTCATGATCAGCCATATCTATAATGGGTACCCTAATCGCACTGCACGTTCAATGTGCGCGTGAGCCAGTTATAATAGATCTACAGCGGCGTGTGTGACTGTGCAGTTGCATGATTGCAGTTTGCATCGTACGATGCCGCAGACATTCATAAAGAAATGAAATATTGTGCAGTTGATTTATGCAGCTGATATATATATATATATAATATATATTATATATGTGTGTGTGTGTGTGTGTGTGTTACAGAGAGATATATATGTATACATATATAGCTGCTATATAGCTTATACACTGTGTGATACGTGTACGGCTCAAACGACTGTACGTGCTGAGTGCAAAATAAAATTCTACTGAAATTTGCTGCGCCGTCGCGCTTCATCCTTCACTGGTTTGCTGTTTTTGCAAACTACAGTCCCAACATTCGTAACTGTCGTAAGCACCTTTGAAACAGAGTAGCCTCTCGTATAAGGGAGACTCGATCAGTTTTAACTGTAGTATGTGTAGAAAGCTTAGTCTCTCTGAATTTATGATCAATAAATAAATACCTTTCATTTTCATGTGTTGAGTGGCAATCTGTAGTCTGTAGACATTAAACCTGGCGTCTTACAAGTGTTGGTACTATTAGTAACGGATGAAAAGCCGATGAAGACGCACCATGTCTGAAAGTAATAATGCCATAAATTGAGTGAACAAGAAAGAAAGAGAGCAAGTCATATAGATTGTTGCCCGACGTAGACGGACGACACATAGCAATCAATTGCAGTTTACACATAAGTTCGTAGTCGACTCTCTGCGTTTGGCAGATAATGCGGCCGCTGATCGAATTTTTTGGAAAACGACAACAAGCTGCCTCAACTGTCGACTTAAACGACGACCCAGCATCTGCCTTTTATTATGCATTTCGAAGATTCAATGCAAGAACGATCGATTTCAAGCATGTGAGGACTTACTATTTTTACTGTTTTCAACATTTGCATTTTTCTTTTCATTGGTGCTTATGAATCCACCTCCATACTTAACTCACTTTAGATTACTGTACAAGATATTCTTATTTAAGAGTTTTAGCAAGTAAAAATTAATGGCATTGCACATTATAGATTTATTGATTTATTTAACTGTGATTGATGTTACACCAATAACTCATTTTCCATTATCTTATTATTACTTTTTTACAGGAATAAGTCTGTTGAAAATCTACTTCTTTCCAGTCATGAAGTTATTACTAGTATTAATTCTTCGTCGCTTTCCGGTTATAGTTCAACTGCAAACTTGACAAATGGGGCTTACAATGAATCTGCACAGGATGTTTCTTCAGGAGGAGAAAATGAGCGGACAAGCCCAATTTCAAGTCCAAATTTGTCCCCAAAACCAAGTCCTAGATTTGGTAAAAGAAAAGATAAAGATAAATCACATAAGGACCATAAAGATCACAAAGACCACAAGGATCACATTGATCATAAAGATCATTCTATGAAGAGTAAAGAATCTGATTGTACTCCATATTCACAAAAAGATATAAGCTTAACCAAGCTAAATGATCAACAAATGCCGGTAAAGACAATTTTTATACTATTATTTAACATTGTTCATTCATCAATCATTTCCAATATAAGTTTCTTAAGAAACTTTTAAAATAAAATGGATAACCTATCATTTACAATGCAATAATTTTAAATAATTCTTTTCTAAAAGAATTTATAATATTTCTTTTCTACTTAATAATTGACGGTATCTTTTTTTAATATTATATTAAAATTTATTCTACATAGAAAATGATAATTATGTTCACAGAAAAAAGTGAGAATAATGGAGCATTTTTTATTTTAATTTTCTTTGAAAAAAGAGTTATATATATTTCAACATAATTATTGATTGTATGTCAATGCATGTAATGTGATCTTATCAGTATAATTTTTATCAATATTTCAATCGTGAACCAGTAATTTAAAATAGATTAGAGGTTTCTCACTTGGTGATAACAGCAATATTTTATTATACATCCAAATACTTAATCATAAGTTCAAATAATTATTAATGTTATAGGAAATTACAAATCTGTCTTCTAAGTCGGATGGAAAATTTGAAGGAAGAAAAGACAGAGGAAGTGATCGTAGTAGTAAGAAAAAGTCATGGTACTCTAATATTCTTTATCCTACATACAAATCTCGCTCTGATGATTTCAAAAGAATATTTAAAGATGTACCAGATGAAGAAAGACTTGTTGTTGGTAAGGACTTTTTCTATAAATATTATGTTCATTTGTAGAAAAAAACACATCAAAATATAATTTAAAAAATTTTTAATTTATCCAATGTTTATTACTTTAACAGATTACTCTTGCGCGTTGCAACGAGAAATATTAGTTCATGGGAGACTGTATGTTTCACAAAATTATGTATGTTTTTATGCTAACATTTTTATGTGGGAAACACTTGTCTCTTTGCGTTGGAAAGATGTTACTTCAATGACTAAAGAAAAAACAGCTCTTGTAATTCCAAATGCTATATTAATTTCTACTGCCAATGATAAATTCTTTCTAACATCTTTTGGGTCACGCGATAAAACATTTATGATGTTATTCAAAGTTTGGCAAAATGCTCTCATGGGACAGGTAAGATCAATACTTATTATAATTAAGCTGTTTTTATTTTGTTTTATTTTTATGTTTATTGAAATAAAAGTAATACTATATTAATACAACATTTATAAGTATATATTTAATGAGTGTTGTTTCTTTAACTTTTTTATTTATGTCAAAATTCCAATTAAATCTATATTTTATAAAAAGATTGGAAAAAGCGAATGGAAGCCTAAGTGCAAGAGTAAAAAGTGTAATTTAGAGGTATTAAAGACCATTGTTGCATTATTTAAAAGCCCATTTGCTTATAGAATTAGGAATTATTTAAACGATAACAATTTTCCTTAAAGTCAATGAGTATGACTGAAATGTGGCAGCTCGTTCATGATTGTTATGGAGAAGAACTGGGGCTAACATCTGATGACGAGGATTTTGCATCACGTCAATTAGCAGTTGCAAGTACAGAAAAACTCTCAACGCAACTTTCTTTAGAATCGTTTTCAGAAGTACAAAGAATATTTCTTAGTACAATGCGTATATAGAACCTACTGAAAATAAAAAAAATATTATATAATTTTAGGCTGATGTGAAAATTGGAAATCCTGTATCATCTGATGCTCTAGCAGAATCACCACTTACTCCTTCATCACCAATACACTCAACTACTGGTACAAGACCTGATGGATCAGTCGACCCTACAGATCTTAGTGATACTAGTGAAAGTGAAGAAGAAAAAAATTCATGTGGTAATAAAGCAGAAAAAAATAAAAACCATTTATCCTTACAATTCTCCATATCAAAATACCGAGTCTTTGAGGCAAATATTTAGAATCTTTATTACATTGAAATGTTATTTATTTACTAGGTAGGATAAGTTTAGTCAGTACAGCGGTCTGTACAGCTTCACATGAGGGTAGACCTCTCATAAAAGCAACTTTACCAATCCATATAGATCAGTTATTCACTCTTCTCTTCACAAATTCGAAATTTTTTCTGGACTTTCATACAGCTAGAAAAACTACAGGTATTAATGAAATTAAATGATCATGATTTTAATTTTACGAACGAATTATGAATTGTATTTTCTAAACTTATGTATTTGTGTAGTAGTAAAAATTTAAAAGCTAATTAAATTGTATTTTACCTTATATATATTCTTATTAAAGATTGATGAATTATTTTTTCAAAGACTTGATTCAACCTGCTTGGACTCAAGATGATGCTACGGGTCAAAAACTAAGAACAGTTTCTTTAACTGTTTCACTCACTCAAGCTGTAGGCCCAAGATCTTCCCAAGTGACAGAAACTCAAGTTCGTATTCATTTTACTTAATATTTTGTGGTGTTTTTACAAGAAAGCAGTCAACGTTTTTTTTTACTTTTCTGTCAGAAGCGTAAATCGCTCATAATAGCATTTCTCCGATGTTTTTTGCGCATTCTTAACACTTTTTAATGACTCCAGGCTGTTAGACTTAAAGACCCATTACAAAAATTTATCTAGTAGTAGAGGACAATCTGAGGAATCTCTGCGAAAGGTTTTCGAGATCAAATTACGAATCAAACTCGATTATATTTTGAATTTTTTTTTTTTCTATCGGACAACCTTCGGGAGGGCTCAAATCACTTTGAAGTACTGTTTTTCTAAAATTTTGGACAATTTCCAACCAAAAAGCTTTCTTGTACTTTTTCATTCAAGTCACCTGATAGTGTGTTAGGAATCACTTTTGAAGTTTACGTTAATCGTGAATTACGGAAAAATGTCAACTTTAGGCCTCTGAAGACTGGTGATAAACAGCTCTGAAATTTCTTATCAAATTTGGAAAAATTCCTGACATCAGGAACAAGTTTTTATGTTTGTAGAAAAATTTTTGTTGTTGATTAAACTTCACTGAGAATCGACCGATTACACATTTTTAGCGTTCGATCGTTGAAAACGAGGTATCTCTTTAAATAATATAACTTTAATCAAAATATAATAATAATTATATAACTTTTATCAATAAGAAAACGATTATCAGAAATCTCTGGCTATTAGTCAATTTTGAAATAATTTACGGAAATACTTTAGCTAAGTAAAGATATATTTTTTTAAGATCATTTAACATAAATTATTTTACGTTCTGGTAACTAGTTTTATTAGAAATTGCTTTGGAAAAAAACACCTGCAAAATTACCTTAAAACATTTATAACAATAAGTAGTTTTTAGACTTCATTCAATTTTTTTCTATAAGACATAATTTTCTAAAATTAACTTTTATTAATTTTATATATTTCAATTAAAACTGTGTTAGAAATTTGTACATTTTTATAGGTGATGCTCCCATGCAGTACCCCAGGTCATTTATATTGCATCGATGTTGAAACTACAAATGCAGGGATACCGTATGCTGATTCATTTAGTGTTTTGTCGCATTATTGTTTAACTAGTATTTCAGAAACTGAAACAACCTTTGAAGTGTTCGCCGAAATCAAGTATAAAAAGAATGTTTGGGGTATAGTTAAAAGTAAGTTTACAAATAAAAATATCAAAAAATTGTATCGATGCAAATTTTAATATATATTAATTTTATTGCTAGGCTTCATTGAAAAAAATTGTTGGGCTGGTATGCAAGAATATTTGAATAGTTTAATAAAAGCTTTAGCGGTAGAATGCGAAGAAATTGGTGCAGGAGCTGTGGGTATCAAACGGAAAACGAGACGGCGACGACGTGTTGCAGCCACTGGTGTTACCATAAAAACGCATGCTCCTGATCATACAGCCTTTAACCACCAATCGCCTGTTGTAGAGCTGCCTTTATCACGCAATATTACTGGTAATTTTTAAAAGTTTTAATATTTTGATTTTAAACTGTTTAACAATTTGAATATTTTTAATTCACAGCTTCTGTAGATTTACGACCTGAAAGCAGTCCTGTCGTTAGTTATATTCTCTTGATTGCTGTACTGTGTTTAATGGCTATAAATGGTTTACTATACTATAAATTGTGGAATATAGACCAAGCTGCCACATACACAGTCATGGATCTGCATGTTTTAAAGTATGTATTATGTCCTCGAAGATAAGTTAACACACTATCGTTTGTAGTTTAGTATTTTGTTTTTACTTATGCAGTAGTTCTAAACTCTGTTTTTGGAGACAATTAATTTTCTTATGTTTTTTTGTATTCTTGATTGCATACATGTTTTAATTCAATTTTATAATTGACAAAGGAGAGGTTCTCAGGACACGTGTTCAAAAAATGAATTTATTTTGCATTTTCGAACTGCTTATACATACAAAAACCCCTCCTGCAATTTGATATGTAAATTTGAATTCTAACTCAGTTAAGTCAGATTGAGATTAAGCGCTTACACGGCGCTCAATTGCATTTGACAACTTCAAACGTGTTTTTCTTCGAAACAGTGGTTTTTTTTTAGCATTTTTTTGTAGCATAATTTCTCGAGATCTATAGAAATATAGTCGATGTATCGTGTTCGTTTGGATTTATTTTAAAGATACATGAATTTTCGGATCTTGAACTAGTCACAGAACCTTATCGCTTTTTTTTTTTTTTTAATTTATCATTTTTCATTGTACAGCAATTAGAAGAACCGAAACACAGCAAAAGAAAGTTTTTTCATAAAGTCAGTCATTTCTTCAATTTTTTTTATTTTTTGGGACTGGTTCAAGATTTCAGTAAATATCATACAAATATGAAACAATTTTCGCCGCCTGATTTGAGACAATTTTACGAAGGTTTAGCTTGTCACCCAGGGCGTTCAGTTTTTTAAACGCAACCCTGTTCGAACGCTATTAAATTATTAATGAAGGTGTATTTTGTTTTGACAAAAATTACTTGTAGTAAAAGTAAGTAGTAAAAGTACTTGTTAAAAATTGAGAAATAATTGAGAAAACCCTTGCTATTTTCGTAGCTCAGAGAACCTCCCCCTAACAAGCATATAATTATGTATAGCTTTATACATTTTTTGTATAATTTTTCAATTTACATAAAATTAAATATAACAATTATTGAAAATATAAAAATAAAATTAATAGAAATACACCAAAAACTGAAGAAGATTGGATAAGTTTACTACAACAACAAGAAAGTTTGCATAACATAGAAGTCAAAAAATGGCAGAGAGTGTTACATTCAGCAGCACAGTTACTTAGACAGGTATTTTTACTAATTTACTTAGCTAGTTATTTTGAATAAATAGTTTTTCATAAATTCGTATCAACTTTTATAGACTGAAGAATCATTAACACAACTTCAAATGAGTGTTCATCCAACAACAACTGAAAAAATGTTTTCAGTATTAAAACCTGGATTAAAAACACATAATACTCAAAACGATCAGCAGCATAAATCCGAATTATGAAAATATCGTAGGTTTTAAAAATGTACAATATTAAACCTGCTCAAGGCTGTGTTTGCTACTAAATTATCCATCTTATGTCATTAAACTGTAAGATGCAATAATTTGACTTATCTGAAAATGCAATGAAATTAGTTCAGTTCTGATTAAATTTTTTTTGTTTGGTTTTATTAACTTTGTAGAGATGTATTATCACATTTTTGGCAGTTTTTGCATTTTTATAGAATAAGATCGAAGATATTGTGCTTGTTATAATTATTAAATGTTTGCTGTACTAGAACTGTAAGCTCTTGCTCAATATGACATTTTAGAATTGAGAAAAGAAGAATGTGTATATATTTTTTCTGAATGAAAAATCAAGTGATAATACAAGTGTAACCTCATACATGTTGCATTATTTTTTTCTGTTCAGAATGAAAAATAATCACGAAACGATTGTAAAAATTAATTTAAAAATATCGCACATAATTTAAGTTATAGAACTTTGTGAATATTTACTTTTTAAGTAGTTTGTATTGATTGTTAAAATTATTGTGTACATTTATGATGTAGTAAATGCTATAAATCATTTAGTACTTTTATTCATAACTTTAAAAAATTCTAGTTTATACAAGGTTTCACTTAAAAGCATTTCAATCAAATCTGTATTTTGACTTTGATAATAATACTGTGTCAGACTAATGAAGAATAAGTTATGAGTCAAAAAACTAGTATTGAGTTAAAAATACTATTTATTACAATTAGAATTTTTTAGTAAAACACAATGAAAAGCTTATGGTCTTATACATCTTCCGGTTTATTAAATACAAGTGTATATCCGCATTTTCCGCAATAATGCCTATCTTCCATAGCGGCCATAAAAACTCCAGCACCACATTGTTCGGACGGGCATTCTCTTCTCAATCGATGGATTTTGCCATTTTCATCAACCTGAAATGAAAAATTGTATAATTATACATTGGAATACTTAAATATAATTAACAAATATAGTCAATTTAAAATTACAACCTTATAAAACTTCAAGGCAGAAAGCTTGACTTTCTTTTTCTTATGCTTGATTTTTTTGGGGGTAGAATAATTCTTCTTTTTCCTTTTTTTAGCACCACCCCTCAACCGAAGGACAAGGTGAAGGGTTGATTCTTTCTGAATGTTATAGTCTGAAAGTGTGCGTCCATCTTCGAGTTGTTTTCCAGCAAAGATTAATCTTTGCTGATCTGGAGGAATTCCTGTTAAAATGAATAAAGTTTAAAAATATAATGTATTTTTCTTGAATATTTCGTAATATATTAATAATATTAATTAAAGAGTCAAAATTGTATTACCTTCCTTGTCTTGGATTTTGGCTTTAACATTTTCAATCGAATCAGCCGCATCAACTTCAAGAGTGATGGTTTTCCCAGTTAAGGTTTTAACAAAAATTTGCATTTTGATCTGAAAAAGAGAGTATTTTCGTTAGTTAAATCAAGCACTGTGCATATTTATAAAACAAAAACATTCGTACAATTTTAGAACAAGGATACAGAAAAAAAATTGAACAATAACTAAAGCTTGTTTTATAGATATAAATAATTTATTAAATATTATTTTATGAGTATTATACAATAATTATATGCTAACCCAAGAGTACTGCATTGATGCATCCATGATTTTTTGGATTATTCGTTACTTGAGCATATTTGCCCCATACAATTTTACCAGATTGTGTGACCAAGCCTAATTCTGAAATGTTTACTTCAATGACTGTTCCTTTAGTAATTACACCTAATGAAGTATACATAGGAGAACTAGGATTTCTTTTGACACCAATTATTAGCAAACAGAATGTAGCTTTAAGCTCTGGATGGGTGACATGAGCTTTATTAAATCTCAATGACATGGGGCGAATAAATCTTTCAAATTTCGGAGGTTTCCTAGTAAAGTTTTCTCCATCAAATGTGACTTAAGTTACCATACGCTTCCAAGACTTTCTTTTGGTCTTACCAGACTTGAGAACTCTAAAAACTTCAGAATCAGCCTGAGGTCTTACTTTTGGAATAGGTACATACCATTTACCAGCTTTTTCTTTTCTTTTCTGCTTTATCATGTTTGACAAGACTTCAGCCCTTGATGTGACATCACGATCAAGCAAATAAACAGGCAGTACACCTTCTGGAGTAAGTGAATCTTTCTTTTTTATGTTGCGCTCTTCATGAACTTTAATCTTTTTTTTCATTTGTATCTTTCAATTTCTTCTTTACTTATTGAATAACTTTGCTTTGATACCACAAAGACTTCTTGCTTTTTCAGCATCTTTATGTGGAGCACGAGCTTCCCTTTTTCTTTTGAGTTCTTCATAGTCCAGCCTTCTTCCAAAAAGTTTTCTATGTCATTCAATGTATTCATTTTGTGGCATGTTATTTTTTTCAATTCACCCAATTATTTGAACCTAAAAAAATATTATGGTACATTGTGTCAGTCAAAACCAAAACAATTAAATTTCCAACTCATAGATTTTAAATTGTACACATAACAACTCACTTACCTTTAATGTTTTATTTTTTTCACACTCTACTTTTAACACTACAAGCACACTAAAATTGAACTCTCTCTTATCAATATAATGATTTGCTTGGTAATTTAAAAATTTTTCATTCAACATAGGTTTGACTGCATGCTAGCACATGTCTGCATAATTTAATTCAGTCGCTAAGAGAATATTGTGAAAAGTCCTAATATTATGCAAAGTTCTATAATTTAGTTTAATTTTTGGCCATTCAACCATTTCAACTACAGAAGTGTAGCAAATTACATAAATATCAAGATGTGCGGTAGCACCTAGCCGGCAAAGTATAAAAAGGTTATTTTCGATTGGGATAGAATGAAAAATACATTCTACATGTGTACAAGCATAAGCTCTTTTACCATGTGCTAACATGTGTCAGATCGCAATATGAGGTTTTAATAAAAGGACCTGAGAATTAGAATACAATGCTAATTGGAAAATAGGTAATAATTGTATTTAAAAAATGAATATTAAAGTCTGTAAACATATAATTACTAATTTCTACACCCTAGGACTACTTTAAATATCTTGCTAGAAAAAATTAAGAAAAATAAAATATATAATACCTTTTAGAACATTCCATGCAAAAAGAACACTTTCACCGTGCACCGAACGAAGCCGGTATTCTAAATCTGAGAATAAAGAAGCTCGCCTACTACTGATTGAGAATCTTCAGTTGAAAATAGTTGTTTTTTGTGATACAAGTGTACACATTCCACCGTCCACGTTTCGATGGACAGAATCGATGTTAACGACCTGAACTGACGACGCACTAAGATAGCGCGAGATTCAATTTTGATTTTAAAATTTTAATTTACTTTGTTTCGAAAGTTTTTTTTAATATATTTTTGTTAAATACATATAGTATAAATGATAATTTTAATAATTTTCAAAAAAATAAAAAAAATAATATACTTGAATTTTATTTATTATCAATTTTAAATTTATAATTATTTTTAATAATAAAGAACGATTATAATATTATTTCTATAAAAATTAATCAGTATCATTTAGAATGTTTATAACATTATCATAAAAGATTAAACTATAAATCGGTTATATTTTTTAAAACACTTTTCAGAACATATGTATGCATCAAAATATACATTATTTCCAGTATCATTAGAAAACGTTATATTTGTTGCAACATCAGATAAATTTAATGATACAAATTTCCTAAGGTAACTACTAAAACATGCTTGACCACATAAGCAATAATAAGCTTTATCTAAATATGGAACCAATGTGTAAGGGATTAAACTAGCATCATAACTAATCCTGCAAATAATAGAAAAACAATTTTTATTATTTCATAAAAATTTTTAATTTGTGCAAAGTACCTTACCCATATTTAATTATCACTTGTCCAGCTAAATCAACTAAAGACTGTACTCCTAATGAGTTGTGTAATAAACCTCTGTTATGACATGTAAAACAATTGTACGAAATATCTAGTTTTGATAAACTTAAGTTCTTCATATTGCCTGGCAATATAGATAACTGATTTTTTGATAAATTTAAAATTCTGAGACGATGTAGTTTTCCTACTGCTTGAGGTAAAGCACGAATACAGTTATTATCAAGATGTAATGTTACTAAACTGCCTAATTTACCAATGGAGTCTGGAATCACAGTTAGCTGCAAGAAAAGTTACTTTTAAATTGTCGAATGCAAAAGCAAGAATGGTTTAACATAAATATATACTTACTTGATTACCACTTAAATTTAGTAAACACAAATTTGTCATGATTTTAGTTCCTTTCAACCAAGACCATTTTGTAATTGGAAATTTTCCCAATTGATTTTTGGATAGATTCAATTCTCGCAAATTGGGTAAATCTCCTAATTCTTTTGGAAGAGAAGATAATTGATTTTCTGATAAATCCAAAATCCTTAAACTTTGTAACTTCAAGATCTGACGATCAAATGATTTTCTTTGAAGCCCAATTAAATTTAATTCTTCTGTAGTTCTTGGAAATCCCTTCAAAACAGGATATTCGCATGATTTTTTTATAGTGATTTTTGTTTTTGTTTGAACTAACAAATTTTTTTTATTGGAAGGAATTAATGTAAATTTTTCTGAAGTAATTTTTTTGGTCAGATAAAGTTTTAAAACATCCATAAAAAGATGAACTTGTAACGGATCTCCTTTAATGTTAATATCAAGTGGTGGTTCAACTATCCTTATAGTTGCTTTTCCTTCTTTTAAGAAATTAACAAATACTTTTTCAATGTTATTATTTATCTAAAAGCCAAAAAATAAATTTTTGAGAAGATATTTCAATTATATTTAATTTTTATATACTTGTAATTTAAAGTTATGCTACCTTGTACTTGGTTCCCATTTTATTAGTTTGTGATTGTATTAACATATAAACATTATCTTCTGTTTTTGATGTTCTACAAAAGGCCAAGCAAGATTTTTGAGCTCTTCTTTGTCCAGTAATAGGAGCAGTTGTCATTAATCTATTGGTAATTATAACATTACACTGCAGCTTCATAATTCATTAAATTTAACAATTACAATTCTTTAATCTGAAAGAAAAATATTAAATGACTTGATTTTTGAACGGAAATCATCAAAAATCTTTTATTAAAAAAAAAAAAAAGAATATGATTTAACAAAATTAAATTTCAAATTCAAATCGTAATTCAAATTGATAGTAAAAAATAAAACCTAAGTGCTGCGAAAGTTAAAACATGCTACGGTGTAAGACCACGTTCAAATAAAATTGTTGAATTTGGGTTCATTTTGATCTCTTCATCAAACAGCATAAAAATCTTACATTACATAAAATATAACTGTACACTTTACAAAAAAAATTGACAATAAAAATAAATACAGAGTATCTATTTATTAATCTTGATGTCTGTTGTACGCAGTCTCGTAACTAACCTGCCAAACGCCGATATCAACGCACTTCAGGTACTTTGAAATTATAACTGATTTTGTTTGTGTATATACTGATGGCCTGATATGTGTAAATTTGACATGTGTAATGTCATATCATGGTATGTATAAATCTAGTGGCAGTGCGATGTTGCGCGTAAAGAAATAATGATCATAGTTAGTGTTTTCTGCCCTAAATTAACGTAGAATATGATAAATTGAACATACTATCCTCAACAAATATTTTCATCTTTAATGTTGTCAATATGAAAACAAAACCAGGCTCATAAATATTTTACAATGAATGAAATCGAGTACTTGAATAGACTAACGCAAAGTTGAAGAAAATTTTAAGATCAATTATTAGGCTCAAAAGTGATTAATTGTGCATGCATATCGCAAAACTATCAATTATATAGACTTTGACTATTAAACAAAAAGCTGCTCTTTGTTATTGTAGTATGATATATTGAATCAAGTTTTTCGAAAACAAGCACAAGCGGGATTCTGAATAAGTTTATCGTGAAATGAATGGATCATGTTTCTTAATTATGCTAATGTTATTATTAATATATAATTCAATAAAATCGACATAGATTAAAGAGTGACGAATAAGAATCTAATTATAAGTTGTGACGCCTGTTAAGTTACTTTATTACTTTTATTACTTTATTACTTTTGACAATTTTTAATACCAATATATTCTAAAATTTTCCTTTAATTTACTATTAAACAGCTTATTGCAAACATTTGTTTATTGATTTTAGTATGTATATAATCGATGTATTAGTAAGTTTAGCAAATGTGAGAACAATTGAAAACCACATTTTATATTTCACTTTTCTCAATCCATTACAATATTTTTAGATATAAAATGGATTTGTTTCAAAAAAGAAAGCCTAGAAAAGGAATTCTAAACTTAATACGACAAAGAGAAATACAGGTAGGTTGAAGTATAACTTGTACTCGTAAAGTCAATGTATTAATTTTTGATAATTCTACATAAGGAGTCAACAACAACAAGCATTAACAGAGAACTCAAAATCACTCCAAATTTTTTAAAACGATTAGGTTTGGAGACGGAACTTGAAGGTCATGAGGGATGTGTTAACTGTTTGGAGTGGAATGAAAGTGGCAAGTCAGTGAAAAAATGTTTTTAAATATTAAAAAATTCAATGAGATCAAGTCAGAAAATATATAATTTTTTTACATTTTTAGTCTTCTTGCCTCAGCATCAGATGATATGAATGTAATATTATGGGATCCATTTAGTTATAAAAAAAAACTAATTCTACCAACTGGTCATGGTGGTAATATTTTCACGGTCAAGGTAAATATTTAAAAAATTAAGGTATAAAGTGCTGTATAATCAAAAACCATTTTTTATATAGTATTATGACTGAAATATATAAATATATGGTGATAAATGATGATGACAATTTTTATTTTATTTTTAGTTTATGCCAAAATCAAATGATTCTATTTTGGTAACAGGAGCTGGTGACTACAAGATTAGAGTTCATAATATTTCAAGTTCTGATACAATGCTCATATGCACCTGTCATCTTGGTAGAGTAAAACGATGTGCTACAGCACCTGGTGTTCCTTTCTTATTTTGGAGTGCTTCAGAAGACGGAATAATAATGCAATATGATTTACGTTTACCACATTCTTGTAAAAACACTGATCAGAGAACAGTCCTTGTAAGTCTTGCCAATCATACAGGATGCTTTATTGAAGCAAAATGTGTCAATGTCAACCCACGAAGACCTGAACTAATTGCTGTTGGTGCTAATGATGCTTATGTACGAATGTACGATCGAAGGATGATTAAACTATCTAGTGTAAGGTTCTTGATTTTAGCTTTCAACACAAAAAAAATGTATAATTTTTTATGTTTTAATTTATCACTATTCAGAGACCTTTGTCATATGCAACAAACGGTACATCTTTAGCATTAGGCAAAGGAGACCCTGAAGATAATATACCAGTGGGCTGTGTGCAGTATTTCATTGCAGGTCATTTAAAGCATCGTGGCACTTGTAGACGTTTTTCTACAACATACTTAACTTTCAATGACAATGGAGATGAGCTATTAGTTAATATGGGAGGAGAACAAATATATCTTTTTGATATAAACAATCGAAATAATTCAAAAACTTTTATTGTTCCAGTTGAAATAGGTAATAATGTCCTGATTTTTACATATTTAAAACTTATAATTTGTAAATACTTCTTCATTCTTAATTCAGATAAAAATAATGCAGAGCAAAATTGTGATGAACTCAGTGTAGACGAAATCAATAATCTAGTAGTTTTAGAAGATTTGTCTGCATTGAATATTAGCGAATTAAGTTCTGAAGTTGAAGAATTACATCAAAAAGTAAAGAATGATATTTAATATTTTGTATCACTCATAGATTTTCTTTATTTTTATCAATCAAATCTTTTACAGGCAAATAAATCATTTGAAGAAGAACAATATGCCAGTGCGATAACATATTATAATGAAGCAATAAACTTGTGTCCATATTCTGCAATGCTTTATGCTAATAGAGCTGGCACCTACATTAGGAGGGCATGGCAAGTTTTGATTTAAACTTATCAATTACCAATCTTGTAACAATTCAATAAATTGTATTCAATATAGGGATGGTGATTGTTATGCTGCTTTGCGTGATTGCCGTGCAACTTTAGCATTAGATCCTGAACACGTAAAAGCTCATTTTAGGTAAAATTGATATTTTTGTACTTAAATTGTTGATCTAATTAAACATCCGAATTATATTTGAATTTTTCTAGGCTTGCAAAGTGTTTATTTAGTTTGAATAGGATTAACGAAGCTCGTATTGTTATGGAAAATTTTGGAGAAAAATTTCCTGAATTTCAAAATAACTCATCATGTAAAGCATTGCGAAAAGATATAAAAGAAGCTTTAACTTTAGGAAAACCAGAAACTTCTAAGCAAAGTAATGATATTAGAACATCAGATTATGAAAAAGAATGGCGTGAAAAGGCATTTGATTATAAAATGCGTTTATGTGGTCATTGTAATACTATCACGGATATTAAGGAAGCCAATTTTTTTGGAGAGTAAGTTAATAGTTATTAATCCTATTGTATACCTTGCTTTTAATCTGAAACACCCTGGGTGCAAAATGCTGGAAACTTTATGCATACAAAATGAATGATTAATCCATCAATGCATGAAAAATTATTCTTTTACGAATTTAATATCTTTAGTGATGGACAATATATTGTGGCTGGATCAGATGATGGATCATTCTTCATTTGGGACAGATGTACCACAAATATAGCAAGAGTGCTAAAAGGGGATCAGAGAATAGTAAACTGTTTACAACCTCATCCATCAACATGTTTGTTAGCAACTAGTGGTATAGATCCAGTAATTAAACTGTGGAGTCCTTTACCAGAGGTGCTGTTTGATTTATTTTTATTTTCATTTGTGAATTCAAAATTAATCATTGAATCATGACTTTTAGGATGGTTCTGCTAATGTATTGGAAGTTGAAAATTTACATGAGGCAGCAATGGCAAATTATGTACGCATGAATACTGATCATTTTGAAGTAATGCTTTTCAATATGGGTTACAGAATACCTGCACAAGGTAATAATCAAGATGATGTAGAGGGTCGTCAATCACCCAGTGGGAGCTTACCACTCAATTGTAGACCAAGTTAAATTTATATCTGTGTAATATGGATATTATATAAAGCTTGCAAAATTCTGTATATAATATTATTTGTAATACATTAATATAATTGCATTTACAATGCTATTTAATTAAGCTTTATTGAAAATAAGAAAAAAATATCAATTTAAAAAGGACATAAAATTATTTTATTATTCGTAAATGTGAAAATTTTGTTCTCAACTTGGACAAGTAATTTTGTGTAATCTTTTTAAATTATTAAAATTTGATTCAACTTATTTATTAGTTGGGAACAGTTCCCATAACATTTCCAAAGTACTCCCTTCCTTAGGTTCTTCAACTGAAAGTCCTAAATTTTGGGCTAGCATTGGTTTTCTTTGTTTAACTTCTCCTTCAGAAAAGTACACACTAAAAACATTTGATATTTCATCTTCAGTAATATCTGTTTCTGTAATTTGTTCTGTTACTACTTCAGCTTGATCAATTGACTGTAAAAATGTTTAATGTGTACATAATTATTGAATAAATTAACTTAATATTGTACGGATTAAATAAATAACAATTACTTCATGTTCAAAAGTATATTCAACGCCAAAAATTGGAGATTTACTATAAGTTTCATAAATTGAAGTTATTTTGCTATGTAAAAAGCGAAGTTCTTCACTGGGATCAACTCTGAACCCTAAGATAAATGACCCCGAAGATTCTGTAGTAGTAATAACAAGAGTCGGTCCAAATTTAGACGATCTAATATTAATCTGAATATACACAACGTGTTTTTTTCATTATTTAATTATTATAAGTATAGAATTAATAACAATGTTAAAAAGAATAGCTTACTGAATTTATTGTCAAATACGGCATCGAAACATTGAATTGTTCATTCATTTCTGCATACCAAACAATTCTGACATTTGAAATAATGAAAGTTCCAACATTTCCCTACAGACATTGTAAAATATGTATAACAAAATTTATAATTAATAAAAAAATATAAATATTTTGAAAGAAGACTTTACTTGATCTGTTGACAAATTCCAAACTCCTGCAGTCGTTAATTCAATTATTTCTTGTGGCAATATAGATAATCTACCATTTAGAATGATTCCAGCTCTTAATTTGATTTCTCGATAGATTTTTGATGAAACGTAAGCTCGGTAAACTCCCATAACAGAGGTGTAATGACGAGAACTTCTATTATTCATATTACTAAATATGAACTCGTATCGACAATTTTTGTAAGATGTTAATACATATAAAGCTTGGGTAGTAGTTCCAAATAACTAAAAATTTGATCTTTATTTATCATTAAAAATATGATGTTTCACCGAAAGAAATTTGTTGTATTGACAGCATCAAGAAAGTTAATCTTCAGATGATCATGATTCATGACAATTAAAAACATGTGTCATCATGATCGTTTCATGATACATGTATACTTTCTTTATATAAAAAATTCCATTTCGATTCTAATTCTTACGCGAAATGCAAATTTCGATCTTAACGAGGTAAACAAATTTCTTACAGTATAAAATTACTGACCGTATTAATAAATTTGGTTGTTACGTTGTCAAAGGTATTAAATCCAATGCCTTGAATAAAATGGTCATTGGTCATTTCAGCACTACATGATGTAGATATTTTAGAACTTTTCAAACGTACTTAAGTTAACGCGTGGATAGGCAATAGAATGCCACATGATCCTAAGATTTGTCACCAATAGACGACCGCGATCTCCTGAATTTCCTTTAGTATCTTCGATCATATCTAATTTATCGATCAAATATTCACCAGATCTCATTTCCATTTGACTACAAAACTTAAAAAATTAAACAATCCATCTGAAATTAATGAGTTTGTTTGAAGTAAAGCACTTACGAAAGAGAAACATCAAATTTAACTTGATTATCCTGCCACATTTTAGGATATATGTTCAAAAACGCTTTCAAAAAAAAGGGAATGTCGGGTTCCTGCTGTTCAGAAATTTTTACTGGTGGATTATAGGTACCGTTGTCATACCTACCATGGAAAAATATACAAACATATGTATACATCTGCTTATGACTTGGAAATCAATACAATCGCAATTAAACTCAATGTTCAAAAACTATGCTGCATTGCATTAAGTTATTTATGCAACAAGTGCCCAAAAAGCATTTTTGGACACAGTATGTGCACAAGTATCGGCTACGTCGGCACGAGAAGAGACACGAACAGCTATGCTCGCTATGGGAGCGCGACAAAATCTCCGCTAACAAAATCTCCGGGCTACTAAATCTCCGGACTACTAAATCTCCGGGACAAAATCTCCGCCGAATTTTATTTTATATTTTTCTACTTATTAGATTTTTTTGGTATGTATATAAGTGCTTTTGGTATGTGTATAAGTGTGTTTGGGATGCGTGATAGTGTGTTGGGATGTGTGCTGGTGTGTTTGGGATGCGTGATAGTGTTTTTTCCCGGGAGATTATGTCCCGGAGATTTTGTCACCGGAGATTTAGTCTCCGGAGATTTTGTCGCGGAGATTTTTTCTCGCGGAGATTTTGTCGGTAACCCGCTCGCTATACTATTACATAAATTACTGTGATCCTCGCCGCAAATCTAAACGAATTCTTGGTAATATGCTCGAATTTTCTATCAATGTATGAAAGCCTGACCTTCCACAAGCGTCCACCTTTAAAAGCTTGAGACGCAACATTAAAATTATCTTATATAAGTAGGTAAAGCTAAAATTTTAATAAATAATTAGCTGTGGGGCCTTTTGGACTTGAATGCGCTTTTGGTATGTTTTATAATATAAAAAAAAATTTTTAAAACCAAAATTCTAGACTTCAATTTTAATTGGACAAGGCAAAAATCGTATGGACGTCCATTTTCTTTCGTTATTACTTGCGAAACCATTTTTAACTTTGAAGATCTGAAAAATGCTCAAAGATACATCTTTACCCATTAACATTATTATTAAAAGGCTTGATTTTTTGTCGGCTTTCGAAGCGATTTGCTCCGTAGTTTTAGGCTTTTTAAACATTTCGCAAACACCTTTTTCAATGTAAAATTGAATTCTCAGATTTTTTGAATAATAAAAAAGTTATAGCTATTTGAACAAATAGAGCGTAAAATTTTTTTCCAAAAAATCAATTTCTCGATTTTTTTGGAATGTTAACGGGCGATTACGACTATTACAGTATCTCAGTGAATTTTTATGGAATTTTCGAACCACTACTTGAAACAAAAATAACTCATTTTTACTCGAAAACTATTGAGTTTAGAGAAAAAGTGCACAAAACAATAGATACTTCAATAGTCGTGATGATCATGTTTATATCGTGATTCTTTAAAGTTAACATGGCAAAAAAATCGAAAACTTGATTTTTTGCATAAATTTAAACGTTTTTTTTTTGTTTAAGTTTAGATTAAAATAGGTGTGTGCGAAATGTTTTGTTAGCCTAAAACTACGGAACAATTCGCTTCGAAAGCCAACAAAAAATTAAACTTTTTCGTCGTTAATAGGTTAAGAATTAAAGAACCTTGAATATTATATATATTTCAGGGTTCAAAAAAATATATTTAATATTTCCAAAAATCATTGCTTTTGATGTGACACTCGAGAGATTTTTCTCTTTTTTGGGTAAAAAAAACCTCTCTTATTTCTTGCTATTTATCAAACAGTGCAAGTATCTAGAGCCAAAAAACCCTATTTTTAAGACGAGAACACTCAGAAAAAAATGTACCCAGGTATAAATGGTATATCATATCTGACATAAGTTCTGGTGAAAGCACATCAGATCTTATACCAGTTCTTATATCAGACTTTGCATACGATAATCCACATCAGAACTTACATAAGATCTGACATCAGATCTAATGACAAATCTAAAGTGACTGTAACACCTTTAATTATTTAAACAATAAGTTTATTAATAATTATAATTAAATAACAAATCTTAACAATATTAAAATTATTGAATCAGTTTAAATTCCCTTGATCGAAAACCCAAATATTAGAGGAATTATTCTTAAAAATATTATCAATATGATTTTTAAAACATAACTTGATTTAATATTAAATTTTAACTTTCAATAAATTTATTGTTTAAATAGTTGGAAGCGATACAGTCTCTTCAGATGTGACATTAAATCTGATGTAAGCTCTAATAATGTCGATTATCGCATGCAAATTCTGATATAAGACTGGCATAAGATCTGATGTGTGTTCACCAGAACTTATATCAGATCTGATATACCATTTTCACCTGGGTAGCAGAACTTTTCTTGTTTTTTACATAAAATTACACAGATTTTTTCAGATAGTGCTTCGAGTTCTAAAAGCGAGAACCCTATTTTTCAAAAAAAAAAAAAAAAATGCTTAGCATGGAACAATAAAAAATTTCGAGAAATCTGACGTAACCATCGATGAGCTGAAGCAATTTCCTATCGAAATCATGCATTACTTTTTTACATCATACCTTGAACGAAAGTAAAATTTCCTTCCTTCTGCGCGATCGGAAAATTCGACTATTTAGAAAATTAGTAAACAAAACACGGAAGAAAGGAGAGAATGTCTCAGGTCACATGTATATCTTACATTGTATATCTTGGCTCCGCCTCGGGTGACAATTACATGTGATCTGAGACATCCTTCACTTGTACTCCTTTATTGTATAATATAAGTACTATCTCTAGCGAGTTACAAATTTAGCAATTCGACGAAATAAAGCTGCGCAGTAAGCAACACTAAAATTATACATTTTATATTTTAGAATATTTTAGATAAAATCAGTATTACGGATTTGATATTGAACGTTGTTTTTCTTATAAGTTTTCTAAATAGGAAAAACAATTGACTTTACTTTTTATGAAAAGTGAAATAGCGAGTTTGTTATTTTCGGTCATAGGCCCGCACAACCCAAAAGGAAAATTTCGCTAATTTTTACTTTTGAAAAGTGTAAAGTGAACTTTTTACTCTTCCTTAGGTCACATTTTACACTTTAGTGCTGAGTGTATCGACGGTCCCCACGAAGAGTAACACGTTTCCATTGAAATTAATACACAAACGTGTTACTCTTCGTGGGGACCGTCGGTATAGACTTTTTTACTTTTTATAACAATTCACAACATTATTATGTACACCATCTGAAGAAAAAAAATTTGAGAATTTTCGCCTATTTCTCATTAATATAAATTGTCAAAAATACTTTGATTTAATTTTATGAAAGAATGGAAATGATCAGAATTCACCTTTCATTTTTTACACAAGGCTTTGGCATGATTTCTTACTTTATATCTCATGATGTAATGAATTTTACTTGGGCGGGATCGGCAATATACTTCGAAATAACCGAGTTTTTGAATACAGCAGGTATCACTGTATTAGTTTATTTAAAAAATTATTCTAGTTAGAGATATTAAATTTAGAATAGAATCAGAATTTTTTTAAAAGGAGATGCATCTGTATATTTATGAAGAAATTATATTTATTATCAAATTACTATTTAATTTTCATACAAGAAATGTATAATTACAATAAAAGTTGTAAAGAATGTATCAAAATTTGTGTTTACAGTTAGAAATAATTTAAAACACATAAATAATAATTGTTAACAATGAGACTCAACAATAGGAGTAATTGAACAAATAATTGAATCATTTATTATGAAATTTTCATCTTATTGCGGCTTTGTCGGTTTGTCTCCAACCCCACCTGCCAGTTCATATACAGCGAGGGATACCTCTGCAGCTAAATTTTCTACATTGCAAGAACTATCACACTCTGCGTATACTCGTACAACATCTTCAGTTCCAGATGGCCTTAAATTTGTTAATTTAAAATTATTAAAAGACATGTTTGGTTTCTTAAATGATAAATAAAATGCGTAATCAGTGTAAAAGTAAAATTCACCTCACAAAAGATCTTCCTTTTTTATACTTTTCTACTATTTTATCAATTTGATCTTGAAGACCCTCTGGTTTAACACATTTTCTCTCTGCATCAGTTGTAACAATATTACTTCTATCTTTCACGGTTATTTTCACTTGTTTATTAGGAAGGTCTATATAACTCTTTTCCCATGCAACAATATCCCACTTTTTTGAACGCAAAATCAATTCAATTAACAGCATGTCACTAATTGCATCTCCAACAGTTTGATTTATTACGTTGATTAGATAATTTAACTTTTGAGCAGCTTTTTGTTGTGATCTTGGAATACTTGAATTGAAAAATGAATGATTTTTTTTTTAAATTTCTATATATTAATTAAAAAATATTTTATTTACTTTGTTTCTTTTGCAGTTGATTGAATTTTTTCAATTGCTGTTTTTTTAAAGACAACAGTACCATGACCATTAGCTTCAAAGTAAACTCCAATGTCAAAATCTAAAGCTTTATGATGTAAATGTTTCACACCAGTAGATACACATGCAACAGGAACTTTCTATTGGAAATATTATTAGTTAAAAATAATTATATTTTTATAAATATAATACTTTGAAAAATTAATTTTACTTAAACAAATTAATTTGAAAATTATCCTTAAAAATATAAAATTTAATCAATACTAAATAGTTATTTAAATTTAAAATCCAGGAATTCGCTTATTATTTTTTTTTAAATTTTTTGTAGATTGTGATTTAACTTTGGGTAAAAATAATTCGATTTCTTCATCATTATGGATTCTTGAAATTTCTGTGTCTTGTTGAGTCAGTGTTTCTTGCTTAACTAATGTTTCAAAAGAAGGGGTAGGAATATCTACATCAGCAGGGACAGGTTCAACTTGATTTTGAAGCCAAGATAAAACTTTCTGATGAGGTGCATTGTTAACTGCAAGTGATTGAGATTCTTGCATGACATCCCATCGAGCCATAAGTTCTGGAGCAAGTATATCAACAAAACATTCCAATTCTGCAACAGTTCTTTGCCAAGAAGGAACGTACTCCAATTTTTTTTCTACGTTCAATTTTTTTGAAGCTTTGAGTTTGTTATTTGTCAAATTTAAGAAAGTATCACAAGTACTTAATCTTTTAGTAACCACTAGTGGAGAATGAATATCGTAATAACTATTTTTGTGAATTTGACTCTCCCATAATTTTAGTTTATGCAATGATTTACAGTTTTCTAATGAATATAGATTTAATTGTTCGTGATGACTAATTCCTTGATAGAAAATATCATTTATGGAGTTTTGAATTAAAAGATAAATATCTTGAGTCTGGTCGTCTATGACAGTCATACATCCAGTATTGCAAAAAGAGAGTCTTTTTTTAAAATAAGGGTCTAGACACTTTCCTTGAGATTGTAGAGCTGTCAGAGTTTCCATACTTGTTGGAGGGCTAAAAGGAGTACTACTTGAATCTGGTGGCTTTTCTGTAGAGCTCCAAGTATTCAATAAAATTCCAGTTTCACCAGAAATTTGACTCGCCATTACAACAAATTCTGAATCTCCTCTAAAGCAAACATCAGTTATAAAAGGACTACTTTTAAACTGATGAGTCCATTTTTTTGTTATTGGTTTATCAGGTTGCCTACTGTCAAGTAGACAAATATTATGATTAGATCCAATATAGGAATAAAACTCACTTTTTATACTACCTGCATAAGCAGAAATATATTCACAATTTTCCAGTAAATCTTTTGGACACATCTTTAAGCAAGATTTATTAAATGATATTCTTGTGTCATAATAAGTAACACAATGTCTATCAGTGTACTTCAAAATATTGTTATTAAAGTCATGATACTTCAAAAAAGCCCACCTATCTTCTAAATCTTTAGACATGGGTATCTGTTGAGTTGAATATAATTTAGTCTCTTTTACAGTTTTCTTACATGAAGTGATGTCCCATATACATATTTTTCTATCAATATTTACAGTGCAATAACGATTCACATCTAATGGATCTAAATCAACTGAAATATAAGGTACTTCTGACGTTTGATTGCTTATTTTCATAAATTCTAATTTACTTTTGTTCAAATTAAAAATATTGTACAAACCGCAATCATTTTTATGTCTGGTTAAAATTCTACCTGAATTGTTGACTACATCACAGACAACTTGAAATAGATCTTTGTTTATAGGTATTTTGATAGCTTTTTTGTAATTTGGTAATAATGACGAATACTCTTTAGCTTCGATTGGCAAAGCTATGAGTTCATCAGCAAATGGAAATACTAATATGTTCTTTGATTCATGTGAAATACCATTTAAAGTACCACCATTATAGTACCAATTGTATGATCCAGAGAAACTTGGATTTGAATCATGATCTAAAATTTCTGTTACTTTTGCAACATATTTTGGAAGTTTTGTGATGCAATCATTTTTATTTTTATCTAATTTTGTTGCATTTTTTTTATAAAATCCCAAGTACCTGTTGATCTCGTTTTGAATCCCTATTTTTGTGCTCACAAGTCGCATACTGGGGTCTTCATTGATACTATCACGTTGCAATTTACTGGGAGGAAGCAGTGGTTTTGGAAGATCACTATAGTAAGGAAAAAGTTGAAATTTCTCTGAAAACGATTCAACACATTCACTCGCAATAGTATTTGATTGATTTTTTATATGTCCTGGTATTAAATGATGTGCATTCGCGGTCGTTGTCAATTTCGATAAAACTTGACTCTTGGTCCGAGCAAAAGAGTTAGATTTCATTTTAGCTAGTGTCTGTAGCTCGAAACTAATTTTCGCCTTTTTAATAATTGAATTTACTTTTAGATATTACTGATACAAAAAACACAACGTTGAAAAATTTCGAAGTATTGATTGTTTGGTTATGACTATGTACACAGTGTACGCATGACACATGGCTTTTAATGACATCAGAAATACGTGGTAACGAAGTGGGCTTTAAAAAATGTATCTTTCCGTGTTATTTAATTTTTAGCTTGTAAATTTTAATGCTAATTTAAAAAATTGCTCAATTAGTTGCCGAATAAATTTCAATATGGCGAACGTTTTATATCAGTTTTTTTTTTGTAATTAAAAATTTGTCTTGGCAATGTAATTTTAAGTTCTGTCAATAGAGAAGTACAAAACTAAATTTTTATTTAAGATACAGTGTTATGGCAATGTATCTTCTGAAATGGCCAGATAAAAATTTCATTACATTTTATTCAAAATTTGATTAATAAAATTATTTCAAATTATACTATTAGTTTAATTGGCTTTTTAATTAGAATTATTTGAAACAATTTTTACTCAAAACTTACTTCCTGATCTAACTCATTCAAGTACTATAAATATTCAATATAATTAAACCAAGATGCAAACTTAACAAGATACTACTTAAATTTACTATTGTATTAAAATATCTATAATTATAACAATATATAACATTCTTACCAGAATTTCAGAAATATATTCTGTTGAAGCTCCATTAGCATAAGCTGTTTGTACGAGGCCAAGCTGTAAACTCAAATTACTTTCTAAAAGTAATTCCTTAAAATATCCAGCGATTAGGGTTGCTATTTTATCTCCATCTAATATATGGAAATCATTTTTTTCATCTGTATAATAATAAATAACTCTGTCAGCATCTCCATCAACACTAACACACCTCATGCCAGGATTCAATGGTACATTTTTTGGTGGTTTTTGTTGTACTTTCACAAAGTCTGCACCACACTAATAAATTTCACCAATTAAATTGACATTAATTTTAAAATTATTTTTAATAGGATTATACTTTTTACCATATAATTCAGTTGCCCGTTTCCATTATTATAAATATCAATTTCTAAAACACCATTCAAGCGTTTTTTAAATTCTTGGATGGCAATTCCACCAACTCCATTAGCTGCGTCAAACTGAATTTTGGGTATGTATAAACTATTATTGCATTCTATATTTTTAGCAACAGTCTGGAAAGCTTTACTTATTTTTTCATAATATCCATCAATAGATGGATTCCCATAAACTCCGTTGGTATTTGTGCAAACTACCATAAAATGAAGCTGAGGAGTGGTTACAATTTCAAGATTTTGGATAGTTCCGTTCATAGCTTTAGCTCCATTTATAGCAGCTTGAGATAAAGCGTAACTACTATTTCGAGTATCTCTTCCTATGATAACAGATGCTGAAAAATTTGTATCAATATTTTTTTCTTTAATTATTTGTCTTAATGTGTCACAAACTTCCACATCTTCTACATTAGCTAATTGTGTGGCAATTTTTTCCCAAGACGATTCTAGCATTTCTCCACTTGGATCGACAAGTTTAACACCATTATCCTCTTCTGGATTATGACTTGCTGTTATCATCAATCCAATAGTAGCTAAAGCAAATTTTCAACAATGTTAAAATAATATTAAAAAATATTTGCAGCTGTAATATTAATACCTTTTTTAAATTGGGATCTTAAAGCTGTTAACAATCCCATTCGAAATACAACATGATCAAGAACATTGGCTCTGAAAAAGTAAATATTTATAGTAAAATGCATAAAAATGTCATTAAAATTAATTCATTCAAGATTCATAAAATAATATGATAACCTTAACAGAGAAAAGAAGCGCAAAAATAAAATGTGATAAGGAAAATATTATTGAAAATTTATATAGGAGTGGTAAAAGTTACAAACTTCATACGAAATCCTGCTGTGCCGTATTGAATAAATCCATCGTAGCATTTCCGATGTTTACTTTTTGCCAATTCTTCAACCAACTTAAAATCGTAAGAATTTACCACACCCGCCTGCATTATATTTTTCAATTTGATAAAAATGTTTGACACAAACAGATTGAAATGTCTGTAAGCTAACGAGTTTGGTTTGATACTTGAATAATGTTTAAGCAAGGTGCGATGACACGTTTGCAATTTGAGAGTGTACCAAAGTCCAGTGTTATAGTAACGTACGTTTTGTCCAAGTGTGTTACAAGCAATCGGAGCAACAAGTGTCCACTGTTCGCTCGCTGCCGCAAAGTCAAGTTCACTTTCTGTTGAATCTCGAAAAATCGTATTGATTCTTGAATGAGCCATAATTAATATTTGGATTCAGATAATAACCCAATTTCAGCCACAAATAAAAAAAATTTTCATGAAGATACAATTCAGAAAAAAAGCTGTATTTATTGATAGTTATTTATTTTATATAAATGAAAAATCATTAGAACTTAAACGAGTCTTTTCAATATTTAAAAGAAAAATATTTTAAAAGAAGAGAATTTAATGTGGTATATGGAAACTAGTATAAAGTCTAATTCTTTTTAAAATTATTTTGTAATAGTTACTCGTCGCTCACGTTGTATAGAAATGAGCGTTAAGGGATTTTGGTGAGCTGGTAATAGGGTGTTCTGACATTGTAGCAGCTGATTTATCTCTGATTCGTATGCATATTTTAAGAACAAATATCATTTCCATTTCGTTGTATCCACAACTGTTTAGAAAAGATGTCAGAGTAAAATAGTTAGTTTTTAATTTATTCCTTTTCGCATTTGTATGTACGACTTACAATTATTTACTTTGGCTATTGAATTTGGATATTGAATTTTGTATTAGGTGTTGAATCCTTAAGTATGATTCATGAAATTTATAAACTTTCAGAGGTTGAATTTGCAAAAAATGAATCATATAAGTGTCCGATAACTAGAACCCAAAGTTTTAAATTTTGTCTAGTTTTCGCACACTATAGGTATTCTGTAAAACTTCAATTTTAACGTTTTAATCAATACCAACGTTTGAAAATGATTTTGAATAATAACTAAAATTAATACTATTTTGTGTTTTTTTTTCTAAATCGATTGACTAAAAGTGTTTTATTCAAAACATATTTCAACTCGTAGTGTCTGAAAATAGTTTGTATCCCATAACTAGTAGTTTACCTTATAACAACTATTCCTGTAATACAAGAAGGGTTGTATAATATAATTCTGTGGTGAAAAGAGAGAACTGACTGATTTCATTTTTTTGAAAATCGAATTAGTGACGTGAATCACCTATTTCGATATACTAGTGTCAGATTAGCCGGCAATATAGCGTCGATCTAATAGTGTGCCAAGCCGGCTAAGTCCACTAGACCTACTATGCGATATCGAATTTTTTTCGATTAGAAAATAATAGGAAATGATATTTAAACTTGTATCGCATGTTCGACGTATGAATTCGTAGGAGGCATCTACTAGTATCGCAACTCTTATTTCTTATCGTATTTATATTTTTTACAAATAAGCAAACGTATCCAAAGAGGAGACCACCTGAACTCCGGATCATGGATTAGCTCCAAAAAATTTCATGAAACGCTTTTCGCTTAGTTCAACCTAATGGGTCTTAATGCCAACTTTAGAAGTGACTTTCTACTTTATCAGTACATCTTTAGACATTTTCTATCCCAAGAAAGAAGCACTTCTACGAAAAATGCGAAAAGCAAAAAAGTTTTAAAATTGTTCAAAGAATTAATGTGAAAATTTTTCCAGAACTTTGGAGATGGTATCAGTAAGTATTGTTTCAGAGTAAGTTCATGATTATAAGCATGAAATTAATTGAAAAAATGTTCTCCAAGGAAAATATCATGTATACTACATTCTTCACCTGAACTCAAGATCCTTCACGAGAACATCTTGTGTAAGTTGTTACTCTAATTGCTACGCAAAAAGTGATTTCCACACATAGTTTCCTTTTAGTTTTAACCAGTTATCACATGAGAACTCACGTCAGTATTGAACATTTTCATTATCGTTAAAATACTTACTATGAGGCTTCGTACACAAAATCCTATATATGTGAAGCTGAAAAGAGTGCTTGAATCTCCAAAATTTCTGATATCGATTCCTAAAAAAACAGTACTCTAATAGTACTAAATAGTACTTTTTTCAATCGAAATCAGAAATTTCTCAAAAAAAGTCTAAAATACCGAACGAGCGTTAGCGAGTGAGGATAAAGCGCTAGTAAAGATTATTATGTGTAAACATGACCATGTAACCAAACCGATTTACAAGAAAGAAGATATTATTCGATGCCTCAATAGAACAAACTGTTCGCTGAGACGTAAGCTAATCTAAACTAGCAGTATGACCATAACAACATTTATTGTTTAGCCTCGACTTCCACTTGACCATGAAATTGGAAAAGACTTGTGAGCTACATTCGCGAAGATCAAATTTAAAATCTATTACGTTTATTATTATTTTTTTCTTTATTTCTTGTAACATAAGCATTTATTAACATATTTCATTCCGTGATTCAGATGTACCTGAAGAGGACAATGATACATTGACGAAACGTTGTACGCAGTAAACAAATTTTACAGAGATTTATATTAACATCATTGTTTATTATCAGCTCAATAAAATCCCTTCAAACCATTATACTAAAAAATTCAACTTATATTAATTTATACATAGGCGTCAGAATTTTTCAAAATATCATGAATAATCAGGATCAAAAGGATGACTCAAGTAGCCAAGAATTCTTTCGGTATCTTCGATATGGAGATCACTAGAGCGTTTTTTTCGGCCAATGAAGATGGGCGCTGTCCCTGTACCACCAACGTTACGGAAAAGCAACTAAATTTTGTTTTAAATTATTAAGATACTTTCGTTCACAGTTTTTCTTTAAACATATTAGAAATTATTAATTTTTCTAAGACTTACCATGACTAATCTAACTAAATAAACAGCAAAAGTTAAAAATGAAATGGCCATTAATGTACCCTCAAGAGAAGGGAATCCTATACTCTCGTCATGTCCCCAATCGCCTCTGGCATCCCTGGGTTTCCGGGACGGCCCAACGCTAAGAGCCGCATTTAATCGAGTCTCTGTCATGAAAAACATGTGTGGTAAGTTAACATTCAAAATCGTACAGAAATCATTTTATAATTCAATCTACAAAGACGTACTTATCTCTCCAATTAACGTTTGCTCAAAGGCTTTAAGAAATTTGATTTTTCCTTTAATAGTTGCCGGTTGATATTTTAGAGTCTTGTGGACTTTTTTGAGTAAATCGATCGGTAAGTAATCAAAAAGCTGTCCTGCGTGACTGCTTTGGTTAGCATCAGGTTTAGGACTAGTTGGTTTACTTTTTGTTGTACTGGATCGTATAATTGGTTTTACGGTAGAAGTAGTGGTACTAGCAATAGTTACAGACCTGGCAGTAGTAATGGGAGTTGGAGTCGTCATCGTAGTGGTCTTAGTGATTGTCGTTGAAGTAGGAACGAGAAATTTTTTCGATGGGTAGGTATGTAGAACAGGCTCAACATCAAACTAAGATTAAATTCGATGATATTGAATTAGTTATTTTTTCACTAAAATTAAATTTAATTCCACTCACGTGATGTACATCGTCGTAATCGGTAAAGGATTCAGGCCTATGAAAATCCGTCGGCCTGTCGTACTTGTCAATAATGCTACTAATTATTCGCTCGGTTGTGAAGGTGGCGATCGTTCCATCATTGAATGCCATCAAATCGTCAAGGAAAATTTCTGGACGAAGTTTTACATGTTGCTGGCTAACATTTTGTGAATTGAAACCCTTCAAGTAAAAAACAACAACTTCATCAATGGTCATACCAAAATCATCAAATCAGAATTATTAAGATTTGAATCAGAATTCATATTAAATTAATGCTGCAAATTGTTGCGCTTGCAGGATAAAATTGTATCTGACGATATATTAAAAACACGCGCAATCGCAATGAAAAATTAAAGGTCTAAAGTGACACATAAACATTATTTCATGGAGCACGCGCTAGGTGAGATGAGTTTACAGAGCGCGACTGCATGTGTACACCTACTTCAAGCCGACTGACCTTATTTGTCATACCTTATATTTTCTTTGCTTGATTCTTTTCACATTTTTTTAATACAACAGATTTTTGGAATAATTTATTTATCGGGTTTTAATATAAAGTAGCTTTTCATCGAAAAATCTAAAATAATATTGATAATTTACAAAAATGTTATATTTATTAAATGGCCGTCACGTACCAAAACTTTTTAAAATGCGCTTTTATGCGTGCTGAAATTGCCTAATTGATCAAAATAATTATTGTTTTTAACAACAAAAAAAGTAGAAAAAAAACAAACACAGCCAAATAGTCATTCAAAAAATAAGTTTCAACTTTTTGAGATTAAATTTCGAGTAATTTCAAAATGTTTTTAATGTTACACACATTTTTTATTTTATCAATTGTTTTTGAAATTCATTGTTTCTTATCAATAAATGCACTTTTCGAATTTTTTATTTATTTACTTATCAAAATTATCATCAAACCTTAAAACTATTCATCATCTTTTTATTATTTGGCTGAATAATTTTTTATGTAATTCAGCCACATATGAATACTGTCATTATGGACTAAGTAACTTGAGTGGTTTAGACGCTTTTTGATAGATTATCAATTATGATATGATTGATAAGCGGTGCTGCATAATGTATCAGTTTTTAGTCTATTTACTGATGAGTCAAAAAATGAAACATGCATATAATTGGGTACTTATTAACAAATGATACCTTCGTGCATCCAAAAAAAAGTGTACGCAAGCATTTTCCCAATTCCACTTTCCAGAGCTTTTTAGCTATGTGGATGTCTAGGATAAAACAAAATAAAGACACACACGTAGTTTTTTAAGAAAAATATTGAGTGAAAATTTTAAACAATATTTTTAAAAATAATCATTTTTGCTTAGCCTCAGTATATTGAACGAAGCGCGCCACAGCATTTAATCTTAATATGATGTATACCAATTTGAAAAGTTAATCTTAATAAATAGTAATGACTAAAGCACACACCTTGTTTATACTGTCTGTACAGAATTGTACAATTGTACAGAATTATACAACAAAGATATCATTCTTATAAAATGCTATGATAAAATTAAGTGAAATATTCAAAAAGTTAAATTGGTTGAAAAATAATTGTATTACTTGAAAAATTCAGTCACCTTATAAAAATTCTCGTGATGAACAAAAGTAGAGTCTCCAACTGCAGGGTAATGATAAAGCTCGGGGTCAGAGTCACTGTAAAACTTAAGTGGCCGTTGCGTTGTCGGTTTTGGAAAAGCTAGTCTTACTGGTTGTCTATAAACTTTGTGTTGGTCAGAAAATTGCGGTACGTCAATCCATTCTGCGCCAGCATGTTTGCAAAAGTACAACAAAAAACAGCAGAGTACGAAGACCGAAAATCGCTCGAACAAATTCATCGCGCGACGTGTGTTGGTGATATTGAATTATTTACCAATTGTTATGTCGCCACAATGAATTCAGTGAAAAAACCCATCACAATCTCATTCAGCTGTGCGTATTTTTCCAACATTGTCAATCTCGACACTATACCGATTATTCGTGAAACTGCGTTTATTCCGATTTCTTGCAACTTCTTTGATCAATTTTCACACATTCAAATAAACTATAAAATAGACTGTAATACTTGAGTGTGCGTATTACCCGGCATTCTGTAATCAACTGCAAGACAAGATGTGTTGAGAAGAAGTTTTTGGGACACGCGACGACGGCGATGACAACGATAAGACAAGCTCATTATTCACGCCAACAGTTTATCCGGCCGTTAGTACTTATACCATCGTACAACAAAGCTCGAGAGAAAATTTGCCTGGAAAATTCTGAGATTCAGAGAGCGAATCGACTAGTCTCTCATCTATTAAAGCTTATCGCTAGCCTAATACTTTTGCATGGTCACAAATATGAGAGCAACAGTGTTTTTCTTACTTCCGTTCAAGTATTTTCACTCTTTGCAACTTTAACACTGCAACTTTTGTTTTATTCTATGTTTCGTGTAAATTGACATGTTTGGGACTTGTTTCATCTGTAATAGACATCTCACTGACAATTACTTGAATATGTTTTATGCTTTGCTGGAAAGATTTATCTGCACCTCTGTATTTGAAGTTAATCACACTGAAAAAAATGGTACATCAAACAGAATGATCAGCTTGACACTTTTATGAGCCGAGAGGAAACTGCTAGTAGCTGTATTTTTAATCGATTATTATTAGATTTCAACTAGTCTTGACAGATTAAATCAAGTCGACTCAAGCATCTCCTACAAAAACGGTTTAGTTCCTATTAGTAAAAATATTTTATGCACAAGCATTGACTTCAATTGAAATAAAAAAATAAGCTTGCGTACCAATGGCAAGAGCAATAGAAATACATCTCTTGTGTTCTGTGAATCGTCATGGTACACAAATTCTCATACCAGGTCAAACGGTGATATTTTGTTAGTTTTATCTCGTACGTTATTATATATTTATTTTATCAATTTCATATTGCCATTAAAAATAAATTCAAAAGTGAAAATATATTTAAAAGTAGAATTGCACGAGATTTACTCATATATACATTCGACGAAATTGGATCAATATCATTTTAGAATGTAATGGAAATAGTGAAAACCCCAAGAAGTAAAAAATGTGATTTATTGAAATTTTTCGCTCAAACATATACATTCTGCTGTAGCGTGAATATAATATTTAACAAGCTGAATATCTTTAAGTATAGTAATGAGAATGAAAGGGTTTAAAGAATGTCATGTTACAATTCATTTTTCTTTCTATGTTGTGTTAATTAACAATGATTTAATGAAACTAGAGTTCTATAATTTTAACTATCAGTCAGAACATCGTCATTATTATTATTTAGGCCATTTTGTACTAGTTACGATGTATACGTATATATTCACCCTATTCATGTCATTTTTTTTCAAAGTTATTTTGAATCATTTGGTCTTTACATGAATTTGTCTAATAAATTAGGCATTTGCCGTTATGCCTAAATTAAATTTTACACCTTTTTTACGTACATTATAAATTCATTTTTAAGTAGATTATTACATGTATTTCTTCAACTTCGATTTTTTTAATGCTTAGATAATTTATCGGCGACCCACTGCTTATGATTTAAATTTTTTTAACTTGTAATTTTAAAATAATCAAACACAATTGGCTGAATATTTTTCATTTTACTGCTAAACTGAAGTGCCACTTTATCATCTATATGATAATATTTAAAGTAAATAATTTTTTTACAACCCATTCACTAGATTCAACCTTTTTATTTTTTAAGAAATTTCTTAAATCAAAAGATGAAATCGTCACCCCAATGCAAAAATCACTGAAATAAACTTGAGTGGCAAAAACGTGCCTTAGTCCTGTGTTGAAAAGATAGTACGCTGGAGCGACAAAATCAAAATTGAGACGTTTGTTGCAACTTTTACGCACTCTTCTCCATTAAGCTCCGTTACGCGTCAAACAATAATAAAGCAGGGGTTATCACAAAGTTATAATTAAAATAATATTCAATAATAACAGGACAAATGGAACGTGCATCTTCTTTGACATTTTTCTTGGTAATTACGATGTATTTTAAAATAATTATCAATATTTCATAATGTTTTAACTTTCCAATTCAATATTTTGAATCATAAATAATTTTAGACCAAAAAAAATATTCTTTAAAATGAATAGATGATTTATTTTTAATGAAAATCTGTAAACAATTTTTTTAGTATTTAAAATGATTATTGACATCATGGGTATTATTAATCAGTACATGAATAGATACACAAGAATTTCTAGAAATAGTTATGATTTAAAATAAATTTTTAAGACTTCTTGTTAGGTTTTTTATGTTACACACGTAACCGTTATATGTTTTTTTAATTTGTATAAAAACAATACACTCATGAACAATAAAACGGGAGTAAGTAAAATTATGTATTCAAGAAACTTAAAATAAAAAAATATATTTGTTTGCATTAAACTTTGTGGCCCCTCATTATTAACTACATTAAGATTATTGTCGTCATCTAAAACGAAATTATCGTCAACGTTACATTTTTATTAATAAGACAGAACGATTTCTGATATCATATATAATACTGGCAGTTTGATAAAAGCACAACTTTTTCAAACAAACTTTACGATCAACATTAGTAACTTTAACATTTTGATGTTACATATAACATTCATTTTTTATTACAATAATATTTAATACTTTTCAAAAATGATTTTATGAACTTCCCATATAAATTTTTCTTTTGGTCGTAGTGTAGTTTAATAATGAATTGTAAATTTTAATTTACTGAGAAGCCGTTGATCATATTGTCTAAATATTACGATCAAATTCTTAATAACAATTGCATTTATATAAATTTCGTTTATAGGTATGTACAGAAACCATAGATTTTAAACATTCATAATACTTTTTTGTAAGCAAATGTAACTAAATATATTGCTTCCTTGATGAGGAAGCTTCGTGACAGACTATGATTAAAACGAGGAATTAGGTATCACACAAGCCGAGGGCGAGTACTGTAAAGAGTATTACTGAAAAACCATAAATGCATTCGTTGAGAAATATACTAATTTTCACTCCGGTATTGTAGAGAAATTTTGTTTTTTTTATACTTATTTGTAAATTATATGAATTCCCAACAAATGTCTGTGTGTATGTGAAAATGAAATTAAATTGTATCAAAATAAGCTGTACACCAGCGGACTTAGATACTCGGACCTGGAAAATTGATTATTCGTTTCTTTCACTGTGCATTGCACGTCGTGAACTGTAGTCACGCGCGGTTGTTTAAAAAACGTGAAGGAAGCGACTAATCAATTTTCGAGGCCCGAGTATCCAAGTTCGTTGGTGTGTACTTATTGATGGTTGTGATAAAGATACATTTAAAAAAAAATTTATTTTATGTTTACCATAAAATTTTTTTTGTGTGAGAAAAGTATAGTAATATTTCGAAATATTTCCTTTTTGTGTTAATACAGATCAGTTAACCTTTAGTTTAAAACCAAAAATATGATTCGTAGATTTTCGTTAAAGTTATATCCTGAAAACGAAAACTATTTTATGACTTTTTGAAAAATTCAGTTGGTTTTCTTTCAGAGTGTTTTTGGAATTTACGTAATGACTTCGACAGAACAATAAAACTTTAATATAAAATTAAATATTTCAAGATTTGTTGAATACTTGAAAAGTTATACTCTGAAAATAAAGTAGGGTCTTCTTTTGATTTTTTTTCTAAAGTTTGAGTTACTATTTTTTGAAAATTTTTTGTTCGGAATAATTGTATTATTGTACTTAATGTAATATTATGCGTAAAAAAAATTTGCAACTAAGTTTTTTTTTAAGTGAAAACTACTTGCTAAAGATTTTTTTTGTGATCTGTAGAAATTCATTTTTAACAACTGTAAATATCCTATTTTAGAAAAAGTCTTACATGTTACAGTGCAAGTATTTAATTTCAAGTAAATTTTTTGACTATTTCACAAAAAATGTGTTGTATTTTTAAAAACAATATAGCGAAAAATACTTATAAAATACTTATACTTAATGAACTTATAAAAATACTTATACTTAATATTTTTCGTATCTTGAAGTTAAAGAAAAAGTATGAGGAAGCTACTTGCCAATACATTGGCAGCGGTTTTTATTATTATTAGTGAAATTATTTGTTTTTTTTTTTGAGACAATATAAAAGCATATGATTAAAAATTAAATAAAAGATCTTAAATAGTCAAATCTTGTTCAAGATTCAAATTAAGCATGCAATCTTATTTTCTTTATATTAACCCAAAATGATTGTAATGTGTGCAACTTTGAGTAACATGTGTAAAGCTATCATTAAGTATCGAAGACGATTAAAAAATGCGAGTAATTTTCAATACTTAATTAGTTTTTCGTTTGAAAATTACTATAAAACTAGATGATAATCAGATCCTGAATTTAATACTCAATCTACAACTGGATTATATGATTAAAACTTAAAAAAGTTAGTTCGAGTTTTATTAATTAAGCGCGAACAAACCTACAAAAGCTTCTAGTGCAGCCCATAGTCAAGATTTAGTTATAACAAGTTCGATTAATGCATCAGTACATGAATCGGATAATTCAGTGTGTCAGGCGATTTCGGCTGACTCTTTGACTTCTTGGCTTTCATTATTATCAGTATTTCTTGTACGGTAAAGTTCCCAACGAGCATCATCACTCTCGTGAGTCAAATAGCGAACCCTTAAAGTATTCTCTAAAGTTCTTAAATCACACCATGTTTGATAATCCTTATAAAAAGTATCAGAATGCATTTTTAATAAGATAATATAATATAATAATTTAATTTAATATTATAATAACTTACTTGTAACCAAATATGCATCAAACTTTTATCAACAGAATATCGTTTTCTTTGCTTAACTTGGAGAAGATTATTTATTAGATCGATGGCTGAAAAAATGTAATTGATTTTGGAATGTCAAAAATATTTTAGATTTTATTTTGTAAAATTCAAAACTTACCAGATGATGAAATATCTTTCCAAATGTTAGTTGGATACATAAAGGCAGCATTTTGAATTTGTTCATTGATGTCTTCATCTTCGTTGAAAGGAAATGTTCCGCTTAACGATACATATATGATTACGCCTACGCTCCACATATCCAAAGAACGATTATAGCCTTTATTTCTCAATACTTCAGGAGCTAAGTAAGCAGGTGTTCCGACGACACTTCTGCGAAAACTCTTTTCTCCGATGATTCTAGCAAAACCGAAATCGCATAATTTAACTTGGGGGAACTCTTCATTACTACTTAATAAGACATTTTCAGGTTTTAAATCACAATGTACAATATTGTTGCTATGTAAATACTTCAATGCTATTAAAATTTGTGTAATCAAAAATTTTGTGATTCTTTCATTAAGCCTTCCTTTCTCTGAGCTAAGAATCATTTCTAACATATCTCCTTTTAATTTTTCCATGATGACAAAAATTCTTCCTGTTGTTTCGAACATACGCTCTAAATTAACTACTCCTTCATAAGATATATTTTGTAAAATTGATACTTCGTTTTTCAATTGAGCCTCTTGTTTAGTCGAAAAACGTAATTTATCAATTACTTTAATAGCAACGGGACGCAAGCTTCTTCGATGTATTCCACCATAAACAATACCAAATTGTCCAGAACCCAAGATTTCATCAGCGTAAATTTGATACAATTGTCCTAAATCAGTAACGTTTTCTTCTGGTTCTAATGAATCTGAATTTTGGCCTGATAAAAAATAAAAATTATTTTGTTGGTCGATTGATCGCATTCAAGTTCTTCATATCAATACCTGATGGTGCACTCGTGACAGGCATTAAAGCTTGACGAATTGCTTTTTCCCATGATTGAGCTACATGAGCACCAATTCCACTTTCAGGACATGGTACTTGCTGACCATACGATGAAGCCCCCCCAACATAATAATTTAAATTAGCGGTTTTCAGTTCGAAACAATGCATTGTGTTTGAATCTGTAATTACAAAACCTCTCTTAAATAACATTTAAATTTGCAATGAGTGAGAAAAACATTTTTTTTAATTACCATTTTGAATTTTTTTGGCTGTTTCAATATCCAGAATATCGGTTAGAGGAATTTCTTTGTAATATTTAGGTCCGATATCGCTTTGAAATAGAGTTATTGCTTTTGTGTCTAGCCTCCAGTAATGTTTTTTACTCTTCATGAAAAAATGATAGTTATATAAAATAACAGTTTTAAGTGAAAAGAAAAATTATTTTTCCACGTGAACTTACTACAGGATCATGATTAGTAAAATGAATCATCCAACCTTCTTTTAATATTTTCGATCCTCTTTTTTTAGTATGTTTAACACTCTGCACTACTCTCATCAATGGAATGTTGTTACTGAGGGTTGAACTATATAGAAAACGGTGAAAAATGTACATTAAGTTAAATTTAATAATTTTTTAATTAAAAAATAAATGAATCACTACCTTGCCGGTTTACATTTATCAATTTCATCTTTAGCAACGTCTTGATTAGATAACTGATACTTGAAAAATATTCATTTAATGTAAAAAAGCTTGTAAAAATGCATACAATTTATATGGAACTATCAATTAAGAAACTTTCATCTTATAACTTAGATAAGAAAATTTTGCTTTAAAATAAAAGGATATAGATATAGTAAAATTGAACTTTTTCGATTACATACTTATTAGTCACAATCACAGAAAATAAAGATTTGAATTTTTAAAATGAATTAGTTTCTTAATTTTCTCGAGTGGAAAAGTTTGAGAAAAACATAAAATGCTGGAAACATATTGAAAATACTGACTGTAGCTATAATATTCCATTTAACAAGTATTGTTTTATCTTAGAAAGCGTTTAATAATTCTTTGTTAAAAATTTTTTTCAAGAATTGCAAAATAATACTAACTAAAATGTAATGAAAAATAAATCTGAAGCCTTTACGTTTGGTTCTGAAATATAATACCAAACTAAATCGGAATTTATCATCCATCCTAGCAATTTGAGAGAGATTGAATGAAAGTTCATCTTAATTTTACAAAGCCAATAATATGACAATTTCTTAGCTTGTTTATAATTTTGTTTAAATACAATAGATTTTACAAAATAATTTCGTATGAAAAGCATTCTACTTGCAAATAAGCTTAAATGTATGTTAACGTGGATAATAATGTAAAACTCTAATCAGTTATTATAAATATATATTATATATTACCAGTTCGGAGCAACAAAATAAATTAAAAATCCAGTTTGTACGGGAAGAAACTCTTCCGTAAAAAAAGTTAACATTCAAGTCCATTTAAAGAAAACAAATAATAAAGCATGCTTTTTAATTCCAAGTTTTATTTGTAACTGTGGGAAGTATATTACATCTTATAATAGCAAAGTGTAAACTGTATGTACGATAAATATAGTTGATTGAGAAAGCGTCTGCTCTGTGCTATCGTCACGTGTAAAATGTTATCTCCCATTAAATCACAAGTGTTCGGAAAAACAAACAATAACGCGAAAATTTTAAAAAAATACTGAAGTTGCAAAACTTCCAAATTGAAATGAATCAGTTTTTAGATTGGATTCGAAACTACAATTCTTTTTCTTGACTTCGTAATTTCCTTGAATTAATGACTTTAAAAATTGCTATAGTTTTATTTGATTTATTGTAAGTTTCAATAATTTTGAAAAAAGTAAGATATTCATCATTAATATTTTGGAAAGAAAAAAACAACTTTTTTCATGTTTTTAAATGTAAGTTCAAATGATAAGTTTTTAAGCTCTTTTATTAACACTTCATACAACAGTTGTGGATATTAGACTGACAATAAAAAAAATTTTTTTTTTAAATCGACTGGACGCCCCCTTAAAAATTTCAAACCCCCCAAAAAATGAGCTTTACCAAATTTCAGCTCATATGGTTGAAAAAAGCCCGTGCCACAAGACGGGTGTTGATTAACATTAAATTAAATGGAAAAGTCGTTTTCTCGTATTATACTCATACGGAGTTTCCATTTAATTTAATGTTAATCAACACCCGTCTTGTGGCACGGGTTTTTTCAACCATATGAGCTGAAATTTGGTAGAGCTTGAAACTTTTGAGGGGGCGTCTCGTCGATTTAAAAAAATATTTTTTGTAATACTTAAGCAAGAAAAACCACTAAAATATGTGATATAAAATTTTGATAATTATAACGATAATTTAACTCGTTTTAATGTTAGGATATATTATCACTCCATATCTTATTCTTTTAAGAATAAGATATTTTCTTAGTACTATGTATGAAAATAATTTAAAACTTACCATACACTCGCCATTTATTTTACTATTATCTCTTGAAAATTGATGATAAGTAGTAGGTGGGGAATCATCATCACTATCATTATCTCCTTCATTTTTACTATCTGTTTCATTTTTTCCCTCAGCTTCACTACCAACCCCACTATCAAGATATTCATTACCTGAAATTAAATTTGTTGAAAGTATAGATAAATTGAGAAAAAATCTGAATTTATATAATTATTTTACCTGCTGAGTCAATGGGACTTTCTCCAGTGCAGTCTTTTGGTATTTTTTCAATACATTTTTTATGTGCATTATAATGACAATCTTTGCACTGCAAACCTTGCTTAAATAAACCTTTTAATAATTTTTTGCAATATCCACAAACTGTTGGGCGTGTATAATTGTGTACAACAAATGTATGAGGTATTTTAACTCGAGTAGCTAATTCCTTTTCAACCCAAGCTGGCCTTCCCCCGAGAGATGGTGAACGAGATTGTTTTGGGGTAATAATACTGGGTATGGCCTATAAATTTATTTTTATAAATCTTAATATTTCTGTGATAAATAAAGTTAGAATAAAGATACCTTACCAAAGAACTATTATTTTGGCTAGAATTTGTGTTAGCAGTATTTCCATGGTTATCATCACCAACACTTATTAAACTACTTGTGGATCCTTGACTTGGTGATCTTGGTACACTTAATAACGTTGAACTTCGTCTCCTCTGGCAAATGTCATGAGAACAATTGTTTGGAGCCTTTACTACACATCTTTTATGAAAATTCATTCCACATCCTGTATAATAAAACATAATAAGAAACCTGCACCATAAGAATATATAAAATAAAAAAATAGTAATTTATATATCATTAAGTACCTTCACATTTTAAACCCTGACGTACTAAACCAAACAACATTTCACCACAAAAGTCACAAAATGTTGGAGTTTTAAAAGAATGGACAGACAATGTATGAGGGCGAATGGTTATTTGTTCGATGGGTACTTGACCTTAAAAAAATATATGTATTGGGAAAATTCAAATAACTTGATAGAACAATTTTACTACTACAATAAAATAATTTACCTGATATGACAATTTCGACTAACGTTTCATCAGTGATTTCTGTTGTATTCGTAATAAGCTGCAGTATGTTGACGCAGTTATAATCATGTTTAAAAAGAAGCACTCTTTCAAACAATAGACTCAACCCATGATCAGGACATTTAGTGGTTATAAAATCACATGCAAAATCTTTTAATGATTTTAGTGTTAAATTACCAGCGTCTACAGTTACAGTATCCCTTATCAAACCAAACTGAAAAAGGAACGTTAATTCTGTGTTTTCCATTTTTTTTTCTGTAAACAAAAATATATTTTTTGTAGAGAAAAATTAATTGATGAGATGATTTTAGTAAAATAAAAGTATTAGTGATAAGTATAACGCAACTACTATTAAAAATTTAAAAAGAAAATGATCCATGTTAAAATTTTTGTAAAACGAAAAGATATATAATATATTTATATCAAGGCAGGTATTACCTAAATATAATTTTCTTAACTTTTGGGAATTTAATTACATTTAAAAGTGTTTTATCTAAAAATGAGAAGTAAAAGAAATTGTCATAATTGTAAAAAAATAAATAATAACAGTAATAACAATTGTTTTGATAACTTGTCAATCCCTTGAGATATAATAAAAGAAATTAAAGCTTTTAAAATATTTTAAGTCATTTATTAAAGTTTTAATGAATGACTAAACATATTTTGAAAGCTTTAATTTTTTTCCATATCTCCATATTATTTCCATATTCAATTCCTCATGTTATTGGCAACTTTTAATTATATCATTGGCACTAAACATAAAAAGTTCTATAATATAATGATGAAAACAAAACAATTTTTTCTTTTTTTAAATAATGATGATAACACAAAACATTTTCTGTGTTTTTTTTATTTTTATACTTCTAAATTCTTATTAGATTTTCTCTGAGCTTGCCCTGTATAAGTCTATAAAAAATTATTATTACATTTTGTATTTTCACTTTTAACGATCATGTTCTAATCTTAATTTGTGAACATTAACTAGGAGGCAAGATATGAAAGAATGTTTATTGACTCAACACACGCACAAACGTTCTCAGAATTCTTATAGTTTCAAATTGACAGGACGTTGAAGTTGAATGAGCTCGGAAAAATCGGAAAAACTGAAATATATCCATGGAAGATTGCATCGAAAAACTATAAGTTTAACCATTGACATACATTCAACGTAAATAACATTTTACAGTTTACAGTTATCTTGAAAGCCTGCGCATCGATACAGCTGCACGCGGATATTTTTTTGCTCTCGTCTTATGCATTCTCTTTCTCTCATTCTCGTCGTACTCGTTGCAAAAAGAAGAAAGTTAATGAGCGTGGTTGGAACTCTATTCTACGAAGTAGAGCAATTTTAAACTTAAAATGCATTTGCTACAGCTGGTTTTTCATGCCTCTATAATTTGTTAAAAGTTTTGAAAAGCGCCAAATATTTATACCTTTCTAATTCTTTTCTGTTTACTCGATGTACTCGTCTCGGGCATTGGTCGCGACCAAACGTTCGAAATGGTTCATTTGATCCAAGAAAATCGCAGCCCACATGAATATCAACCGCGAGCCCTATCTAGAGTCCTCGAGCCGGCTAATTGCCATTTATGCAATTTTTGTCGCGGTCGAGGTGGTTCGTCGTCCTCGGCCACGGCGCGAATCGTGACTGATAGACAGTCGTCCGCTGGGCACTGACAGACGTGCCGCGCACTAGTAGGCATATATATATAGTGCACTCAAGTAGCTACTATTGTGGCTGTGAGCAGACCAGCGCAGTGCTGCAGACTGCCTGCACGATGTACCGTTGGCTCGTGGCTTGAGTTGTTGCATTGGCAATTTACGGAGGCGAGCCTCGACGCCGAGAGAGTCCGCGTAGCAACGAAAAGAAGGACGCGGGCATTTTGTAGTTTTGGCGCTCGGTTGCTGTGCCGTACTTATGTAATGCATAACTTTTTACGAGTTACTGTTCTTACATAATTTCGCTTATCGTAGATCCTTGCCAATATTATTAGGATTATTAAAGGTCGAAAAATGGAATCTCCTCTTTTCTCCTGACTCCGTTAGGACGGCGTACCTTATGTGATAAACACATCTATATTAATACAATCGAATACATTTCTCGCGTTTATCGCTTTATAAACGTGCAGCACTGAACCCATTATGCATTTAGAATTAGCTATCCAACTTAATGACAATGAGCAGTAAAAAACACATTAATCTCATTTTTAGAGTCAAACGAGATCAAAATCCTTTCAACATTTTTGTGATATTTTACTTTTTCATTGTAAGCATACCATAGCTATAATTTATAAGTATAACATATAAATAAACGAAGCAATCCCTTGTTCTGCAAAAATTACCCAAAGAAAATCTTACAGAAAATCCGGATTATTAATTGGAATTTCGCATTGAGAGATATTTAAGAAAAGCACGACATTTTTGAGGGATCCTTGAGGTAAACCCTAAATTCGTATGGGTAATCATTCAGAATATCATGGATTTACCGCAGGAATCCTGTAGGTAAATGTGAAATTTCTATGGGTAAATCTTGAGAAAAGCAGAAAATTCTTAGAGGAATTTTCCTGCAGAAAAAACGGAAACATTTTTCTCAGAATCTGCTAAAAATGTGTGGGTTCCTGCAAGAATTCATCCTTCAAAAATCCTCCTTCAGAAAAAATCCTTCAGAAAGTAAGTAAATTTCCTGTAGAATTTCGGATTGAATAGAAGAGAGCGATGTTCTCGTTATTTTTCCGCATGCATTCCGTTATTACTGAATTCAGACGAATTTATCTCTAACTGGAATCATCATAATTTCTTCAAGGAAAACTTGATTCATAACCGTTATTATTTTTTCTGCAATAAACCCTTCACAATCATATGGTCCGAATTTACCCATAGAAAATCATGCAGAATTACCTTTGGGATTTTTTTTTTTGGGTAATTTCTGCAGAACTTTCCCACACAACTTTTTCTTAAAGGTAATTATCGTAAGTATTCAGTATTTCGCACTTGCTCTGAAAGATTCTAAAAAAAAACGTCCTGGTTTATTGAATTTACTTTGATTGCTTCCGTTGGACTTGCTATAATGCAAATATTATTACTGCACAAAAAAGTTTACTTGTAGATCGTTAAGCAGCTCACAGATGACAGAAATATAAAAACTGAATAAATTCAATTTTTCAGGCTATTTAATTCGAAGCCCTCATATAAATACTACACATAACAAATTCAGAGAAACGATGTAACTGTCACTCAGAGATAGTTATCAATCGAGCCTTATAATGTAAATGACGCGATCTGCGGTAAGTAATATAACATCACGAGTCGACGCCGTGCTTGTCGCGCTAGTAGAGTGTGTCTTGATCTAGTCAGACACGTTGGCAACTCTTCTTCAAGTTACATAAATGACGGGGGTGCAACGAGAATAATTTCATTTCTGGTTAAATGGTTCAAACTCCCAGACCGGAATAATTTTTTCTTCGGTGTGACACCAAAAGAGATGCTTTTGAATTTTTTAGAGTATTGAGTCATGCCACTAAACTTTAGTAGAGGGTAAGACCGGGATGTCTTTTTTTAGTTTCAGGTGTATTTAAGCCCTTAAGGTGCCATGACCCATTCAAAAAACTGGCCATTCGAAATTGCTCAATTCCCCGTCCTCTACAGGTGAATTGTAGGTATAAACAATATAGAAACTACCAATGTACCAAAAAATTTCCGATAAAAATGATTCAATGTCTAATTGTTGTTTGTCATAAATCAATAACTTTAATGTCTGAATTCTATTGATTTTTTTATTAAAAAATAGCTACTGATCCATGCATTAATTATTTTGCTAGCGTAATTTTTATGTTGTAATTAATTTGTAATTTCTATGTAGACAAATTAAACGGTTCCAAATGGCCAACAAGCATAAACGATGCGAGATTATTTCTGTTCTAGTGAAAATATGCGAGTTTCATAGCTCGGAAGATAAAACCAATCGTTATAGACTGTCGGGTAAGACGAAAAAGTCCATGCCATTATCTCTTCGTTCTTTAAACGTTTATAGTATAAGTCCCAACTATCATCGTTTCGATTGGGTGATTATTCATATTCACTCTTATTGCCGAAATTGCACTCAAGGATTTCTTCACGTGCTTACTATGTTGAGTATGATGTATCATGTCAATGGTATTATAGCTGATCGAAATGATTTCAAGTAAATGTAAAGTAAACGTGTCACACTTAGATTGCCCGATTTTAATGTTTTTTTATATCCCAAGTGAAAAAAAAACATAAAGACACTATAATGTATAAATAAATACAAATGTTTATGAGCTATAACTTTTTTATACAAAAAAGCTTTTTGTTTTTAAATGTTTTGTCTTTTTGGGCCTTTTTTCAGAACATTTTGGATTTTTTTAATTCTGATCATTTTGCAAAATTGCTAAAACTGTCTGAAAAATTCTAAACAAATTCACACGCATTCTCTGAACGATTTCAAATAAATTTTTTAAGAATAAAAGACATCAAAGTATTTTCAGTATAATAATTCTTTTTTTAGTTTTATAAAATCGAAAAGAAATGTGACTTCAAAATATGGTATAAAAGTTTTTTTGCTACTCTGAATTTGTTCAGAAGCAACAAATTTTGTTTGTGAATTTTTTCAGAATTTTTTAGATCACTTTGGAAATGTTACAAAATAACAAAAATTAAAAAACTCCAAAGTGTTCCAAAAAAAATTCTGAGAAAACTCACACTCGCTCTTTGAACAATTTGAAAAAACTTTTCATATTTAAAAACTTTTTTTCATAAAGTCAATAATTTTCGAGTAAAAAATTAGTTAATTATATCGCTGCTAGGAATTATTCGCCATTTCAGAATTATGAGGGTTACATAGAAATCGCAGCAACGCTTTTCTGCAATGTTCAGAGCAAAAGTACACGATTTCTGATCTTATTGGAACTCTCCGAAGGCAGGGCAAGGTGAAAATCAACTTTGAAAACAATTTCAAGTAAAAAAATGACGTTTTTCCTTTTATTGCAAAATAAACGATGCTAATATTTACTTATCGCAAAAATAACGCCGGATTCTGAAAGAGCATTTTAACTTCATCCGTGACTTTTTTACAATTAAAAAGTCATGCACAAAATGCCACTTTTGTGGTTCAACCTGATGAATTATTTTTATTGATGTGAAACATCTATTCTCTTCTTTTTCTAAAACCAATGCATCCAATATTACAATATAAATAATATAATTTATATTGTAATACAATATAAATAATATAATGCATATAATAGAATGGAAGAAAATGCGTATAATTTTATTTGTTCATCTTGTAATATGGTATAAGCTCGTTCAACTAAATCGAATCATTTAGTTATAACATGATTGAGTTTCATGATTTACATTTTCGAGCTTTTTTAGTCCAGTTTCAAACTTCATAAATAATAAAAGCCTTTAAACTTTTCCTGTATACAAAAAAGGAGCCGTTTTATATCTTTTCATTACGATTGCGTTTGGCTTGTTTTTACCCTTATATTCTTTTACTAACGTATCAATGCTAAATATTTTTCTAAACAATTCCTTAATTTTTATTTTATTATTGAATTAGTAAAAAAGAGAAAATATTTTTGGATGTACATAAAAGTGAAAAGATGTACACGAAAATGAAAAGATGAATAATTTATACAAATTGATCAATTGAATAATTTGATTAATTTTTTCAGAGCATTATTACAATTTCGCATAACTAGGCCAAGCCAAGTTTACGAGCACATCGCTATTGGAATTTCATTAAATAAGGTCAGAAATGCGATCAGGTATTACAAATCTCAGAATAAAGTTAAAAGTCATAAATTTTGCAAATAATTTCTGTATTATTATATTAACATTAATTTTATAACGTCATATATTTTTATTTATTTTTGTTTATAATTGAACATAAATTTTCCTTTTTTTGATAATAATATTGTTGTGTTTGTACAGCTTCCTGCTTCACAATCGATCATTGTGACTTTTCCTCGTTCTTAATAAGCCAAAATAAACGATTGTTGAATCATATCTAAGTAAGTAATGATATCGTTTATTGCTCTTTAGCAGATTTTGCTGCATTATCAATAAAAGTTGCGAGTTTTACATCTCTTTGGGATAAACCATTAACATCGTGAGAAGATAGCGTGATGTTCACTTTGTTGTAAACGTTGAACCACTCGGGATGGTGATCCATTTTTTCAGCCTGCAGAGCGATTCTTGTCATGAATCCGAAAGCCTGAACCAAAATAGAAATAAAATTTTATTTAATTAAATTTCTAGTAGAGAAAAACAAATAACTAAAATACGGTACCTCATTAAAGTTTTTAAAGATAAATTCTTTACACAGAGCATCTCTTTTATCTTGTACAGCCCATCCATTAGTGAGCAAAGGAGCCAAGTCCTTTTGTCTATCTTCGACACTTAATTTTGGCTGTAAAAAATATTATTCAATTGCTAATATACATTGCTAAACTAAATTTTTTTATATGATAATTTAGGTTTTGAATTTTTCGTAAATATTTCTAAATATGTTTTATCGTGTAATTTTAGAAGACTTACAGCGCGAATCACGCTTTAAAGACTTTCTTTGATTTTTTGTATATATTTAAATTCTGGTAGGAAAAACTGCCAGTATTAAGGCATCTTTCCAAACACTATGAGTACCGTACCCTAGGCGAATGATAATTCTGCCCGATGGAATGCCGGAGTTTTTTTTATATACATATACACATTTAACCACTCTGTTTAGAATTAACGCTTACCTAGATTAATTTGGAATAACATTCTTTCAGTCAATCGATTTGAAAAAAAATCACAAAATAGTATTTACTATAAGTTATCGTAAAAATTATTTTTCAAACGTTGATATTGTTAATAAGTAAAAATTAAATGTTTTGCAGAACATAGTGTTCGGTAACTGGATAGAAAATTGTACATCTGCGGTATTATTTATATTTAAAAGTTTTCAATATAAACATGATTGTTAAGATATCGATGTAACAAATTTGACGATAAAAAAAGTGTCTTTATTCACAATAGTCAAATATTTTGTGAATTTAATTACATTTCATATTTTCTGTCATTAATTTCATCACGAATATACCTTTCACTTAAGATAATCGGCCTTCGATTGCGAAATATTGATTACGCGTCTTGGAAATAAATAAACTCGACCACTTGTTGAGGCACTTATTGAAATGCATTATTTGATTGTGTAAAGGAATATCAAAACGAACAGAAACATTTTTCTTAAATCTTTCAAATATAATACACATATATATTTAAATCAATTATTATTTTATTCACGACAGTTACGAACCATTTTTTGTTTCTTTGCTCCGAGAGTAGTCTGCAACCTTACTGCTGACAAGAACACTCGTGAACGTGACACAAACGCCTCGCCCCCCACTTGCTGGAACATAGCCGCTGCCATTCTAACCTTTCAATTATTACTACTCAATCTTATCGCGTTAGAATTGTTTTTTAAAGATAATAATAATTTCTTCAAGAAATATTTCAAATAGATTCGAAGTAATTTTTATTTTTGATTGTAAAAAACAAAATTTATTATTAAAAGCACGTATAAACCTCGAAAAATTGTCGTTTTTTAGGAGACAATCAATGTGTACATGCACATTAAGCAAGAAGTTAAACTTCACTAAAATAAAATAGATGTTTCACATCAATATAATAAATAACTTAACATGTATATAGAATAAAAAAATTAGTACAAATTTATGGGTACAAAATTCAATCACTGCATTAATTTAATTAATTTTTATTTCTTTTTTCTTGAAATAACTTTAGAAACAGGTTCAGGTACTGGTATTTTTAGAACCACACTTTTTTTATCATCTTTGACAGGCACAGCACGAATACATCTAGCTAATTCAATTAGTTTTTTAGTACCCAATCGTAACGTAAACATTGTATTAAACTGTTCTATGTCTAATTTGTAATCCCATATTATTAGTCCTAATATTATACAATGTATCAACCCTTTGTGTCTCATAGTTAGGGGCTTGAGTCTGTAAATTATAAATAGCATATATAATAACAAGTATTTTTTAATTATATACCATGATTAAATGATGAAAATTACCTTCCATTATTAATACTGTAATTTTGTAAAACATAAGAGTTTACATCAGCAGAATGTTCACATACATTAAAATCCTTAGATTTTGCTGATTTTACAGGTTTATTTAACCAATTAGCTATTGCTTCAATATACAGCAACATTGCAATTTTAAATGCTGATTTAGGATCTGTTTTAACATATTCAACAGTTTTCATGAAAAATGTTGGCTTGCTAAAAATATAGAAAAAAAGTTATTATTAAATATTTTATTCAAGATAAAATTATAACCTGTAATATAATACTCACTCTACAATATCACTTTCAGAAATGTCAACTGAAGCAATGTATAAAGTTTTCAAAATTTTCTTTGGAACAATATCATAAATATTATAAATTTCAGACTCGTGCTTGGCATCTGTATTACAAGGTGGCAAAATTTGTCCATCAATCAAATCATCTTTGGCATTATTTTCTAAATCTTCTTTGTCAATTTGAATATCTAAGAAAAGTTTTAAAATTAAACTTTTGTTTTTTTTATTATTAAAAAAAAAGGTAAATAATATTTACCTTGAACAGTTTTTTCCAATTGTTCTTTAATATCTTCAACATTGACTTTCATCTTTTCATGCTGCTCTGTTCGCCTTTTTACTTTTTTAGATCCAAATTTTTTGTTTAACTCAGCATTTTTATCTACATTTTGATCATCGTTATTGTTAGTAAGTTGGTCTAACACAGGAGCTACATCCCAGTGTTCTGCTTGAACTAATCTAACTTTTCCAGTTTTTTTATTATGAATTGCCAACATTGTATAAGTTAGTTCTTTTTTAAAATCTGGTCTATGACCTTTATAAGCCACTTGACCATTAGTCATTGCCAGAACTACTTTCTGTTTATCCTCATCATTGTACAATTGACATTTCATTTTATTTGTTTCTTCATCTTTAAGTTGACCATTTTGAAAATGAACTGCAGTTTAAAATAATAATTATCATTCTATAAAATTTGATAAATAAGTTTAGGAACAAAGAAAATCGTTCCAACTATCTTTTCAAGTAAGAAAAAAATTTCAAGTACACATACCAATAATGGGTTGAATTTTATTTGGTTCGATTATAACACTGTCTATTATAGCTTCTATTGGCTTCTTCATTTTATTTTTATTTTTAAAAATATATTTGTCATGAAATTATGAGTGTAAGTTTCGGTTGATAATGCACAAACTTGTTATCGTCAATACTAATTTTTGAATGAAAACAAATCACAAATATTTCAACGGCGTTGGCTTTGATATCTTACACAGTAATAAGTTTCTACTTATCTGTACTAAATTGACATAAGTATTTGGTTATGATCTACTAAACATCACGCGGCACGTTTTTTTGCTCTATCGTGTTACACACGAGGCAACGTATAAGACAGCAGAGCATTAAGCACTGACGGAGCATGTGTAAATTAACATTGAATGCATAGAGGCGCTGCGGTATCGTATGCTCCTCAATTTTGACGCGATCACATTTTAAAAAGTTAAATTCCGTTCATTAAAATTAAATTGTTGGGTCATTTTGTGTTATTTTAGGTATTGAAAAGTAGCGAAAATTGATATTTTTCCAGCGTTGAACGATTTTTAATTAGTTCAATGTTCTTAGCGAAAAAACTAAGAAAGGAAGTTTTTGTTTAGAAATGTCCAAGAAATTTAAGAAAATTTTTTATTTTGCAAAAAATTTGTTAAAAAAACTAATAGCAAATAATTGTTAATACAAAAAAAATTATTGTTGTTGAATTTAAATATGTAGGTAGCGTGCTATGCATCGAGTGCGAGTTTTTGAATTCCTGAAAACGTGAACGAGTACGGGTATGATTTGAGCACGCGTAGCGTGCTGATAGATGCTAGATACATAAAACAAAGATACATTTGCTTTTAATAATATTCTATTATACATTTAACTTGTAATTTTTTCAACTCTTTCAGAGCTTATAACAAAAAATGTTTATTTCTTCATCTTCGAAGTACAAACTTTTTAAGGATATGGTTTCTTCTCTATTACTAGAAAATTACTTTAGAAAATCGTTTTTCATACGCGATATTCAATTTTCAAACGATAAATTTGAAAGTGACTTAAAATGTCGTTTGTATCGTTATCGTTTGTTTTACATGTTAAAGTCAATTGAAACGTAATGTATACCTTATGAACAATATATGTATTGATGACTTAGCTGAACAAGCTGCACTGCTAATATTGGGGTCAAATCTAACCACTTGCTGTTCGAAATAATGAATAAGAATAAAAAAATAAGCTTATCACTTGGCCAAAAATAATGACACTTTTTCAATGAAGCTTGCTTGGATCTCATCATAATATTCAAATCCTAACAACAAGAAGGCTGATAATTTTGCGAGTCACCACCGCACTTAATATTGATTTCTCGCCTGCGTCTTCCACTGATCTCACGGTATTATTAAAAAATACAATGCGACAAACACATCCGCCGTGAAAATGTTGACGCGGAACACAAAGAAATAAATATTTATGACTTGTTTCACAGCAGCGTCAGATCTTTCCTATGGTTTAGGGTCCGGTGGAAAATATCTCGAATCGATCGGTTATTGTTACCCTGAACCAAATGCGCATCGATCACCGCAAGCCTTGAACGGTGACAATTCAGCCGTTTAACTTATAACACTCTGAGTCAACAAAAGAGAAGATCACCGCAGCTTCGCCAAATCCTTTGCACAGAAAGAAAACTGTGGAATCGCCGCAGAGAGTATGAAACAAGAATTCTGACGATGCAACCTGTACAAGGAACATCGAGGTACTTCCTGAAGTGCTCGAACTGGGCTTGATACCCTCCTTTGAATATTGAGAGTTTTATTACCACTCCGAAAATCCCAGCAATTGTCCAAAGGGGATTTCTAATCCATACCGTTTCGAATTAAACAAGTTTCACTGCAATTGTTTTTTTCATTGAATAATACAAGTTTCATACTTACTACTGATTAAAAAATATTGTTAAAATATCGTACCTATCAGACATTTAGTTTTAGGTTGAGCAGAAGATTCATAAGACAAAAGTTAAAAAAAAGTAGACATTTTTTATCTTTTCGTTAACTTATAATTTATTTCAATTAGAAAACTCAAATTTGAAAAAATTAACTGTCTGAGCCACCTTATAAGGGATTCAGTGTGCATGTATCAATCAAGTAATTTGTTCAATTTAAATGGCATGTTAGTATAAAATTTTAGGATCATTTTAATAGTTTAGGTACACACTTTAGATCAATTAACTATGTATAACCAATGTAGCAATGAAAAAGGAATCGTACTATAGAGATAAAAATGTAAAAATTCATTAGTAAAACGTAATTCTAATAAAAAACAAATTTATTAAAATCGACCGATGACAGCTTGGCTTTGAATTATTTACAAATACTTAGCGTAAATAAGATTCCACGTAAATGCTTCCTTTATTTCAGCAATTATTTGAAGCTTTACTTCCAGTGTCAAAATCAGTTATTCACTTATAAAATACAATTATTTTTCTTCAGGAAAATGCATCATCTTGTGTCTTAGCGATTATCATCCTGGTTGGATCCTGTTGAAAATACGATTGAAAAATATTAATTTTATTAAATTAATTACAGTAACTGTTTGCATAAAATTATGTTAATTAACGAAAAAGATGAAAAGATAGAGGGGGGTCGACATTCGGTGGATAAAATTTTATATAGTCGCAAAGGTATTATAGAAAGGGAATATCTCGTTTATTCTGAAGAGCAATAACACTACGTAAACACTTATAATTTTTGAAATTAGAAAAAATTTGAACCTAAATGAAATGGTTAAGAGAGCTCCAATTTTATAGAGTAAACATATACTCATACCCGCAATATTAGCTGCTTCAATATTATTTATTTTATCGAGGGACACAATAATAATTTCGCTGTTTATATAAACACGTTTGTTCAGTTGATTGCGATTGAAAAAACTTAATATTAATAATGTATTGAATGTACAAATTTTACAATTTTTCTAAAATTATGCCCGAATAGAATTAATTCAAGTTTCAAAATGTAATCAAATCTTAAATTGTCTTTTCAAGGCAAAATTGCTTATTATATTACGGGTAAAATTAATAATCATTTTCAAACAAAATGAATCGCAAAAAACCTCTTTTTCTATGAGATTCTATGAAACCTATTTATAATTAAGTTCGGAAATAATAGATCTTGAAAAGTTTCTTTTGTTTCTAGAACACAAACGCAATAATACATCAAACACAATAGTTTTTTCTTACTGTTCTATGATACATGTTTTGTTTTCTTTCACGTACTTGATCTAGTATTCTGTACGCAATATGCATCGAATGGCATCCATTCATTTTTATAATTTCAAGATCTTGCTCGAAAAATCTTATTTATTCAAATATAATCGAAGTTAAAACAGTTATCAAAAAGAAAACATTCTTATTACCACGATTCGTCAAAGTACATAGAAATCAAAACGGATGAAGTTCAATATAATAAAAGTTTTCTTTGATAACTCGCTGTGCAACACAGGATGTTCGCAATTTTTCAACATACCTTTTATTATTTCAAAGTCGATGAAGCACAAATGCATGGTCATCGTCAACTTCGCATCTTTTTCTGTAACATTACAGCGCACGCATCGTCGAACATAGTTTTATCGAGTTTTTTGTTTTACTCTTCTTTCTTACATAGAAAGTAGGTAAAAAGTCGCCAAGATGAAATTTTTTTGCACATTAACTCGATGAGTAGCCTCTAATAATTCGAATTATTTTGTTTTTGTTTTTTTGTTGAAAATAAAAAATACTTTCCAGCGCTGACTTGAAATATTTGTTGAAAATATATTTGTCCTTAAAAATTGCTTAGTAATGACGCTTATTTTGTGTTTTTTTCTACGATTATTAAAATTTGAAATTTCGCACTTAATACACATAATATTATTATAATTATAGTGTGATCGCACCTAAAGCCAAGTTCACTAATCTAGGAAACAAATAACCCTAAACATTGCAAGATAAAGTTCAAATTTAGAACAGAAATATTAATTAATCAACGATCCAATTTTTAGTAAGCACGTTCTGCTTAAAAAATTATCTACAGCATGCAATTTAGGGGAAAAATATTAGACAATAAAAATTAACATTATAAATATGTAACCAACCGAAAATGAACAATTTATATTAATTACAAAGAAAAAAACATGGTTCTAGTTCATTATTATGTTTCTACTACAACTGAATTTTGTTAACTTACAATTAGGAAGAGGATCGATGAGTTGTTTAATGGAGTTAAAATAATTTTCGAAATTTAATGAAAGCAGTTTCAAGCATTTTCTCTCGTTTTATTGACGCATACTTTTAAAAAACACTCAAAGTTCTTACATAAAAAGAAAAGAAGAAAATTATACATCAAATCTATATAAATAACTATCGTACATTTATACGTTTACTAGAAAGGCTTGATTTATATTAGTTTAATATCCTAAATAATCATTATACATATTTATTCCTAAAATGACAGGATTTTCCTTGCCCTTTACATTTAATTAATCGATTACATTACGTTACGATCACCGAAACGAATGCTCACAAGAGCTTCTTTGTTAACTGTTGACAACTCATAAGAGTGAGTCAATGAATATATTTAAGGTTCTTGCCCTTTTTTTAATTTCCAATGCGTTTGGAATATTAAAAAAAATTCATACAAATTTTATTTCAATTACTCAATTCCATGTGCTATAATTTATAGTTTGCACATTTATAACTATTTTTCCATTTAAGACATATCCTTTTGAGAGACTTGAAGAAGATGGCAAGGCCACGTTGCAAAGAATTTTTCGAAAATTCATTTCCGTTCCCTTCAAACGGTTCATTCATTTTGAAAAAATGCTATCAAAGCTACGATGACTTAACGTATTTTTACGTATTTTTCTTCTTTAAAATTTGTTATACATTTTTGGGAAATGTATGTCCATCTTCTTAATTAGTCAATCAAAAGTTTTATGGTAAGCATACAAACTTATACACGAGCCAAAATATTTTATTTACTAAAAAATAATTTGAGTTCAGAATGGGTTTATTTTAAACGTAGGTATGAATTCGCTCTTAACATTTAGTTATTTTTTAGGCAAACTCGAGTGTTCGTCAGTTTGCATGAGTTACAGTTCGCTTCGGTTCGCAGGTACTCAAATTTAATTAGTACCTTGGAGGCATCGCGTCTGCCGGGCCTGGGAAGCTAAAAGTTCAAAAAAATAAATAAGTCGCAAATTAATCATGATTAATATATACACGTTTAATTCCACTGCGCAGCCTGAGTATGAGATGTAACTTTCTGTTTATTCGAGAAACTACCTACACAACTCAAAAACTTTTTCTATTTTACTGATATTTGTCGGAATACGGGGTCATTACTTAGATGTCGCATGATATTCGCAATCGTAATAAAACCAATTAATCAGTAGACTTGAATGTCATTTAACAGATGAAAAACGCACAGGACGCATTTTGATAATAAGTGGCAATTGTAATAAATACAACTATTACTAATTATTTATAAATAATAATTATAGTAAATGCAAAATAGCATTACCAATTGCCAAAAATTAACAAATGAAATGTTACATCTTATACTTACGAAATTATATTGATGTCGCATGTACGCTATTGATTTCAATTTTACGCATAATAAACTATTTAATGGATCGTAAAAGTGAAAAGGCTAACGAGGAATAATTGAGGGTTTTCTAATAAATCGAAAACCAATTTTCGCTTCTTTTTAGAAGTACTCAATAATATGAAAGCGATGCAACACCGAAGGTTGTACCTTAGATTAAAAGTAAAATAAATGTATCTTACCGTCCGCCTCCTCGTGGAGGTCCATAGGGATCTACTCTGTCGTAACCTTCCGTGTATCTGAAATATTTAAAATTTTTTAAAATAATGACATAGTATTAGAATACGTAGGTGAATAAGAAATAACGTTTAACATACCCTCCTCCAACAGGATATCCCCCAGTAGATGGAACAGTTCCTCCAGTTCTTCTGCTAAACATATCAGCTTGTGGACCAGGACCAGCATTATAATTTGACCCGCCTGAATTGTAACTGGGTGCTCCACTTAATGGTCTAAAAAAATTTCAATTGGAATTTTTTACTTAGTCTATTACGTATTTTTTCTGTAGATAAATGTATACACAATGAAATCTTAACAATGATTTTAATTTATTAATGATTGATTAATAATTCATTAATGATTTTGTACATACTCAGAGAGTATACAATTGGGGAAAATCATGAATTAGAGAGGTAAATTAATGTGTAAATTTGTTTTTAGGCAAACAAAATGGAAAACCCAAATTTATAAATTAGAGGTTTTTTTTTTAATTAGACAGTTTTTCTTAAGGTAACAAAAATTTTTTATGAATTAGAAAGGATTGAGAATGAAAGAGTTTGAAATTAAAAGGTTTAACTGTATTCATGGGTATATATTATAGTGACTTATCAAATCATGAAATTTCGTTCTCAAGTTTATTTTAGTTTGCTCGGACCTAAAAGTGAAATGAAATCTGAGGCAAAACGATTTTTTTTCATCAAGTAAATTAAATGCCCGCAAGTTGAGAACGCCATTTTCGTAATTCTAAAAAATTCTTCAAAAAATTCTAAAAAATGACTAATTTCAAAACTTTTTGGTTCTTTCCACGCGTCTTTTTAAAAGTGTTCTTTTTCAACATAAAAAATCGCAAGTATTTAAAGGTTTTTTTCCACTTCAATTCTTCGTGAATTAATTTTTCATTGTAATTTTCAAGTATATAAGTAATTAATAAGTTTTAATCTTTGTAATTTCTAATGACCTTGGAAAAGAGTTACAAGCACTGGTATTCTATGCAAACTAAAAAAAAAGCTGGAAAGAAAGTTCCATGCAAATTGATAAGTATAACTAAATAAAGGGTACCATAGTATACAGAATGATGAAGAGGAATCTAAACCTAAAATAGAGAAAATGTAACTAAATTTTTTGTTGTCTAGGTATCTAATTAACTTTTTAGAAAAATAATTAGTTGTATAATTAGTACACATTCTCTTATTTTGCCAGAACCAATGAGAAAAATTCTTTTTTCAAATTTCAGCAACAATTTTTTTTCAAACTGCTGTGAAAATAAACTGAAAAACTAAAGTAAAAATTTTTATATCTAGTCATTTTTCCAAAAATTTGCTGTATTAAGTGCCGAAGCCCCGATTTTGACCGACCGAGCATTAAAAATGTAAATTTAAATAACTTTTTTACTACACCGATTTTCGAAAAACGGCTCTGTGGAGCCCTCCGTATTGTTGCTGTGAACAACTGCACCAAATTTCAGCCAATTTCATCGGGTAGTTTTCCCGGAAAACAGGATCAAACTTTTTTATCCTACAAACAGTAATCAAAACTTTCGATCCTGTTTTCCGGGAAAACTACCCGATGAAATTGGCTGAAATTTGGTGCAGTTGTTCACAGCAACAATACGGAGGGCTCCACAGAGCCGTTTTTCGAAAATCGGGGTAGTAAAAAAGTTATTTAAATTTACATTTTTAATGCTCGGTCGGTCAAAATCGGGGCTTCGGCTACATTTTTCGAAAATCGGCCTGGAAAGAAAGTTACGAAATTATACATTTTCTGTGCTCGGTAGGTAAAAATTGTGGCCGAGGCATCACCTTAATCAGAAGACTTTTATTAAGCAGATAGAGAAAAGATAGTCTTTAAAGTACTGTCAATTCAATTTAGCACATAATATAGCAACTTCTATTGAAAGTTTTTTATATTTAAAACTCGTAGTTAGATTTCTCATAATTGTACATTTAAGGAGGTCTGTACCCCACATATTTTATCGACAGATTCGAAAAATTTGTTTAATTTATATCTTTTTTTCTAAATCGAATATCAAAAAACGGCTCTGTGCGAACATTCATTTTGTTGCTCTGAATAGCTGGTAAAAATTTCAGTTAATTCCACCGACCAGATTTCCCGGAAAACGTGTTTACAATTTTCACACGTTACCCCAGCTTGAAATTTTCAAACACGTTTTCCGGGAAATCTGATCGGTGGAATTAGCTAAAATTTTTACCAGCTATTCAGAGCAACAAAATGAATGTTCCCACAGAGCCGTTTTTCGATATTCGATTTAGAAAAAAAGATATAAATTAAACAAATTTTTCGACATGTAAAAAATTTTCATGGAAATATCATAAATTTAATCGTAAAAAATATACAAAAGAGAGATATTTAAAATTTTACCCAACATCACCATAACCAGCACCGTATGCTCCAGCAGCAACTCCACTGCTTCCGTTTCTTATGGGGCCAGTTGCTGGACGATCATAATCGGCTCTTGCTGCATAAGCATCTGTTCTACCAGTTCCAAAATTTTCTGTACGTCCATAGTCAACTGGTCCTTGAGTGGGTCTATTAAATTCAGCTGCCATTCCCCCACCTGATAAGAAACAGTGATATGCTATTAAATAACAGAGTGGAAAATATATAGAAAGTACTTCATGGCAAAGCGGACTACTTTAATGCAACGTTCACTTCTTCCCTTTAGTATACAGAATTATTAAATTTGATAATAAATGGTAACTTAGTGGCAAATCCAATGAAGCACAAAAAACAATTTACAAAGAAACAAAATTGAATACAGCATCACTGTAGTTTTCAAATAGATAAAGAAAAATAGACATCAAATAGAAACAAACTAATGAGAAGATGAACATACTTGGAAAATCTCCTCGATTACCGTAATCTGCTCTACCACCAAATTCAGTAGACCGACCATAATCATTTCTACTGTAGTCCATGCCCCCAGCTGGTCCATAACCACTCACAGAACCTCCAGCAGGTCCATATCCACCCATAGTTGTTTGTCCTTGATATCCCATGTTACCACTTCCCATATTCTGACCATATCCTCCTCTATCATTATAACCACCTCCAAAGTCACCTCTGCCACCAAAGTCACCTCCTCCACGGTTGTATTCACCATAACCACCACTTCCACCACCTCCTGCTTGACCTTCATAACCCATGTTGTGTACTGTCATTACTGCAAACATAAATTAAAATTGATTAATGTGAATTTTCAGTTTCAAATTGTTAATTCTTAAACTTAGAACAAAATTATTGATTGCTCTAAATTTAGTATTTTTTTTATTTTCTGTAGAAGAAATTACTATATTAGTTAAAAAATAAATAATTTTTAAGACTAAGCAGTCTGAGACGATAAAAATGAAGTAATTTTTTGTAATTTAAATGCTGTGAAATCAAAACTTATGACAACCTAATTCTAATAATGGTTAAAATTTATTTAGATTGGGTTCTAAATTCTCAGGGATAACGAATAGAGTGATATCATGTCAACAAACCTCTTCTGTCATTATATGGACCAGGACGAGTATCACGTCCTCCATCTCGTCCTCCTCTGCCTCCACGCATAGGTCCTGGACGTCTACCTCCTACATCGTCACGTCGGGTACGAGACTTGCCAGTGGATTGCTCTACGTTAATCGTTGCACCTTTGAATGCTGTATTGTGAAGATTTTTAATAGCTTCAGCAGCATCTTCTTCTCGAGCCATATGTACAAAACCATAACGCTTCATGACATCACACTCAGTGACTTCCCCGAATCGTACGAATAAACTTCGAAGCTCATCACTTCGACAATTTTCCGGTAATCTCCCAACAAAAATTTTTGTTTTTCTCTGTAAATGATTTAAAATAAAAGAATGAAAATTTGAAATACTATCAAGTTTAATTTGATGATAATAATAATATATTTGTTTCTGTTGAATTCGACCATGCTTATAAAGATAAAAAAGCATGGTGTCTGTTCCAGAATTTATATAGCTCATATGATTCAATAAAACCCAAATTTACACTCTACCAAAAAAAGTAAATTGTAAAATTATTGAGCGACCTCAATCGATACTATTGATTGTATAGATTGATCAATACAATAATAAATAGGAGTATCCAGCCTTATTTATCTTTATTTCTAGTTAAAATCACATCTTCAATGTTATATTATTTATAATAAATATAATTTATTTTGAAATTTTGTATGAATATTACAAAACATAAAATGTTAATCAGTATTTTTCAGACTCATTTGTGTCAACCACAATACTAAACATTTTTTATCAGTTCAATTTAATAATTCAACTATTCAACAATTTGTCATTAACAAACTCAAAACAAAGTATATGTGATAAACAAGAATGTATACTTGCATTAATATTTTGATAACAAATCTTTGTTAATATTTAATGAAAAAGTCTTACCGGAGCAGTAGGTGAAACCATTTTCTGTAAAAAAAATTTTTTTTTTAATATATTTTTAATTAGATACATTTATAGCCCATATCAATAATTATTATGTTTCTTCTGAAATCGATCATGCTTTTAGGCTCAAAAGCATGGTGTCTGTTCAAGAACTTAATATTGCTCAAAAATATCTAATAATTATGATGTACATGTAGAAAAAAAATGTAATCAAATTATTTGAGCTTAAATTTAATATAATCATTATCATCAAATAATATATTAAAATAAAACATATTCAGTAAAAAATTATTAATAATAACTAAATCATAACTCACATACCAGTTAATACGTAACATTTGACTAACTAAGTATTGATTCAATATTTTATAATTTTTTTACTGTTGTTCTCAAATTTTTGGAATAATTTTAGTCGTCACTATAGAACGATTGAACAAAAAATGAAATTAGATCTTATTTTATGATATTATCTACTCACCAGGTTATTCATATTAACAAATTTAAACTGCAATTTAAACAATCAAGATCAATCCTATGGAAATCCAGTTCAAAATTTGATATCCTTGAATGGAAGAATAATAAATTGGTTGATTATTTTTTAGTAATACACAAGTGAGTGAATTTATGGTTCAGTTAAAATACCGACAAAAGTAATAAAAACTCAACAAAAGAGAAAAAGAGGAGTATATAAGGAAAAATAAGCGTGATTTTATAGGTTACAGTGACAACCAATACATTTTATTTTGATTTTTACAGTATCAAAGCTTTCGAGATTTGAATGAATTTTGAAATAATCTATTCTCGCACTAATGTTTCTAAAAGTTCATAAAATAAGTTAATGAGCTAATAAAAGTTCAAGTTGAAAAATAAATACTTGAAGACTTAAATACTGATTCAGTCAACATAAAGTATTACGCCGGTTATCTATAGCATTTTATAAATTAATCCATGAAAAGGAAAAGGAATCCGTTTAATAAACGCAGGCACAAAAAATACTCACCTTGATCACTACAACAATATTGAGAAATTCTTCAATAATTATTCAAAAGATATATAAATATTTTTAATCACAAGGACGAACAGCTAAGTTCATCTGACGCCGCAACGACACGAAAGTAGAAACCGCTGCTTTTAGTGGGGCGAGTGGCAAACATGGCGGGCCGGAAGTGTGGCAAACTATGAAATAAAAATTTCAATTTGAATCGCACTCAATTTTATAATAAAACGCTAGTAAAATTGCTAAGAAGAAATCCCAAAATAACTATTACTAATGCATGAAGCGCGTAATTGAACAATAACAATATATTTAATGTAAATCATAAATAAAAAATGATAAGCAAGATTCGGAACATAATTAAAAAAATATTTTAGTCTTATAAAAATGTAATAATTGTTCAAAATAGTAAAACGTTTTTTTTATGAATAGTTAGATGGAATGTTTAGAAAAGAAAAGGAAAGTGCCATAAAGTAATTCGCTTTTTATTATTTCATCACTGCCCAGCTAAGCCGCGAAAAACAGAAAAGTCCTAGAGAACGTGTAATTAGCATAAACAGTGCTCCGAGGCTTTCTTTTTCGCCGCTTAGGCCTGTATTAGTACATTGCGTCACTCGTGCGCAAAGTGGGTGATTCTCGCACGAGTCTCAGTCACAATGAGACGAAGACGAGAAGCCCCACGCGCACGAGTGACGTATAGTATTTTTTATCAAGATTTGCGGGAAATCAAACTTCCCGCACGCTGTGATAAAAACTATTTCTCATCACTGCGTGCGGAAAGTGCTACTTTCGCGCACGGATGGTGATCTTAAAATACTATGGGCGGTTGTCAATCTACTATTTCATACAGTGGCCCGAAAATCGCTCTTCCCGCTTTGCGCAGCGGCAGGGAAGCAGTCACTTTTGGGCCGCTGGTATGAAAACTATCTTCATAGTTCTACCTAAACATTAATATATTATTTAATATTTCTAATTATAGCTATACTATATTTATAATAGTTTTCAATAATTATAATTCTATTACTTATCTTCTAATTGAGAACGACCTATGGGTTCCCGATACGAAGTCCTGACCATTCATGGTCCGAAGAACTAACAGATGAAAGATTGGGCATAAAGATTTTCTTACTCATGCCTTTTGGAGTATTTAAAATATGTTCAGAGCCAAGACTAAACCAAAAATTTTAGCGTGATCCCATGCAGATATATTAATGTCCAAGCGTATTTGTGTTTGCAATAAATTAAGGCCTTCGCAATAAATTAAATTTTTTATAAAATGAATGATAGTTAAGAATTAGCCCAGATTACCTTGGACAAGCCAATCGTTCACGTAGTAGCTTGAAGTGTTCAGGTCTAGACTAGAAATGTAAAAAAAATAATTCGCAGATTGTCATTTTTTGACTTATGCCAATGTTTTTAATGAACTATTCTAGTCAATAGATAAATTTCATACTTTTCAAAGGCGCATACGTTACGCATACTTTATTTTTTTGCGATATCAGGAATTTTTTCTTTTGAGAGTGTTTGACATGCCGCAATCATTTGAAAATTTTCTTTATTTCTTCATTCCCTTTCACCACCTACTCATTTTCTTCAATTAAATGCATTCAATAAAAGTTGGTGGCACGTGTTTGTAAAACATTCATAAACTCGTATGTCGTACTCCAAGCGCAAAGTCCGCCTCAATTTTTGGAAAATCTTCCTCATTTATAATTAAAACAATTGTTTAGCGTTTATTTTGAAGTGTAATGCTTTATATGTACTCAATCTTTTTTCCGTAGAAACTTGAGCAGAAAAACATATTTTTAATATTAAGAAAATTAAAATTTTGTTTGTTTGATGGGTTTTTATATAAATTCTCGTCTTCACATTAATCGACAAAACATATTTATCATAAGCGGCAGCTGTATTTAATTTTTTAACAGTTGCCAGTCGTGTTACAATTGCGTGACCCCTACTCTTCGCAGTTTGCACCGTCCGCTTGTCGCACTCGCTAGTCGCTTCAGCTTGCCATGCACGCAGCAGTCGGCAGTCGCGCCCGTCCCGTGTCATATTGCTAGGTGTACGATGCGTATACTCCGCACACTTAAGTTATTTTTTGTTTGTTTTTAGTTATTTTTTACTGAATGGATGATTAAATTTATTCTCCGAAAATTTCTTAAGCTTTGTGTTTTTTGTATGAAACTACAAAACTTAGTACTTTTAGATGATTTCCCTCTTACAATAAAAGTCATCAAATGAAAAGAAATTCCAAAACATATTTTGATACATTGTTATAATTTGAGGTTAGTTGAAAATTATTATTCATCAATATTGTCAAAAAAGTTAGAGATCCTAACTCTAGGTAAAAATAAGAAAGTTCAAACACTTTTTCCAGAATGTTACAGTTACAACAGTAACAGTACAACCATTGAAGAATTAGTGTTTTTAGACATTTCAGATTTTGCCAAAACAGTATTTTGATCATTACCAACTAAGACCATGACTTCAATAATCAAGTTACATGCCATTTCTGGGGCATTAGATGAATCGCCCCCTTGCTACATCTTACAGGTGGATGAGTTACGTATTTTGTTAGATTGTGGATGGGATGAAAAGTTTGATCAAGAAATGATAAAAGAGTTGAAGAGGTACAATATAAAATTTATTCAAAAAAAAAGTCAAGAGATTTTTTTATTTTAAATTGATTTATTTACTTGAAAACTTTTTCAGACATGTTCATACAATTGATGCAGTTTTGTTGTCATATCCAGATCCATTACATCTAGGAGCTTTACCTTATTTAGTGGGTAAATGTGGTTTAAGCTGTCCAATATATGCTACTATACCTGTTTACAAAATGGGTCAAATGTTTATGTATGATGTTTATCAGGTTTGTAAATTTTTTTTTCAAAAATTTCATGAAGTAATAGTACTAAAATGGTTTTTATTACAGTCTCGACATAATACAGAAGATTTCACTTTATTTACTTTGGATGATGTTGATGCAGCATTCGATAAAATTGTGCAACTAAAATATAATCAAAGTATCTCTATGAAAGGTAAAGGGTATGGTGTAACCTTAACGCCATTGCCTGCTGGACATATGATTGGTGGTACTATTTGGAAAATCGTCAAAGTTGGGGAAGAAGATATTATATATGCAGTTGATTTTAATCATAAAAAAGAAAGACATTTAAATGGTTGTGAGTTAGAGAGATTGCAAAGACCATCATTATTAATTACTGACAGTTTCAATGCTACATATCAGCAAGCTAGACGGCGAGCAAGAGATGAAAAATTAATGAGTGAGTAAAAAATTTAATTTATATGTTATTAAAGATCTTGGTTAATTTTTAACTTTATTTTATGATTATAGCCAATATATTACAAACCTTACGAGGAGGAGGAAATGTTTTAGTTGGGGTTGATACAGCTGGTAGAGTATTAGAATTAGCACATATGTTGGACCAATTGTGGCGTAATAAAGAGTCAGGTTTACTAGCGTATTCTTTAGCATTATTAAATAATGTTAGCTACAATGTTGTTGAATTTGCCAAATCACAAATTGAGTGGATGAGTGATAAACTCATGAAAAGTTTTGAGGGAGCAAGAAATAATCCTTTTCAATTTAAACACCTGCAGTTATGTCATAGTATGACAGAATTGAACCAAGTCCCAAGCCCAAAGGTTGTATTAGCTAGTACACCAGATATGGAATGTGGTTTCTCACGAGAACTTTTTTTGCAATGGTGTGGTAATCCACAAAATAGTATTATAATAACCAGCAGATCATCACCAGGAACTTTGGCTAGAGACCTTATAGAAAATGGAGGAAATAGAAATTTAACAATTGAAATAAAGAAAAAAGTAAAATTAGAAGGTTTAGAATTGGAAGAATACCAAAAAAAAGAGAAACTTAGACTAGAACAACAAAAGCAAGAAAAAATGTTAGTTTTTTTACTGAATAATAAAATTTAATTTGTTGAATGATTAATTAAATTCCTTATTTTTTACAGGGAGATTGATGATATGTCTTCTGAATCTGAAGATGAAATCGATGTTGGTGGAAAGGGAAAGCATGACTTATTAGTTAAACAAGAACATAAACCTGGATTTTTCAAACAAAATAAAAAATTATATCCAATGTTTCCTTTTGTTGAAGAAAAAATTAAATTTGATGATTATGGAGAAATAATTAAGTAAGTTTTTTTTTTCTAAAATCTCTGTATTTAGTTGCTTACATGAAGAAATATTAATTTTATTGCAAATGAAGACCTGAGGACTACAAAGTAGCTGATGCTCCAGCCGAGGGTGAAGATAATAAAGAAAATTTTGAATCCAAGACAGAGGATCAGTTTCATCATCCTGAAAATGCAAGTGATGTTCCTACCAAATGTGTAACAACTTCACGTTCAATTGCTGTTAATGCTTCAGTAACGTATATCGATTTCGAAGGTCGATCTGATGGTGAATCACTGCAAAAAATACTCATACAATTACGACCTAGGCGAGTTATTTTGGTAAGAGGGTCTCAAAAAGATTCAGACAAGATGGCTCAAAAAGCTCAATTAGCTGGTGCACGTGTATTCATTCCCACTAAAGGAGAAACTATGGATGTTACTACGGAAACTCACATTTATCAAGTAATATTATTTTGTGATTTATAAAATCTATTATGAAAAAAAAATAATGCATTAATCGACTGTGACTTGTCTAGGTGCGCTTAACTGATGCTTTAGTCAGCAGCCTGAAGTTTTCTCGAGGAAAGAGTGATACAGAACTTGCTTGGGTTGATGCTGCAATAACTGCACGCACCAAAGTTCGGAGAGATGTAGTGCCTGATACAGAAAATGAAGACCCCGTGGACGAATCTGAAAATATTCTTACTCTTGAACCATTGCCTTTGAGCGAGGTAACATTTTTCATATATTATAAGAGTTTTATGTGCCAAAAAAAAGAAGATAATAATAATAATAATAATAATAATAATAATAGTAAAATGCCAAATTATAATTATTTATTCTGTAGATTCCAGGCCATGAAACAGCATTTATCAATGAATTAAAACTCTCCGATTTTAAACAGATATTAAGCAAATCTAATATGAATTCTGAGTTCAGTGGTGGGGTTTTATGGTGTTGCAATAATACTATTGCAGTGAGAAGAGTGAGTATAAACATTAAATTTTAGTTAAATTATTATTAATTTTGTTAAAAACTTTTTTAGCACGAAGCTGGCAAAATTATTATGGAAGGCTGTCTTTCAGAAGAGTATTATAAAGTGAGGGAATTATTATATGAACAATATGCAATTGTGTGAATAGTATTAAAACAGTTTGTTGTGTCATGTGTATATATTTACAATAAATTTTAAACATAATTTTGCATGCACCTATTTGATAATTGTGATTGATTGTAAGATGTGTACTTTATAATAATAGATCATAATATAGTATAAACATTTTAGTTTTATATGTTGATATAGTTTAAAAAAAAAAGGATTTTTTGGCCTGTGTATGAATTGTGCCAAATTTTAACTTGAAGAATTAAAATTAGTTACACAGCTTTAATGCAATAAGCCAATTAGGAGGCTATTCGCCACAGGTTAAAAATATTACTTTTATACATACTTCCGTAATGAAATCAAGTGATCTTGATTTGTAAAAAATAAGAATTACAAAATGTAATTATGTATATTCAAGAAAATAAATATGAAATTGTATTGAGTAACTGCAATAAACAATTTGGAATTTGAAAGAAACACATCTTTATTGATTACTTTTTTGTTTACACTATTCGCAACTTTTGTAACTTGAAAAACCAAAAAAAAAATGCCAAATCAACTCATGCACGTTTGCTGGAATAATTGTAGCTCCCAATTTTCTCATTCACATAACAACACGTGTTTGGTAGTGTTTAAAGCTACACATCAAATCTTTAACGAAAAATTAACCAATGGCGTAAAAGCTGACGACACTTGAAGCAATGTAACTCACACACACCCATCACATGCACACATGATTCATGAGAAACCAGCAAGCCGGCGAAATGTGTCACATGCGTGAATGGAAGCATAGCACTCGGTCTATCCTTACCATTTAAATTTCAGCTCCATGATGATGTGAACAGACTAAGTCTGCATTGTACATAGTATCAATTTTTGAGCTGGTAAAAGATAGTGACACTTTTTTATTAAAGAAAATAAACTATTTTAACAAAATAATAGTTGCATTTAATATTTCAAACTAATTTTAATCATTGATGTATCCGAATTTTTATTTTTCTCAGTTGAGAAAGTTTTTGCAGAAGCATGTTCTTCTTTTACTGTGAGCAAATCACTTCATACTGAATTAAATATAGGACCTAGAAAGCAGTACATAAAATAAAAACAGGAAGAGAGAGAGAGAGAGCGAGTGTGTGAGCGACTGCGAATTGCAGGTGGTTTTTTTCTGGTATATTGGCATTATTAGATAAACTGTGCATTACCAAACCGTAGAATCATTCGAGATGGCAAAATTTACACTCAATTCTAATTTTATTTATTGCGTAAATTATGTGTTATTTAGTTGAGATTAAAATGTATGTATCTGTAACATGAATACTAAGTTGAAGGAATAATTTCAATTTACACAAAAATAAACAAAATTTCAAAGGCTTTAATTTATGTTTTACGATACTCAAAAGTGTTTTAGCGAATTTTTGTTCGTAGGCAATCATTAACTTTTATTTATCTCGTGGGGGTAACTTATGAGGTAAACTTAATGTATGTCGTATTCCATCTTGCAGTTGTGACGAAGAAAAAACTGTGCGATTTTTCAAATCAAAATTATATTCATAATGAACGCAAAAATGTTGAATAATTTATTTTGATTTTTTCTCATTGCTGAAGCAATGTTTAAATAAATAATACATTGATTGATTATGAAGAGCTCTATGAATCAAATTATTTTAGATTGATAAGATGAGAAAAAACGTTATTTTCTCACTTCTTATATTTAAAAAGATGTTAGCAGCACAAAGTTTCTAGTTAACGCTGCATTCGTACCTCGTACTTATTGAAATTCTTAGGTATATAGGTACATCGTACGAGGCTTATACACTATGATGGGTAACTCGAATAAAGAGAGGGTATTTTCTATACACTTGGGAACATCTGTTCTGCAAGTTGTATATTCATGCAGCTGAGAACCGGAGTATAAGAAAGAAAAATTTAACAAAGAAACCCTCGTATACAGTGCATTCCCCTCTTACTTCGCATTTAAGTTGACTGTAAAATCTTTAAGAAATATGTACGATTGGAACTTTAAGATTTTTCGCAGCTCAATTTCATCTAAAATTTTATATTCCAATTTAAAAATCGGAAGTTTTTTGTTACGCATAAAAAGACATCATCGATGTAGCTTGGATTAAGAATATCCTCGTGATTTAATTTATAATTGTAGTAAGTTTTTTTTTTGCTTACGTGTGAGTTTTTCTCTCGCTTGAATCGAATTGTAGATAAATCTAGCCTTGATATGTTTGAAATGTTTTACTGCTCATGCTGAATCGAGTATCTAAGACTTATAAATGGTAGATAACAAAAAATTGACGTAGATAACAATAGAGTAAAAAATTCTATGTGATCTCATTATAAAAGCTGCATCACAAGTGATGTACATGAATACATTTCCAATTCGGAGGAGTTAAGCGATGCTGCCAATATCATACAACAACCCCACGCCAAGGGAAATTATCCACTGCAATAGTTTTCCACTTGCAAATAAGATCATGCAAGAGACATAGGCATATCAGTGATTGAAACATAGGTGGGCCATACCTAGGTGCTCAAGTGCTCGCAGACATACTGCAAAGGCACGAAACAAAGACCTGTTGGTAGAGCATGGGGTGGGTATACAAGTAGTTGTCCGGTTAGATATTTTACAACAAGCTTGATACACGGTAGGATGTGCGTACGGTGCAGAGTTAAAATAAAACGAAGCGTCTACAAGGGATCAGTAATGTTGAAACAAAAGTCTGCGAAAACACGAGTGAATGACTGAACGAACTCGGAGGCTAGTATAGTTTCGGAGCAGCGCGCGCATATTAGGCGCATTGCCGGCAACTTCAGCAGCAGCAGCAGTAGCAGCCACCGGCGGCGGCGGCGGTGAATTGGCGAGGAGAGCGCCGGTTGCGCTAAAGATCCGGCTCGACTTTCTGCACAGCCAACGGCTTCAGTCGTGTGCTGTGCTTGCGACTCGTGGGAGCTAACTGTTACCGTAGCCGTCATCGTCGTTGTCATCGTCGCTTTTTTCCTTCACTTCATATTTTATACCACTGTCACCTTTGTGCTCTCTCTCTTTTCGTTTTTGCTACGAAATTGTCGAGGCTGCAGTGAGTGTGTGCAAGTGGTACTGCTACAGCTCCAAAATCTTATTTGCTCCCGCTCATTCCATTCATTCCAATTTACTTCGAGTATCCAAATCGCGAACCCTTACCATACTGCAAGCAGTCCACTAGTCCGATCGAAATCGCCTGACAGAATTCGTTGCAAAGATGGCCGGTGAGAAGCGCAACGCGACCGAAGCAGAGGAAACACTCCGCCAGGAAACCGCTATCCTGCTCGATATCGAAGGAACTACTTCCAGCATCAGCTTTGTCAAGGTCAGTAGACTTTTGCAAACTTTTCGTCCCTGACGAATGCGACGATTTTGATGAACCCCAATAGGCTAATGAATTAATGAGTGCGCCAAACAGATATCAGACCATCGGCTGTGCGTCAGGTCTCTTATCTGCATAAGCTCGCAGTATACGGTACACAGCAAAGGTCATAACACTCGGCTACGTACCTTGCATTTAGTGCGATATGCTGCACCGAATCGCACAAAATTTGCCACAATACCTTCGATAGTATCGATGCTATGAGCCGAAACAGGATGCGCTAAACAGCCTCGTAGATCCAGGGGGTTGCAACTTTACTGTACTGAATTGCCGCATAAGCACGGCTGCTTTAGCCTTTCAAGTGGAGAGGGGGCCTGACCCTATACATTCTCATAACTAATGCTCTGGGTCTTCGTCGTTTATTCTTTTAGTTAAGAGATGGCAATGCCGGTATACCGTTCAAGCTAGTCGGCGATGCTCCTTTTCCTGCTTCTCTTCCTGCTCTTGTTTCAACCATCGAATTATTTTTTTCTACGAGGCGTGAGATTTCTTTGAATGATCGTTAATTGAACTTTTTAGAAAAATGCTGAGAATCATTAATAAATAGCCAGCATATTTTCCTACAAACTATCGTAATCAAATTATAAATATTTCAGCTTCTTCAAAAGAACTACAAGTGCTTTTATTTTAAGCAATAATAGACCGGGATATGATGACAAATTAGTTATAACAACTTTTTAACTTATGCCTCTTGGAGTATTTAAATTATGTTCAGAGACAAGACTAAACCTAAAATTTTGGCGTGATTTTGCGTGATTTGGCGTGTAAATATAAATGGCATATTTGTTTTTGCAATGAATTTCATACTTTTTAAAGGCATAAATTAAAAAATGAATATCTTCGAATTATTTTTTTTTTGCACTGCCAGCTTAGATCTGTAGAATTAAGGCTACTACGTGCACTTATGCCTTGTCGTAGGTAAGCTGAACTAATATTCAACAATCATTCTATAAAAAAGCATAATTCAAAAAAAATTATCCAAGAACTTAATTTATTGCAAACGCAAATACGCCTGGATATCGAGGAGCGTGTGCCACGCTCCCTCTGGCAAGTATGGCAGGAACTAAGTGACGACACGCGCTACTCATATGCAGCGAAGAAATTTCCATCAATTTTCTTTTTATATCTACATGAGATTACGCTAATATTAGGTAATACTAGGTTTAAATAATAATTTAAATAATAAGCTAATATTAGGTTTAGTCTTGCCTCTCAACATACATTAAGTATTCCGAGAAGCATGAGTTAAAAAATTGTCATACCCAATATGTCATCATATCCCATATAAATAAATAAAAAGAGCCAACTAATTTCAAAGAGGATATAAGATCACTAATTTATCATAGAACGTGGATAATCTAGCAAGTTTAGATTTCGATGTAGCTTTATTTTAAGTATGAAGATTTGAATGGATTTTTTTTCTTTCAATCTCAATTTTTTGTGTTTAGCAAATTTCTATCTATACAAAGCAGCCTGAAAGTAGTTAAAAATTAATTTTTTTAGTTTGTTAAAATTTACAATCTCATCAAACGGTAATCATGATCATTTTTTAAACAGGGCGTGACTCGAATATTTGACTCATTTTTTCATCCGAAAATAAACAAAAATTATTTGTGTCAAGTATGCATTTATTGAAAACAAACATCAAAGATGAAATATTTTTATGCTATATCGGTGATTATAAAAAGAAAAAAAATTATTGTGTCCTGGCGTGCACAGGCCGTTAGCTATTTCATTATTAACAAAAAAAATTGACATTTCATTTATAAGCCACAAGCTTATAATTCAAATTTATAGGCAGTACATATATAATTTGCCTTTTTTTTAATCATCCATCGACATTAGGATGTCTGTTATTTCCCGACTTGTTCATATTGACTCTGCTCCATTTAGATGTCTTATTCTACTAAAAAATGAGAAAGCAGGTAAACAAAGAGGGAAAAGATGGATTTAGGATGTCCATTAAAAATCTTAAAGTTTACAGTAATAATAGTAAAATTATCATCAATTGCCCCGTGTTTTATGTAATAAAATTAAATCTTATCATCAATTGAAATAAAAGGGCACAAGTCAGATGTTTAAATTTTCTTTATTTTCACGACGTTTCGGTCACTTTCGTGACCTTCTTCCGGTAAACTGTCAGTTAATAAAATTGATCAATCTATCAATATCGAACAATACGGAAGTATAAAGAAAATTTAAACATCTGACTTGGCCCTTTTATTTCAATTGATGACAAGATTAAATTTCTTGAAGTTTACATTTATTTCAATGGTGACCTTGAATTGGATTTTGAAGATAACCTCAAAACTACAGCAATCCAAAAGTCGATTTTATCTTTGTTTAAACTGAAATTGAGCTTTAACAATGATACGTACCCTTATAGGATTTTATTTATAGAATATTGATTTTTTCGTTTTAGCCGCAAGCCCGAAAAGGTTAGCTTTGGCGGGGGGAGGAGGGGGAGGTCTTGAAACCAGTTATTTCACTCGATCGATGAGTGATACATAAAAATTTTATAATTGGAAAACACGCAAAACATTTTTTAATTATTTACAAATATCTATAATTTTTATATAAATAAAACTTTAAAAAACTTACCCTTATATAATAAAACTGTTTTGAATGTTATAGGACACTCTATTTCCTTACATCCGTGAATGCCTGAAAAAACACGTCGATGAAAAATGGGACAGTGAGGAATTCAAAGACGATTTCATGAAATTGAATGCTCAGGTAAATATAAAACCGACAAATACACTCGGCAACAAAATTATCGCAACAAAAAAATTCATCGAAATTTTGTCGATTTTCAAATGCTTCCATCTTGGGCCAGATTTATCGTATCGACACGAGTCAATATCGAGTTACCAGTAGTATTTGAGCACGACACTAAAAATTACTGAAAAAAATTGACTGTTTGAACGTGTACCAGTACCACAGTAATTTTTCTATCGAAATCTAACATACACCATCGCAAAGTACTCTTTTCAACGAGTAATTTAAAAAAAAAAGACCTCTCTACGATTTTTTTAACGCCCTGTAGGTCGTTTTGAAGATACCATTTAAAGTACGTAAATTCCCTCGTTTAGCTGAAATCAAGACGATTTTCTGGGCATTTTGCGTACACAAATCGTACTACAGGGCGTTTAAAAAATCTTATGGAAGTCTTTTTTTTTAAATTACTCGTTGAAAAGAGTACTTTGCGATGGTGTATGTTAGATTTCGATAGAAAAATTATTGTGGTATTGGTACACGTTCAAACAGTCAATTTTTTTCAGTAATTTTTAGTGTCGCGCTCAAAATTTACTGGTCACTCGACATTAACTCGAATCTTATCTTAATGTATATGGATTCAAAGAGGACAAAATTTCCAAGAAATTAAAAAAAAGCGTGTCGATACGATAAATCTAGCCCAAGATAGAAGCATTTGAAAATCGACAAAATTCCGATGAATTTTTTTGATGCGATAATTTTGTTGCCGAGTGTAGGTAATTCAATTTTTAAAACTGATATTTTATAATATTTTTGTAAATGTATTAATTTTCAGGCTAAAGAAGATGAGCAAAATAAGGTTGACGGTTTTGTATCTATTAAAGAGGGTACTGAAGAGGAAGCCAAAGAATCCTTAATTAAAAATGTACTATGGCAAATGGACAATGATCGTAAAACGGAAGCCTTGAAGCAATTGCAAGGGAATATATGGAAAGCTGCACATAAATCAATTAAAGGACAGTAAGTAAAACAAAAAAAAGACGCGTACTAATAACTCATCAAAATTAATTTTCTGAAAGAATAAATGCAATGACGTAAATTTTTCAATGTTGTACAGTATGTGTCGTTCAAGTCAGTAATGCTTTAAAATGTATACACATATATTATTTCTGTCGCGAAACCGAATTAAACGACACGCACTGAACATCTAATGAACGAATGGATTCGTATTCAGAATTGTTTTGAACAAAATTGATTTATTAAATCATACCGGTATCAAGGTTTTTTTTATTGTTTAATATATATCTATCTTATTATTTTCAGCGTTTATGATGATGTGCCAAAAGCTTTTGAAGAATGGACCAAAGCTGGTAAAAAACTTTATATTTATTCAAGTGGTAGTGTGCAAGCTCAAAAGTTACTGTTCGGAGACTCCACGCATGGTGATTTATTGAAGGTTGGTAACGGCGTTTTTAGAATAATTTTGTGGAGCCTATATGTAAGAATGAAATTTTATGATGTGTTTTATGTATTTCCATTAAACTATTTTTCAAAGTGTTTCTTTGAATATCTTCAACGATGTAAAGATATCTATGAAAAAAAGTTTGATGTTAAATTTCCACACAGGTGTTAGATTACCTTAACCCATTAACGCGCAAAAGTGCAATTTGGTGCATGAATTTTCCATTTAAAAATAATCATGTATAAAGTTAAAATATTTTCTTGAAAATCCGTACCCAGGGTTTTTTGGGTATGTTTTTTCAGAATTCAGTGTTATTTTTGCGATAAATAAACATTATCATCGTTTATTTTGCGATTAAAAAGAAAAAACGTGATTTTTTGACTTGAAATTTTTTTTCAAAGTCGATTTTCTACCTCGCGCTGCGTTCAGAGGCTTCCCATAACACCAACAATCGTGTAATTTTTCTCTGAACCTTCAAGAAACAGGTTGCTGCGATTTTTATCTAGCCTCTATATTTCTAAAATGGCGGATGTATACCGAGCAGCGATATAAAAATATCCTCATTTTTTACTCGTGTCTTTTCGTGTCTTCTACTCTAGATAATACGTGTCTTTTCTATTGCTAAAAAAAAACACTTTTAAACTCGTTTATATTGAAGACTACACTTTTATTTATTTTTTTCTTTTTTTTCTTCTACCTGTCAAGTCCCATGTAAGTGTATCAAGGGAAGTCAAGTGTATGCATTTCCCGATATTTTGAGCCACATTCTGATTCCCACTATTATTATTATTATAAAAAATTAAGGTCACTTAAATAAAAAATTTCAAGTTTTAGATTTAAAAAAAAGACGTTTATTTACAGTTCATCAATGGTCACTTTGATACTAGTATTGGTCCAAAACAAGAAGCTGACAGTTATAAAAAAATTTTAGAAAAAATTAATTGCAAGGCATCTGAAGTACTGTTTTTGACTGATGCAGTAAAAGGTTAAAGATTAATAATTTTTAAAAAAATTTTTTACCAAACCATCATCAATCAACAATTATTCTCGTTTACAGAAGCTGAAGCTGCCATAACTGCGGGTTTGTCAGTAGTGATAGTCGTTCGTAAAGGAAATGTAGAATTAACTGACGAGGAAATGGAAAAATTTAAATCCATAGAATCTTTTGATGAAATATCTTTCGAACTGGGCAATAAGCGACCAAAAATAGAAAATGAATCTACAGTTCAACTTGAACAAAAAATTGAAAGTATTGATGGAGTTGAAAAAAAGGATGATACAAAAAAAAATTTTGATTCAACTTTAAAGTCTGATGAAGCTATGGATACGACAGAAGGAACAGCAATGGAGGATTCTGCAATTATAACTGATAACATCGCAAGAAATCAAAATGAAGAATTAAAAGAAAAAATGAGTGAAGAAGTTGTGGAGAAAATGAATATTGATAGCGCTGTTGAAATTAAAGAAACTCCCGTTGAAAAAAAATTAGAAAATGGAGGCGATGAAAAAGAAAATGCCAAATCCAAAAAAGAGGAATCAAGTGAATGTTGTGAAAAATTAACTAATGTTCAATCTGTATCCGAAAAATTAGATGCTGAAAAATCCACGGGAGAAAAAATAACCAAATTACAATCTGAAGAAGTTAATACTGAAAAAAATGTGGATATTGATAATTTACATGTTAATGAAAAATTAAATTACGACGTTAAAAAACCAGTTGATAAAGAAGAAGAAAATCAAATAATAATACCTAATGAAACTTCAGAAGAAAGTACTGAAAAAAAAACTGCAGCGGATACTGAAGAGCCAGTAAAAAAAACTGATGTTTCTTTGAAGGAAGTCTCTAATTCAAAAAAGGAATCATCTATCATAGTAGAGGTCGATGGAATCGTTAAAAAGGACTTAGCAGAAATAACTGATCTCAAAAAACCAGTTGAAGTCGAAAAGGCAGATAATAAAGCAGAGAATCAATTGAAACCCGAAATTACTTCAAATAAGATAGCAGAAGAGATTTTAGAAATTAAAGGAACTGTAACGAAAGAAGAAGCCGCAAAAACGGAAAACGAAATTACTAAAATAAATGAAAAGAACCTTGAAAGTGAAGGTAAAAAGAAGCTTAACGGAACAACAACGAATGGTGATGTTACGAAAATTGACGATAAAAACGGTGTATGTGGTAAGACAGAAGTAGTTGAAACCGATGAAGCGATCAAATTGAAAAAATCTGTGGCTGATGGCGCTGGCGAACCAGAAATCGTTAATCATTCAATTGTCGCTGCCACATCATAATTTATCATTCAAACTACAAGTATTTGAACATTATTTCATTCTTTATAAGTATCTTAATGAATATATAAGTGCAAGTGATATATGCACAATTTCACAACAACAGAATTTTTAAGCGAACGATCTAATAGCTTCAAAAATAATGGCATTCGACGAAGAAGTACTTTATAATCAAATCAAGGGTTTTGTAATTTAAATGAAAATTTCATTATTTGCATACTAATATTTTTTTCAATTTAATAACAAAACAAATTATGATTTAAATATTTTCGGAGTTAGCTAAAAATTAATATTTCAATGCAGTTTTCTGCAACTTTTACTAAATATTTTTCAAAAAAGTTTTATGGTGCCCTTAGAAGCATCAATATAAAGAACACCAAAAAGCCTTTCGGAGAAATAATCAGTAGAAGTTCCTAAGAACCGATTGCATTTTTTGGTTGGTTGCTCTGGATATTATTTGAAAATTGCATCGACCCAATATTTTCATAATGACGATTTATTAGTAATTCATAATTTGCACTTTTATTCGTTAGGTTTCTAATACTCAATTACTCTCAATAGAAATTTATATTTTTTACTTTGAATCACATTGATACAAGATTTACTCTTACATCTTTCAAAATTCAAACTTCTCATCGAACATAAAAATCTGATGTAGATTGTAATTTTATCGATTTTCGTCAATGGAATACGAAAAGCTTGAAAACCGAGTGTATCAATTTTTCTTGATCCGTTTACTTATCCATATCTGCAGATTATCTTGGTACGAAAAAATATATTTATGTCATATTTTTTTTATTTTATGGTGTATATTTAGAGTTCGTTAAATCATTTTTTTGCAGTAATAATTATAGTTTTTCGCCCCATGCTGTACTTAAAAAATGAGATTAAAATATGAAAAAGTAGGTATTCTTTTTAATGATGCGACAAATTGAAATAGATATGTAAGTTCCAGAAAAATTTTTAATTTATATTTGTATTATTTGCCAGAACTGGTTTCTACGGCTGAACGTAATATTAATAATCTAAGGTAAAGGAATCTATTTTGCACGTTTCAATCGACTTTCGCGCAAATTATTTTCAATGAAATACTATTTGTACTGTTTCATGAAACTAATAAATAGAAATTCATACTTCCATAATTTAGGGTTCCTAAATAATAAACAAAACATCATTCACCAGCATATTTAATATAGTTCCTTAAAGTTGATAAATATCTTATTTTCTATGACAAAATAGTTGGAATCAATTTTTTTAGTTATCTTGCAAATGTTGTGTTGAAGACTTTTATATGATAAAATGTGTATAAGATCAATTAGAAAATAATTATTTTCTAAATCGTTATTGTTTTACAAATTTGAGTTCATTGGCCATAATTTTTATCTTTTATTTTTTTCTGGACATGTCATCTTAATTTTAATATTTTTATTTATATCTTACTTTTTAAAACTGTTCTATTTATGATAAAATAAATTGATCTAACATTTGTAATGGAGTCGCCAAAATTGTTAGCTGTTTAGATTTTCTACTCAACCGATATACATTTCTTCACTCTTCCAAATAAAAAAAATTGTAAGTGTAACAAATTTTAAATAATTTTCTTTATTCACCCAATCCTTACCAGTCTACGTACACTATTCATTAAAGCATATCAAAGTAAGTAATAGTGATATTCATATTTTTGATTTTTTGAAAATGTCATGCTACTTAACTCCATGTATATTATGAATGGGTTCAAGACAATGTCCAGTTGCCAGTCGTACTTGAACATGATACCTCAAATGGCAGAAAAACTAGATTGTTTAAACGTCCACCAGGACTATAGTAATTTTTTAATCTAAATTAAACATACATCATCTCAAAGTACTTTTTTCAACGAGTATTTAAAAAAAAAAGAATCCTCTAGGATTATTTTAGCACCCTGTACGCCGTTTTGTAGATATTGTTTGCAGTACGCAAATACCTCCTCTAACTGAAATTGAGTCTACTCAAATTATTCTCTTGATAGAGGAATCTGGAAAAAAAGGCATGTTCTAACGTAAAATTTTCCGCTCTTTCGAAAACTGCAAAAAAGGGGGAGTTCATTTGAAAAATCAATTTTTGGTTCGTTGTAGCTTAGAGGATATGTTTGAGGTCAAATTCAAGGTCACGATTTGATTTCTCGCCACAAAATACATCGGCCATGGACTTTTTAATTTTTTTATTAAGGTGGTTGGATTATCATCATAACAATACTACACTTTTGAGTAATCTCGGCATGCGCAGTTGGCTTATGCGCAACCTAGAAGCGAGTTAGAAGGCAAACATAAGCCAAAATACCATGATTTTAAACTTTGATCGTTAAATACCTCTTTAGAAAGCACAAAAACCTATATTTTTAAATGCACTAATCGACAGGTGATGACTTTATCTTTCTAATGGATAGTCTTTTATTTTCCTCGTAACATAATTCAGCAAGTTATAGTCATTTCAAAAACATTCAATTTTTTCATCCAACCATCTTAAGCTTAATCCACGAGATTTCTAGAGGTTTCCATAAAAATGTTTAACAAAAAAATTTGAATTTATCTTATAAGTCGCTTATTTAAAAAAATATATAATACTGGTTGCTAAAAATCATAAGCCTTACATTTTTATCGTTTTTCAGGTCGATAAGTAGGCAAACATTTTTTTTTTCCGTCAAAAAGTCAAAAGTTTCTTGGATATAAATACTAGATTTTTTATGCAACACGTGCCCAGCTTTTTGCGCACAGTGTGCGGGAAAAAAACCCACTCGTGCCGGCATGGCCGACACTCGTGTCTTTTTCCACACTCGTGCCCAACAACGCCTTTTGGGCACATGTTGCATAAATAACTATTTCGATTTCAAGGTGCCTTTCCCCCGTTACGGTATACTGGTACACCAACGGACTTAGATACTCGGACCTCGAAAATTTGCGATCGATTAGTCGCTTCCTTCACGTTTTTTAAACAACAGCGCGTGACTACAGTTTCACGACGTGCATTGCACAGTGAAGGAAGTGACTAATCGATCGCAAGTTTTCGAGTACCTAAGTCCGCTGGTGTACATATGCTTACTCTTTTCGTACTTGCAATCGTACTCGATTCCTAAGGACCTGCAAAATTTGATGGATCCTGGACTAGTTTAAATAAATAGTCTTAACAGTCATATTTACTTGATGAAAAAAATTCTGAAACATGATTATACATCAAAAACTAAAAATTTTAAAATAAAAATCTAATTTTTATTTATTTTAAATCACATATAAAAACAATAAAGAACTTTTCCCCGTAAGGTATGAGAATTTCAAACATTTGAGGAGAATTTTACACGTTCGATGATCATAACAGCGGGTGCATCGGAAAAAGAGCTTGATCATGAAAATGAACTCTGATGATAAATATAAAAACAAATACTATTTGAAATAACGAGGTCAATATTTCAAGTAAATTAGCACTTATGACAGACGTATTTTGATTTTGATTTTTAATACTCTTAATTCACGATCTTTGTTATTGATAAATTCATGATAAATTAGTTTTTCAATGTACCAAAGTATATTTGAATAAATATTTTTTTAAAAGTACACTATTTCAACTTCATAATAAAATTGTTTTATCTGAAGCTCGAAAATATACTTCATGATATATTTAATACTTGTAATAAAAAATTATAAGATATTCGATTCCTACCTGCCAAATAAAATGTCAATAAAATAGTTCTACTTTTAGATGTAAAGCCAACAGTTGTTACTCGCAGAGCAACTATTTTCATAAGTTCTCTTGTGAACCACTAGGTGGCGTAGAATGTATAATATAAGGCTGATAAGATAACAACTTCAAAAATTCTTTTTTTTATACAAAGTAATACGTTTCAAAAATTTATTTTTATATTATATAATAGAAAAACGAAATCACTACCTATTATAAGAAATATTTACTGGCTACTGTATCAATGATAAAAAGTTTTAGATAATTCATCAAAATTTATTGATTTCAATTAAAAAACATATGTTTTCTATTTATGTTCAGTATGTTTGGATACTCTACCAAACTTATGTACGCATTACCAAAGTAGTTTTCACTTCTATTTTTTGTAAATTTAAGTCAATGCTGAATTCAAGGTTCAAAAAAAATTACATCAATGAAATAAAATATACATGTATATGTGAATTTCATGAAATGTGCGTGACTTAATAATCTTCAAAAAATAACAATGCGATTTTATATTAATTCTAAAAAAGATTCTAAAAAAGATAGAGATGTATCATTTCAAAAATTACAAAGTAATTTTTGGTAAAGGCAGAGACCTAAAGTGTTCGATAGTTTAAATTGTAATGTAAATTTGAAGATTATTTCGATTTTCCATGTATTAAAAATCGTTTATACTTTTTTCGGGTTAACATAATTATAATTTATTCGGATTCAAATTATACAATATCACGAATAAATGAAAAAACAACATTAATGTTGCGTAATTGTCATGCCTATAAAGTAAATAGTGAATCTTACATTAAAGAATTTAAGGCAGAATTATTATTAAAGCACTTCACAAAATTGTATTAATATGATACTTAATATTTTTGAAACCAGAAGTTCACATTTTTATCCTTTACATTGAAAATACGAAGATATGGTAAATTTATTCTAGAAATATTTTCGAAGTTTGATGAAGTTGCGATTGAATAAGACGTCAATCGTACATTTTTATAAAATATATTTTTCGGTTTATATGATATAGTACATTTTTAATTTTATTGTTACTATTGTTGTTTTAAAAAACTGATTAGAATGATTATTACTGGCCACCTGCATTTGAAAATATTGTAGTATATTTTGAAACTAATAAAATTGTGGGTAACTTATTTTCATCTGCCTATCTATATTTTTTAAAAGCTATTAATAATAAGTACTTTGAGATATTTATCAGAATTATTTGACACTGTAAATACATTCATATTTCAAAATCTGTAATTTGGTACTTCTCGATTTTTTTTAATACTTTATTTTAAAATAATTATAATTATGAAATTCGATATGGTGATCATAAATATGACTCCCGATGACCTGTATGTCATAAAATGATTTCGACAATTTTTAACTCAATAACCATCAACTTAACGAGAAAAAGTTGTAGAATAAAAAGGGATTAGAATTAATCAAAGAATACGCATGATTTTTTTCAGAATTTTTTGAGCGATTTTTGGATTTTTGAAAAAAATCGTGTTATCCAGAAATCCAAAAATCGTTCCAAAAATTC